GGCGGTTCTCCTTGCAAAACCCATCTATCAGAGAACTATATGTAATAGTATTAGGAGCTATACCTCGTTGAATCATCTCCTGGTGCAGTTGTTCGGCCTCTCGAAGCTTTCCCTCTTTCACAAAACTATCAATTAAAGCATTGAAAGTGACAATGTTGGGGTTGATTTTTCTTGTGATCATATCCCTCAGCAACTGTGCACCATCATCCCATCTACCAGCATTACAAAATCCTCCTATGAGAGAGTTGTAGGTAATAACATCTGCTTTGATCCCTTTCACTTCCATTTCACTAAAAAGGTTGAGTGCATCGTCGAGCTTCCCGTCTTTGCAAAGACTATCAATGATGATGTTGTATTTGGCTGCATCGAGCATGATCTTCCTTTCTTCCATCTTTCTGAGCAACTCTAAGGCCAGGGCAGTTTTCCCGGACTTGCACATTACATTTAAAACCGGTCCATAGGTAACTTCATTGGGTTGACAACCACTTTCCACCATTCGATCAATGAAAACCACTGCTTCAGAGACTTTACCTTTGAGACAAAGGCCATTGACCAGAGTGTTAATCGTTATGAGAGTGGGTTTATGTCCCATTCCTACCATTCGATCAAATAATTCAACCGCTTCAGAAACTCTACCCTCAAGACATAAGCCATTGAATAGAGTGTTAAAGATGACCGTGTTAGGCTCATACCCAAGCTTCATGATCTTCCCCAAAGCAGAAAAAGCATAACAAAGTTTACGACAGCGACAGAAGCAATTGATCATAATACTCAAAGTGTAGTTGTTATGCGCAATTCCCTTCAATTCCATTTTCTTGCAGAGATCTAACACAAGATTGTACTGCTTTGTTCTGGCAACGGCACTAAACAATTTACTGAAATCAACAAGACTAGGAAGAGGACGAGACCCAATCATTTCTTGGAACAGATCCACAGCAACATCTGCTTTAATATCGACAAGCCCACTTCTCAGTCTCTCTCTATAAGACAAATTTCTATCGCTGAAACTAGAGAACCCGCGTTCGCAACAAAAGAGTAGCTCATTTGGGCAATGGGATAAAGCATTTCTCAAAGTACCTGTCTCCAGGAGACGAGGCTGAAAAAATTTCGAAGCTTGAGGACTCAATCTCCAAATCATCAACAACAACATCTCAAGCTGAATCGTTCCTTTTTCAAACTCTCTGTGAGTAATTTGCAAACCCTACAAAGCATCCATGGGAGGAGCTGAGCTTGAGCTTAGAGACAAAAAAAAAAGAGCACTCGAAACTTATCGATTAAACCGGTTCAGTTCAAATTATACCGAAATTGGTTTAGCTGAGTTTTACGGGCACGCAAATAAAAAGATATGTCAGCTAATATCGTTCACAAAAACAATTCAAATAGTATAGGTCGCGTGAATTTGATATCTTGCATCTTACAAGTAACGGAAAATATTTTTTTTTCTTTTTCTAATCAGAACAAAAAGCCTCGAAATTTACTTGAACAAAATGTAAAACTGTAGAACGTTTATAGCCCACAAGTTGATGGGTGAAATGTCTCAACGAGCTGTTGTTTCACAATTAAAGTTTATGCTAACACAGTAATAATACTCAGAGTCGTTTAAACATGGAGTTGCAAATGTTTTCCTGGGTCCACTCACTTAGATATATGGCTTTATGTAAATTCAATAATGGTGTCACCTGTTTTTAGTGAAGAACAAAATATGTTTCGGACTAATCATCAGCTCCCTAAACAATATGTATATGAACTCATTGCATTTGATATTTTCATAAAGACACTACAAGTCACTGCCCTGAATCGAAGCAATTTCCTAAGAGATTCATATCATACTGTAAATGCAACACTGATTATGTTCTTAATGTAGTGTAGTACAAATATGTTTAGTGTATTAGAATTTAGAAGGGAAAAAAAAAAACAAAATTCTGAATTTAATTAGTTATAAAAAAAAGTATCTTCAAACTAGAGTAAGAAAAGGAACCGCATCTTCTCATTTTTCCAGCTCGATGAGCATTGTGAACCGCATCTGTTGGAAGCTCAAGATCAACCATGAGATCACATTCCGCATCATCCAAACCCCGAGCCGAGCGCTCGTTAGTCACAAGTACCCTAACATCACTGTTCTTGAACTTCTTTAAAACCGCTAATCTCCATACCTTCCTGAGATCTCTATGCAGTTCTGCGGAACTCATACCATAAGCTTCGATCGTGTTGAAGTTTAGAGATGCAGTAATAGTGTTGAAGGGCTAACCAGAAGTCAAAGTGTCAGAGGATTTAGTTTTAGAGTTTGCATGGAACAGAAAACAGTTAACGGCAAAATTTAGAATATAAAAGAGAAGAGATACCATTTTGAGAAGATGTCAAGGCAAACGGACAAACCATTAGGCTGTATCTAGACATTTTAACAAAGGTTCAGCTACTAAGCCTGAGTTCCTCTGAAACGCTTAACACCAGGAGATCTTCTCGGCTCTTTGAACCTGCCAAGTGCCAACACAATCACGCAGAAGAATGTTTCTAAGTTTTAGTGATCAATCAGTTTAAAAACCTGCTTAGTAGATCAAATATTGGCACAAATAACTAACCTTTGCTATGACAATATCTGAATGTTAACCAAGCCAAAAAAACATTTTCCATACTCTAAGACAATAATTAAAAGCCACCAAACCGCTAAGAAAGCATATCTAGAAAGCTTTTGTCCAGTTCACCACTCGATAACATATCGATCACCATCTTAATACTGGAAGCATCTGCTGAGAACCCACAACTCTTCATTTCTTCAATAAGTTTAGCTGATGCAGTTAAGTCACCATCTCGGAGATGTGCCCGGATTAGTGTGTTGTATGTACAATCATTTGGCGCATTCCCATCTTCCTCCATTTTTCTAAGCAAGATGTTTGCTTCAGACAGTGACCCTTTCTTACATAATCCTGAAATCATCACGGTGTATGTCATAACATTAGGCTTCACTCCTTTACAAGGTAGGCTACAGAATAAATTCCAGGCATCTTCCACTTTTCCACCCTTGCACATCCCCTCGATGATGATTGTATACATAACAATATCAAGATCCATCTTACTCTTTTGCAAATCCTCAAAAATTTCCAATGCCTTTTCAAGCTTCCCATTGTCACACAAGCCATCAAGCAAAATACCATATGTCATAACATCAGGAAGAACACCGCGTGAAACCATTTCTTGGAAAAGTTCCTCCGCGATCTCTAGTTTCCCAGATTGACAAAACCCTTGGACAAGAATGCTATAAGTAACTGTATTGGCAACCAAGCCTCTCTTAGAAATCTTGCGGAAGAGTTTCATACCATCGTCAACCCTTTTCACCATACAATATCCTTTAATGAGACTTGTAAAAGTCACGATATCAGGACTGCAATTATTCCTAACCATAAGATCCAACATATTGTTGGCCTCGCTAAGACGGTTCTGCATACAATACCCATCCATCAAGGAATTATAAGTAATAGTATTAGGTGATATACCTCTTGTAATCATCTCATCGTACAATTCGTTAGCCTCCTGAAGCTTCCCTTCTTTAACAAAAACATCAATCAATACATTGAAAGTGATGACATTAGGGATGATTTTCCTACTCATCATATCCTTCAACAACTGCACACCATCATTCCATTTACCGGCTTTACAAAGACCTCCCATAAGAGAATTATACGTAACAACACTATACTTAATTCCTTTCGTTTCCATTTCCTTGAAAAGGCTAATTGCAACGTCTATGCAACCATCTCTACAAAGACTATCAATGATTGTACTGTAAGTAAACACATCAGCCTTAACATTTCTTTCTTCCATATTTCTGAGCAAATCCAAAGCCAAAGAAGTATCTCCTAATTTACAAATCCCATTTACAATCGAATTATAAGTAACCACATCGGGTTGACATCCGTTTTCCACCATCCTATCGACTAAAACCACAGCTTCAGACACTTTCCTCTCAAGACAGAGACCATTGATCAGAGTGTTAAACGTTGTTGTGTCAGGCTCATACCCAAGCTTCATAACTTTTCCCAAAACAGAATAGGCAAAACAAGTTTTACAACACCGGCAAAAGCAATTGATCATGATATTCAAAGTGTAGATATTATGTGCAATCCCATTCAATTCCATCTGCTTGCAAAAATCTAAAACGAGATTGAACTGTTTTGTTCTGGCAATTCCACTAAAGAATCTACTGAAATCAACAAGACTAGGAAGAGGACGAGACCTAATCATTTCTTGAAACAGATCAATAGCTTCATCTTTCCTAATATCAACAATCCCACTTCTCAATCTCCCATCGCTAATAGCAGACAAGTCTCGTCGTTCGCAGCTAGACGAGAAGCTAGAAAGGCTACAGAGAAAATCAGTTCTAAGAGTACCTGTCTCCAAGAGATGAGGCTGAACCAATCTCAAAGACTTCAAATTTATAGCAATCGATCTCTTTATCATCATTATTTCTTCAGCTGGATTGTTCGATTTCCTCGATTTGGAAATGGATGTTCGAATACACGTAGATGTGTACGTATATGTTGAAATTGGGTTTAAATTTGGCCCAGTTGTTTGGGTTATAAAAAAGTGGCTAGCCCACTACATGCATGTATTTATTAATCATATGTATTTCAACTTTAGACTTGTGCAATTCCCATCTTAGTTCTGCTTTTGTGGTTTTAATAATACTATGTGCAATGCTCTTCTCTCTTTCACCACTAACTAATATGCCACTAGCTAGTAGCGGATTCGAGCAGTGACGACTCGAATGTAAATAGGCTTTTTAAGTAAGCAGTTTTGTTTTTCTTCCTTCAATTTAGAAATCGATAAGCAACAGGAACATCATCACTTTTGTAGCATTCATCTCCGGTTGCATCAAGGTTATGATATGAGTAAGTGCTTTAAAATTGTGATAATCAAGAATGTATTTCCTGCAGGATCTGAATCAACCAAAAGTCCGAGATAGATTCATTTACCTATATTGATATCCACATAACATGAATATAAAAAAGCATAAAAATTTATTACCGAAATCATAGCTTATATAGAGAAGGATCCATTACATTATAAGTGAGAAATATATTGTGAAACATATATTTTAGAGATTTGTATTAATGTTATGGATCTTCTAATGTACCTTCTCTATAGCTTCCTCGCAGCCGCGTCAAACTCCTTATCATAATATTCGTAACGTCTTTTCATTGACGAGAGAAACGCTTGATATTGATTGTAATCAGAGTGAGCCTCCATACACTTGTACACGGTGTCAAAAGCTTCAAGTTTCCTATGGAACGTGAGAGTGTTATTGTTTCTCGTATATTCTGCATCACGACGTCTAAAAGACCTTATTGATTCTCTGCAAGGACCTCTCATGAACTCAGACACCTGCTTAGCTTTTTCCTTTGGTTCTTTAGCGGGGAAGACGGGATCACGGTTCCTCTCCTCGATTTCGTCGACAGTTTTCCATATCGAATAATACGGCTGATAGTAATCCAAGTGAACCTTCATACACTGATCCAGCTTCCACATGGTTTCACTACAATCAACAATTGTGTTCCCTTCGCAATCTTCAAAAGCCGTAAACGATTCTTTGCAACCACCTCCTATCATGAACATGCGATATCGTTCTCGCTGTGCCTTTGACGGACCTCGGTAATTTTGAGTTTTGGTGTTGGAATTTTCGGGTTTCAGATCTGTGGGTGACATGATCCCTATGCCGTGCGAGAGATCAAAGCTTATGGAAGTTGTATTCGCTTTTAAGGGTTTAGTCAGCAAGCTCTATGTATTCTTCTTATTGACAAGCCTACCAGAGGCATATTTATATATTCAAATTTGACCTTTTTCTTGTAACGCAAGACTTTTACGAAAGAGAGAAAATGAAATATAGAGAAGAGGAAGTTGAATATACACTAAAAGCGCAGGGAAAAGGTAAATATCCAAAAAACAAAAGAGGAAGATATATCCACCAAGTTATATGTGTAGTCGAAAACTTGATTGTCAATCATTCTTTAATTAATTAATACGAGAGAATGACATTAATTAAGGTTAGAGCCTTTTTAATACTATAATACGTGCAAGGCAAGGACTTTCATCAACCAGTTCAAACCAGCTACTTATTTTCTCAAGGGTATCATATAAAACTCAATACTTAAAAAGAATCGTGATCATACATGTAACAACAACAATTAATACTAGCACAAATCTTGTCACTGATATTTTGCACTGCTGTCATTTTAACAAACCTAAAGAAACTTGTTAGTGATATTGTACTTCCTTAATTTTTCATTTCACACACCGCCGTAACTTTTATAAACCGTACCTAAATTACAAGATTCCAAAGTATGGCAAGATAATGCGCCTAACGAAAAAACTATACAGGTCTTCGAACATTTTAAGAATTATAAGCACAAATTGGATTCTAAAGTGGGTTTCATGGGCGTCATCAGCAAAGTCATGACATTTAGTTAGAGCAAATTATATGTCAAATTAAAAAAAGAAAAGAAAAGGTAAAGAGTATTCATTCATTCAGATGGAAACGCTAACAATTGATCCCCAAATCCAATATAGATATTCCTTGCAAAGAAAAAAACCTGAAAAACCTAAAATGCCTCTTATTCATCTCACAGCTTGCTTCCGAATACATAAAATCCTCTTACTCAGCTTGCTTCCGAGAGACAAAGGCTTCGAGCTTCTTGGCAAAGTCGTTTGCAGCAGTTTCAATGGGCGCGAGATATGGATGATAGTAATCAGAATGAGCATCCATACAATTGTTCCACATCTCCGAGACTTCGGCACACTTAATGTTGACATCTTCCTTGTTTTTCTCAGCTTCCTTAGCGCAATCACTCCAAGCCGTATATGATTCTTTGCAACTACCTCCTTTCATGAATGCTATAAAGCTCTCTTCCTTCTCTATGTCTCCTTCTTTCGTTTGATCCAAAAGGGTTGACGGAAGGAAGACGGCTTCTAAATCCTTTGTCAGCTGTTCCTTACAAGTCTCTAACCGTGCGATAACGGGCTCATAGTAATCAGAATGAGCCTTCATACAATTCTCCAGTATTTCTGAATACTTGGGCTCCTCGTCATCAAAGCAATAAATTAAATCCAAATATGATTCTTTGCAAGCACCTCCTTCCATGAAATCTTGGAATCGATATAGCCAATTATCACTTGACGAGTCTCCCAGTTCCTCTGACGGGACTTGGTTATTTTGAGATTTAGGATCCGTATTCTCCGCTTTCAGATCCGTGGATGACATGATCACCAATGCCGTGAGAGAAATCGGATCTAATGGAAAGGGTTTTAGACAGAGAGGCTTGTGTATTCTTCTTATTGAGAAGCCTACCAAAGACGCATATTTTTTATATACAAGGGATTTGAACATTTGCTTGCAACTCAAGGCTTTTACAGAAGAGAAAAAAAGAAATATAAAGAAGAGAAAGGTAAATGAATACTAAATTAAAGGCGCATATCCACACAAAAAGAAAGAAGAAGATATCCACGAAGTTATATGTGTAATCAAAACTTATTCGTCAATTATTCCTTAATGAAATACGAGAGATGTAGGCCTAGTCAGGTTCTTCGTATCTTTGGATATATATATTTTTTTTTAACTTCTCTAACAACTAATTTGATACTTCCATACCAAATCTAATGATATTATTGCATAATAATGATGTAAATAAAGTAGACACATTAACGGATCTGATTAGTTAACTTTGTAACAAATAATCATTCTTATTCTTAACGTAACTAATAACAAACAAGTTATAACAGATGGTTTAGTCTCAAGGTCCACAACATATTATTACAGTTTGCTTCAAAACTCAATTAAGTTACAGAACAAAAGCTCTCTAAATAGAAGCTCTAACTACATCTATACAAGGCTAAAGAACTGCATAAAAAACCTCCTTTAACCTCTCACTAAACCGGATCCGATTGAAACATTAAAACCGCTTCAACTGGCCTTTACACGAGCTCGGGTACACGACTACAGAGTCTAGAGATAACCCGCCTTTGGTATGGGTACAATCGATCTGAGTCATCGAAAACTTAATCTTCGTCGATGATCTATTAGATTCCCGGACAACAAAGTCTCCGCCGTGGTAATGAATCCAGTTTCCCCGCTCAGTTAACATACATTGAGATGAGGAGTATTGACCATCTTCAGTCCAGAGTTGAAATCGAACCGGTTTAATGTCCCAACCGTGAACTTGTTCGGTGTTACAGACCCGTCGACCAAACCACTTACCAGACCGGCCTAATTGAAGCCTGAAGAAAATGCTGTAGGTTCCAACCGGAAATGGGAAATCGATTTCACCATCAACTTCAAACCACCAAATTTGTTGGAGATAAGCTACAGAAGAAAACCTGCAAGAACCAATTTAAAAGATGAATGTTAGACCATAACATATATCCAAACTCTGATAAGAACATGAAAGATCTCTAATTGTACAAAGGAGTCTAACTGGAAAGAAAAAACACACACACACATAGTAATAAACTAGGATCACCGAAAAAATCAAACTTGAAAAGAGAAACCACAACAAGTTTTGTATATGAAACCACATGATCAAGACACAATTTCAGGTTTAAAAAAGCACACTTTTGAAGAGCTTGTGTTAGGCAATCCAACCAACAGACAAGTTAGGGGAAAAAAGAAGCATATTTTTGCAAGAACTGAGTTATTGTTAAGCAATCAATTCAAGCAAGTAGATGCCATAGATGATTCCGATTAGATAATAGAATCTAAAGACAAAAAAATCTCACCGAGATTCATCAGTGGGGATATGACTCCAATATCTACGATCATCAATGCCTGTGATGGATAATCCTTTAGCTGAAATGGACAGACAAACACCACTGGTTCGTTTATCTATCCATACCTTCTGCACAATCAAAACTTGTTTATTGAAAAAGTTTCCAATTTCAGAAAAAAATCCTAACTTTTACATATAAACCCGGAAGGAGAAGAAACAGAGAGAGAGTGTGTGAAGAGCGAACCTTGGTGCCATCATCGGATGAGTTAATCCGGCAGAGACAAGCATAAAGGTCTCTTTTTTGCAAATTTTCAGGGAACCCACCAAGGATTTTCTCGAGAACATCTCTGTAATTAGGAGGAAGCTTCGATTCCCACACACAATCAGCCCAAGAAGCTCCACGAAATGCTCTATTGAGCTTTGAGAATCTACAGATCTCAACAGGATCCAAATTCTCAACAATCATTGCCACACACGCCTCTGGTAAATCACCTAACCCAAGCTTCGTTAGATTCCGATCCCCAAAACAAGACGACGATGAAGAAGACAAATCATTGTGAAGATCAGAGTGAGCCACACCCATCTAAACCTTAGAAAACCTCTTCCACGAGATACAAAAATCTCAAGAGGTTTTTAAGAAAATGGGTGTTCTTGATCTTCAAGAAAAAGTTATGAAATTTCAAGACTTTTCGTTCTTGAAGTTTCTTCGAAGCGAAAAAATCAAAAGTTGTTTACTCAAAAACAGAGCAAATAAAGAAGGGTTTGGTGGTTGTGACAGACAATATTGGACGGTGACACAAAAAGGCATATGAATCGTCTATCATACCTACTTTTTCAGCTTATTAATTAGAAAGAGGGTATTATCTAGTGTATTAATAAGGGGTAAAAAAAAAATTTGTTTATTTTTCTTAATTTGTGTGAAGAATGGTAGAATGACGCTATTTGTGAAACAGAGGAAATATATTTATACATGTTCTGTTAAATTCATTCAAAATTAATTAGTTTCAAGTTTGTAATAACCATCGAAAAATTATTTTGAAGCTGTTGGATTGGATGTTGAATTTTTTGTTTTGTTTTTTTTGTCCGTTTTCCCTTTTTTATCCGTATACTCTAATTCATGAGTTGTAACTTGTAAGAACCATATTACGAAAACAATTATAATATCCAAATCCTTAGCCATTTGAGATTTCAGTTATAGTTTTCTGTTACACCTAATCCACAATGTCAACGAGAGAATCTGTTTATTTGTATGAACATGTAGATTGCATTGTCATTTTAATAACGTTTTTCCCATATTTACACGATCCTTGTGGATATATGCTTGTAATATATAAGTTTATTTGTGTACTAGTATTATATTATGTTGTATGGTTCATAATTAAATAATACTTTGAAAATCTTGTACAGCTACAACTGTTTACCTTTAAATTATTGTAGTCTACGATTCACGTAATGATATTGTTAAATTTGAATATAAATTATAACATTGTGGTGATACTAATACATTAATACAAATAACTAAAACTACAAAGACATTGTAATTTGATTAGTACCTTATGATTCAACAGATCCGACCAAAGTATATCTTTGTATCTAATCAGTTTTCAATTCTCTGCATCATATTTCGAGCTTTCGACTATTCCTGCCATCGTATCGTATGATAACCTAAAATTTTGATATCTTGCACAATTGATGATATTCACGTTCGAAGTTGATATGCAATTGTTGAACGAATATGAGTTGTCATCATGATTCTCGTGACACAAGCAAAAGAAAAGAAATGTCCATATATGCTCAGATATTTTGAAGATATTTTGACGGAAAAAAAGAAAGATTATCCACTCATGCATATAACGAATACGAAAATATCCATCGTCATTTCATTGCTGTCCTCTTTTTTGTTAGATAAGAACATTAATATTTGTTTTCCTCCTATCAGATTAATGTCAGAAGTTTTGTGTCTGGAAAACTTAACATTTTTTTTTTATGTGGGTAGAGACGCATAACACAACCATACTAGATCAGATGATAGATCGATCAAAAAAGAAAATCATAATAATTGGTGGTAGTTTGATCAAATATATATACTAGATGATAGATCTTACTCTCTTTTTTTTTTTTTGGTAAATAAGATCTTACTCTTGGTATCTCAAAACTTGTTTTTTTTTTTAATATTAATTTTAGAAAAATGAATATTTTTAGGTCGCTTACACATTCTCAATAACAAAGATAAAGATAAAAGATGACTTTTAAATGATTTGGTATTAATTAATACCGTTTTAATACATAATCTTATACAAGCAGCTTGGTATAATAAAAAATCTCTAAATATAAAAAGATGGACGAAACTTTATTCGTCACGATGGACCAATCCTTTGCAATCACGAAAGGTTCGTGAATTCGTCGAAGTACTAATTTATCAAAATGAATTAGTGAGATCATCTCATTGAAGACTATAATAATTAAACACTAGTTTCATGGAAAAGCCCATAAAAGTCCTATGAATCTATGAAAAGACAAAAAAAAAAAAAATATCTAAATCCACAGAAAAAACAAAACAAATGGTACACCAAAATACACCTAATTAGATCCTACCAAAAAATACACCTAATTAGATTCTTGACAGCATTTAGAAGAGAGTTCTAGAAAGATTATGATATATAATGTGCTTCTCAGCATTTGATCTGATGATTTTTTCAGTGTACCTATTACGATATGGTCAGTTTACAAATATCTCGAATTTCCTTTTCCACTTGATCTAATGACGATGACATAAGACCGAGAAAACGAGGACGGATAATCTCAAATAAAAATGACAAAATGTCTTAGCCAATAAGCCCACTAGAAAAACAGAAATAAATAAATAAACATAAAAGGAGCTTTTCTATTGGTTGGTCAGGAAAAACGAGATTGTCAAGTGATAACGACATTACCGGAGAAACATAAAGTACGTAGGAGATATGCTTTTGTACATTTGTTTTTCATTTTAGTTTACTTTTTTTTGTGCAACTTGTTCTTTGCTTTTCTTGTACAATAACCGAAAGTGTGTAAATTATCTCAAAATCAGAGACGCTGACAAAAAAAAAAAAATCTAAAAATCAGAGACTAAGAAAAAAAAAATTAAAAATAGTAATTAACAAAACAAATGTTTCAAAACAGTTTACGAGTGAGCCCAAGCCCATAACTTAATCAGAAATGACAAAATATTATATTTATTAGTTAAGTTACGGCCTGATCTAAAGTCAAGGCCCATATTTATGGAAAGCAGCCCAATAGTATAATAACGACATCGTTTTTACTGTTACGACTAGCTCGCCGGAGAAGAAGAAGAATGAAGGAAGAGAAGAAAGACGACGGAGTAATGGCAGAGGAGGAGCCCTACATGTTCTGGATTTGGGCTATGGCTTCTACGATTTTCCGACTATTCTTGATCTTTTTCCCGGAAAATATAAACCTATCTTCCCGTCCAGAGGTCTCCACCCCTCTCACCAGCCTTCGCCGCCGTACATCCTCTTCGCTGTCTCTCGTAGATGCTCTATCCACAATCTCGACTACGCTTACGATTTTGTTTTTGAATGGTTTCAGTTGCTGAAGGTTACTGGTTGAAGCAGTCATTACAGTCGCCGTACGCAGGTTTGTAATTGATTCGTCTTCTACATATGAGAATTTTGTTGTTGAAGTTGAAATCGTGGTGTACTTGTTTCTTCTTCTGGTCAGGATCAATGTATCATGGCTCTCCATTGCTACTCTCCATTCTCGGTCCTCTAACAACTCGGAGGTAATGACTGTAATCTATTCCAAGTTTAGTTCTTGAGCTGAGTTTCTTCTTATTGTATAATTTGAGCCAAAGTGACAAGTTTGATGTTGCAGGATTGAAGGGAAATCGAGTCATCATTTGTGCAGGTACTTTTTAAGGAACTGTACTAGTAATCAAGAATTGTAACTGTGTGATCTCGATGGAATTAGAGTTGTTGTCTTGATTGAGAGCTTTGTCAGTCATCTGGTTGACACCAACAATCTTCTGGATACAGCTTGGTTTTTGTTATTGCAGATGTACTTAGTGCATTGCTTCTTCGAGCTACTGGTCAGAAGCTCCAAAAGGCTTATAGATTGAATTTGAGTCGACTTGGCCTTCTTACGTCATTACATGATAGAGGTAAACTTAATTTAACCAACAAAGTCAGAGTGTTTTCCTATCGTTCTTATACCAAGTGCTAATCTAGAATACGGGGATATGTTTATCTAAGTCTTTTCCCTGTATATATGTATATATTTATTGAAGTTAGTTAATGGTCATTGACAATTGGTGCATAAGCTTAGTTCTCTTTCTTCCTTGCAACTATTTTTATTGGAAGGATATTGCTGATATCTCCTTTATCCTGTTTTCCTCAGTGATCCTCCCTTGTGGAGATATTGCTGCTCTTGTGTACCTGTGGAATCCTTTCACAATACTTTCATGTGTTGGCTTATCAACTTCTCCAATAGAAAATTTGGCTGTCATTGTGTCTGTTTATGGAGCAGTTACTCGTAAGCAATTGTTGGAAAGTGTTCTTTGTATCTATCTTGGATGATGTATTACGCTCATCTCTGTCGTTCTTCTTCTCAACACAGTCTTCTACCTTTGCAGGACGAGTTCCTCTGGCTGCATTTGGGTTAGTCATGGCCACACACTTGTCTCTTTATTCAGCAACTTTAGCGATTCCAGTACGCATAATCTCATTTCCATTGTCGTTTTGTTTCATATATCTCAATCTCAAGTTTATCAGGGGAATCGGATTCTAATTGCTCTTGTGTTTCCCTCAGTTGATCTTTCTGTTGGGATATGGTTTAGATGCCCCTCCTGTAAAAAAAGTCCTTCAGACAAGACATGTAGGAGTTGAGACGACTGGATCAACCTCTGATGTTTCGAAACAAAACAAGTTGACTCAGACTACACAACTTTTCTCATGGAGAACAGTCTTGCATTTCGTATTTTGGGTATTGGTGTGGTCGAGCTATGTGTTGGTTTTGTGCAGCTTATCATTGAAACAATATGGTGGACTTGAAGAGATGTTCAAAAGGTACTACTTATCTGTGAAATCTCAATTTTTGTGTCATAACCTGAATATCCGTTGGCATATACAGGAGCAAAACTCAGTTTCTCTATATATTAGGTTTCAAATTATATATTACAATTTCAGTATTAATGCTGAACATGTTTGTGCTTATGTCTCCTATTGTAGGACATATGGTTTCATTCTCAGAATCGAAGATCTGTCCCCAAACATTGGTGTCTTTTGGTAAGTCTAAGGTCAAATCTTTATGGAGCAATTCTATTTCTGTATATCTTCACATATGCATCCGCCTTCTATCTCATTTTTCAGGTACTTCTTCGCAGAAGTCTTTGATTTTTCCAGAAATTATCTCCTGATAGTTTTTAACTTATATATTCTGCTTACGGGGATACCACCGTTAGCCTTCCGGTTAAAACATCGGCCCTGCTTCCTTGCTTTCGCTTATTTAGCCTTCTCCTCGATTCTTAAATCTTATCCTTCAGTTAGTATTTTAACTTCACTATGTAACAATATTTGTATCTTTCTTGAAAAAGCTTTCTGTTCATATAATCTAAAATCTTGAATCTATTCCTTAATCTCATCACTAGGTTGGAGATGCAGCTTTATACTTGAGTTTATGGGCATTGTTTGTCAATGAATTAACAGGTAGTGAAACAAATTTCTTCTCATCTCTTTCGATATGATCTTGAACCATCATGAGCTTTTCACATCTAACTCGGCTTCTGTGTAAACGTTAGACATGGAGCACTCGTGCTTTATCTTCTGTGGATATATTGGATTTTCGCTACTCAGCCCTGTGATGCACAATATCTGGATATGGAGGGTAAAGCTTCGAACCTCAACTCAATTCAATCACAATAAAACTTTAAAAGAAACCATTCTGCTATTTAATAACAAAACTTCCAAATTAGAACCCATTTGATTTTTGGCTTTACAGGGAACTGGAAATGCAAACTTTTACTTCGGAAATGCTATGGGCTACGCGTGCTTTCAGGTTAATAGCAGAAAACTTTGACCTCATTGACTCATGAAATATCAATAAAGGATTGACATGTTATTTTTCTTTTAAGGGTCTGATCTTTGTAATTTGGTTTGTTGTTTACGGGTTTATGGTTTTGGCTGTATTATTTTTCAGTTTATGTTTGTGGAGAAAAGTGTAAACGCAATGCTCAACCATGACCAGGCGCTGAAGAAAGCTACTGCAGAAATGACAAAGAACTGAGCCATTACAGCCATTTTTTAATGTTCGGTTTTAAGAGTCTCTAACCATAAACTAGTGGCAAAATTAGTGGTCTTCTTTGGCCAAACGCAGAAGCCAAAAAACGTCGAACAACATGTATTAGGGAGTCGATTGGTTTAGTCGTAAAGTGTCACATTTACTAGTGATTGTAGTTGCACAGTTTTAACAAGGCTTCAAACTCGGAGATCCAAACCAAATGAGACGACACATATTTTACGTTGACGACCACTTAGCTCCGATTCCTTGGTTAAGTAGATTGTTGTGTTAAATGTTTTTCATAATGTTCATAACTTTTTGCAGTGAAGTTAGTTTTATCCTTATTCACTGTATATTTCTCTATTTCATGTATTAATTTAGTAAAGATAAGTAAAGAAAAATAGAAATAACTTAAAAGTGATGGTCTAATGAGAAATTTGAGTAGTATTGTACAAAAATCCGGATAGTATGGGTTACAGTTAAAAAATTTCTGTTTCAAAGATGAGAGGACAAAGAAAAAATCTTCATTTAAATATTTGCACTTTTAAAGCCTTTTAACAAAAAAATATATTTTCATATTCATTTTATATAGAGCTATAGAGAATATTATTTTGTTAGATGCAGCGGTTAATTAAAGTTGGGTGGAGCTTAATGACAAGTGCAAAATCACGTGGTTTTGAAGTGCGAACAAAACAAATCAGCACTTTTAGAGTTAAGATTATCAATTAATTATATGCATATATAAAGTTTAAACTTTAAATCAATCTCATACTATGAAAAAACAATTAATGCCATGCAACTTTATACGTATATGTTATGTAAATATGTGCATAATAATCAAATGATACTCATGGTTCCCTAGGCTCCTGATTTATGACGAAGTTTTTTGGTCATTGCTTACCGCAATGCCAATTATTTTACTTCGCCCACAATTTTCTTCTCGATCGAGTTGCTAATATTTTTATTCTTTAAGAAACACTAATTGTACATAATAGCTGCGATATATCTTAGACATGTTGTGTTGTTTGAAGTGTATAATACTCATATATACACATTCCACGGTAAAGCTTTTCTTTTTCTTATAATTATAATGGGTTATCTATATGTTAAATATTATAACAATGTCACAGAATCTTCGTTGACTTGTATTAAGTAACAGCGAAATTGCTTACGAAACAGTACAACCAAATTCACTTTGTATCATTAAACAAATAACGAGTGTCGTTGTTCATATATAATAACTTCAGAGTATTTATCTAAGTAATTAATTTATATTTTTATGGTTAGTTATAATTGAATAGCCTGCCGTTTCGTCCGTCGTTCTAGGTTTTAGAAATTTTATAAATTATTTTCTCCTAGTTTTGGGTCATCAGACCTGTTATTCAATTTTTATCTGTGGTTTAAAAAACTAATATTTTGACTACCTTAATTAATAGCATGCATCGTTAGTATAAAAAAACCTTTATAATTTGTATGGCTCAAAATTTATTCCGAATAAATTAGCTAGCGGAAACCCGACAAATCCAATAGACCACTCGTGTTAAACTGCTAAGTAACGTGGCTTGAATGATTAAATACAAAGGAAGGATTAAAATTACGTAAGACAAAAAAAAAAAAAAAAAACTAAAAATGAGAACTAGAAGTCTAGAACTATGGTTGGTTCGATATGTGACTCCCCCCACGACTGGCGTTTTACTTTTATGAAAGGTCAAACCCTAGCTACGGAGACAAGCAGACACGTACGACCAAATCTGTCTTTTTGTATTTTCTTTAACCTAAAATGACTTTTTTTTTGTTTATTTACCAAACATATTATATCTTTTGCCCTTTCACATTTTTTATTAACCGTCTTTAATCGACGTAGCCACTAGCCAGGACCCAGGAGCGTCTCCGGCTTGGGGTTTAGGCCGTTTAGCTCTTTTCCTTGGCATATTCTCTGCATGGGGTTAAATTATGGTCTAGTTCTCAAGTCCTTATTGTGTCCTTCATGTTTCACTGATCAATATATTAACAGTAGACAAAAAAAAAAAATTAGTCGATCCAACAAAAAATAATTTTGTCAAGTTTGTCCCAAAAGGTGACTTACCCTTACCTTATAAATCATTAATAAATCAAATCATTTGGTTTGTCACATTCATAACAAAGGAGGTGATAAATGATTTCTACGCATTCAATTATATCAGAGTGAAGATAAACATTCTTACTTTGGTTCTTTATTTTGTGTTATATGCTGTATAATTCGTTTGAAAGTTAAAACACAGTAAAAAAAAACAAAAATTTAATATAAAAGAGCTTGCCTCATGCGTACGGAACAGACAAGATTAACGAACTTTCTCCACAATTCTCTCGAATCCTCGTGTTGCTTCAATTATCTTTGATCATAATGTCTTATTTCTATTTATTTTAAATAAGTTTCTTTATCTCCTATATACTATTTATTATTAGTATATACTAATGTATGATATATACAGTATCTGTAATAGACTAATAGTTCATCAACAAAAATAAACTTACAAACAAAAATCTTTTTGGATAAATAAAAACACTCTACATGTATATTTGATTATTTGATGCAGAGCGCCTAAACTGAGACCTACCTTCCATTTTTTTTTCTTTTTCAATTGTTCATTGATAATATAAATATATATATATATATATATATATATATATATATATATATATATATTTCTGTATTTTGTTAAATGGGACAATATGTTATATATCTTTTTCTTTTTGGTGTAAACAATATGTTATCTTAGTTAAAACTGGATTCAATTTAAGCTAAGCTTCGTGAAATGCTAACACTATGGTCAACAACTTTAATTATCAACACAAAATGATTTGCTGCTCGATTTATCTGAATGGCTAAATCGATATAAATGATTAGACCATAAAATATCCAATGCTTATTATGAAAAGATTAGATAAGTAGTGGCTTATGAATATACTCCTTACGTTTTTTGTAAACGTTAATTCATAACAAATAATTTTGTAGGAAAAATAAACAAAATAAATTATAGCAAAAATTACAAGAAGGATAATATATTTTCAATACGAAGATATGTATCACATGGCCAACTTTCACATCCAATAAGTTTATGCCACGTTATAGAGCAGAACATGTAGGACCCAAGTTCACTCTAAGCAACTACAGTCTTACCAGGGAACAGCTCCGACCAATCATTAATTTTCTAACTCTTTAATTTTAACTTACATTATAAATTGGAAGTAGTTTATAAACTCAACTCAATCATCAAAATTTCTTGCCATCAAATTCAAATCTTCAAAATTCTCCAAACTATAATCACAAAAAAAAATTATACAAAAAATTGCAAAACAAGGCAATTTGAATCAGTTTGAGCAACTAGAGATAATATTAAATTTGTTTTGAGCAACTAGATGATATTAAATTATTAATATTCTAGTGCAAATGTAAAATCTTAGATGCGACTACCCTATCTATACCCAAAAGAAACGAAGATATTTCTAACACTAACATATTAGGTTTGATGAATTTGTTACATTTGTTATATATTATATTAAGCACATAATAAGATAATTTAAACAAAAGGAATAGCTTATTGAGTTGTCTCTATATTGGTACATCCCCCTAGCAATCACATCTCAATACTCTAATGAGTCTATCTATTAATTATGTTTTCAACTTTTTTTATTAACTAAAACCCTAATGAGGTTACTATTTTGGATTTCTCCACCTAGTAAGAAATCTGCCTATCATACACAAACACATCAATCAAACCCTATAAAACTCAATGTCGGATTTGCTAGCAATGCCAATAATGTTAATATTACTGTTTCGTATTTAAATTTTCCCTATAAAAGCAGTTCTAAGCTCTTAGGCTTTGTCTTATAATCAACCCTGTGTATACTATACAGTAGTTTCTAGGTCCAAACTTTAAAGTTATCTTTTTTGACCCAGGATTACTGATGAATGAACCACTTTTTGTCACCAATTATGTAACACTCACTATATTACTGAGAAAGGTGATCAATAATAATGGATAAGTATTTCACAGTAACCTACCTAGTTGAGTTTTTGTGGGTATCAAGTAGAGAGAATTGCATGGTTTGTTGCATAAATCCTGAGTGAGCCCGTGGCTCAATGGCTAAAACACATATTGTTCTTTGATTGGTTTAACCCGATGGGTCCCAAGAGCCGTCTGATGTTATATGTCTCACACACACTTAAAGCCAAAAAAAGAAAGATAATAATGATAGATAGTATGATTCAACTCTCAGGTTAATCATAATCTGGACAAGAGAACTTGCAGATTCAGTGGTTGATAACAGGATCTAAATGCTGATGTATGTATTATTTTGCAAGATCTTGAGTTTGACCAGTGGAAAAATTAAGTATTTGAAGATAATAATGATAATTATTAAAAACACATGACAAGAAGATCTAATGAAGAGATTGTGAGCATGAATGAGAACAAACTGAAATGCACTTTATTAGTTAGTTTATTTTGCTTCCCTGGTGTCAAAGATTGTATTAGATACTGGAATTTTAGCATAGATATGGGATGAAATTAAGAAAGATAAACAACAAATGAAGTCAATAATGCAAAGTTGAAAACTTCTATTTATCCCAGTTTAATTAATAACCAAGAGTCTCAAATTTCAAGTTACAACATCAATTATTTACTATTATCATTAGTTTAATACCAAATCTAATGGAGAGGAAGAGCCCACAAAATGATGATCTCCTAAAATGAAGCTGAAAACTTGTCTAATGTCCAGACTTGTGTTTTAATGCCATATGAGACACAATAAACTAGGAGGAAAGAGGAACCTTCTTATCACATTTCCTGATTTTTTTTATACTTAAGAAAAGCTGCCCGTTCACACGGATAATGCATCATATATATGGTTTCTATAAACAGATTTTAGTGTTTTTTTTTTTAATGCTTAAACCTTTTCTAATTCTGCAACCACTTTTTGAGAAATATATTATTAATCTAATGAGTTATGTCTAGAGACTTGCCCTTGCCTATTTAAGCACTCACATAATGGTTGACGAAGATGGGCCAGCACTCAACTTCTCTTTCTTTTCTTCTTCTCCATTCTCTTTGTCTCTCTCCTCTCCACGTTTTCAGTTTCTGTCTAAAGAACACAAACCAAAGAAGAAGTCAGAGGAGAAAAAGAAAAGTTTCATTTGTAGTTTCATATCAAAACAAATCAATATATACTCTTCTTAAATTTGTATTACTGTGATGTGGGCATTGTTCATTTGGGTTTCTCTGCTTCTCATAAGTATCACACATTGGGTTTATAGTTGGAGGAACCCTAAATGCAGAGGGAAACTTCCACCTGGTTCCATGGGTTTCCCGTTACTCGGCGAGACTATCCAATTCTTCAAGCCAAACAAAACTTCAGACATCCCTCCTTTTATCAAAGAAAGAGTTAAGAAGTAAGTGTCTCTCTTCTCTCATTCAAACTCTCATTCAAAGCAATGCGATTAATGCTTATGTGTGTACATAGAGTTTTTAAAAAACTGTTGTTGATATGTGCAGGTATGGTCCAATTTTCAAGACCAATCTCGTGGGGAGACCAGTTATTGTATCAACAGATGCTGATTTGAGTTATTTTGTGTTTAACCAAGAGGGTCGTTGTTTCCAGAGTTGGTATCCAGACACTTTTACCCACATCTTTGGGGAGAAGAATGTGGGTTCACTACATGGTTTCATGTACAAGTACCTCAAAAACATGGTTTTGACTCTCTTTGGTCATGATGGTCTCAAGAAGATGCTTCCTCAAGTCGAAATGACTGCTAATAAGAGGTTGGAGCTTTGGTCAAATCAAGATTCAGTAGAACTCAAAGATGCAACCGCAAGCGTGAGTTCCATCTAGAAATAGACTTGTTCTGTTATAATAATCCTACAATGATTTATTCCTTGTTGTGCTAACATGTTGGTACATTTAACACATTTTATCAGATGATATTTGATCTGACCGCGAAGAAGTTGATCAGCCATGATCCAGACAAGTCATCAGAGAATCTAAGGGCAAACTTTGTTGCTTTCATTCAAGGATTGATCTCTTTCCCTTTTGACATCCCAGGCACAGCTTATCACAAATGTCTACAGGTGAATCATCATTTGAATATTAACAGTCATTCTTCAAGCCTTTCTCATATTGTTACTAATGCTTGAAACTTGCTTTGCAGGGTAGGGAAAAGGCAATGAAAATGTTGAGGAATATGCTTCAAGAGAGGCGTAAGAAACCGCGGAAGAACCCAAGTGATTTCTTTGATTATGTTATTGAAGAGATTCAGAAAGAAGGGACAATTCTGACAGAAGAGATTGCACTGGATTTGATGTTTGTCTTGCTATTTGCTAGCTTTGAAACAACATCTCTGGCTATAACTTTAGCCATCAAGTTTCTCTCTGATGACCCTGCAGTCCTAAAGCGTTTAACGGTTAGTCAGAGGATACAAACATAAGCAAGAAAGTGACATTTTTATGGTTAATTATTATCAAAAACCTAAACTGTGTTCATCTTCATCAGGAAGAACATGAGACAATTCTGAGAAACAGGGAAGATGCTGACTCTGGACTTACATGGGAAGAATACAAGTCAATGACTTACACATTTCAGGTTGCTTAAATTTTTATGAAAGTATGATAACTTCCTAAGTTTCAAATACAAAATCCAGCTGATACTAAGTCTTAAAATTCTATAAGCAGTTCATAAACGAAACAGCGAGACTAGCAAATATAGTTCCTGCAATCTTCAGAAAGGCGCTGATAGATATAAAATTCAAAGGTATGATTAAATAAAGGGACAATAACATTCTCAATGATTAAGTGTCTCTTTTATCTTATATTATCACTAAGAGTTTGTCAATGATGCAGATTATACAATTCCAGCCGGCTGGGCGGTGATGGTCTGTCCACCAGCTGTACATTTGAATCCAGAAATGTATAAAGATCCTTTAGTCTTTAATCCATCAAGATGGGAGGTGAGTGGTCAAACCTAAAATAGTAACTTCTACTCCAAGTAAAGAAAATAAAATAATAACAAAAACTAATCAAACAATACAGGGATCAAAAGTTACAAACGCATCAAAGCACTTCATGGCGTTTGGTGGCGGTATGAGGTTCTGTGTTGGAACCGACTTCACGAAATTGCAGATGGCTGCGTTTCTTCACAGCTTGGTAACAAAATACAGGTGGGAGGAGATTAAAGGAGGGAATATAGTTCGAACTCCAGGATTACAGTTTCCAAATGGTTACCATGTCAAACTCCATAAAAAGAGAGACTAGAGAATGTTTTTTAATTAGTAAAGAATTGGTAGGATGATAATACGTTATACATTTTCTGAGACTGTAATAATTAATCTTGAACACCCTAATAAGTGAAAAGGGGAAGATTTGTCTTAGGTTAAAGGCTGAGAATCAGCTATAAAGGTGAATACACAATTTTGTCAGAAACTGTTATGTATATAGTATTATTGATAACAGACATGAAATGTACTTTAAACTAAGTTCTGATCAAATCTTATTATGTGAACTTTCTAAACTAGTGTTTCTATGCATCTATATTTAATAATGAACCTAGTCCATAACAATTTTCTTAAATGATCGATCTAAGATAAACACACAAAAATCATACCCACTCAAAAAATTCAGTATAAATTAGTTACAATTAAAAAGAAAAGTACAATTAATTTCAGAAAGAGAGTAATAAGAACAGTTGTTTTTTTTTTGTAAATTAAGATGTTTTTTTTTACTTTTTTTTTACAGTAAAAATGATTGAAATATCAACAAGACCATTTGGAAGTAGGATAACAGTCTAGGCGATGACACCATTTGCAATGTTTGTTCCCATTCTCTCCTTTGAACAGCATCACTATCCCAATTGTTAAACCGGCGACGACCAAAACAGCGGCAATAAAGAACAACACATACTGGCACGGGTTATACTTTGATTTGGCACGGGCACCGTACTGAGAAGAGTTGCGGGACTCTTCCCACCCCAACTGAGGCTGGATCAGTAGGATAAACCCAAGGAAAAATCCAGTCAAGAGCCCGCCAATGTGAGCAAAGTTGTCAACCCAAGGAAGCAAACCTATTGCTAAATCGACTGCGATGATGAACAAGATTGTGAACAAAGCACATAGCTGGAAAATTTCAGAAAATTTCAGAAAATCGTCAAGGCAATGCAATCATGTTATACATTTTCGGTTAATGTTTGTATCTTGGGAAAGAACTGGAAATACAGTACCTTGCTCTCGTAGATAGTCCAGTTGATGAGCAGCTCGGATAACATTGCTCCAATGAGTCCAAGGAGAGCACCCGAGGCACCAACAGAGATGCTATTTTGAAGGAAGAGAGCTGAGAGAATGCTTCCGCCAAATCCCGATATCAAGTAGATGAGCCCAATTCTTACTGCAGAATCGTTTTACAAGACATTTTGAATAAATGAATAGAACAGGAGAATGAGAGGATCACTGGTAAAATGAGCGGTAATAGGAAAGACTTACTGAAGCCAAACTGTTGCTCAAGGCGGATACCGAAGAAGATCACATTAAACATATTAGTTAAAAGATGAAAGATACCGGCATGGAGCCACATAGCAGTGATGAGCCTCCATTTTTCATTGCCTTGCACGACTTTCCTCCAATCCAAAGCTCCCATTTTCTCCAATCTGAAACCATCATCGGGTTCGAATCATCACATATCAGATATAGCATGGAATTACAAGAATTCCAAAAGTTACAGACCCTAATGCTAATGGAGCTCATAATCTTAAATCCAATATGTCCTCAGAGATACAAGTTAGACTTTGAATTCACAAGTTGTTTGACCTAAATCATGTTGTTTAGACAACAAAGTAAAAGATCTCAAGAAAAGAGTTTGTTTTGAATACAACATGGCATGAACAAACTAATCAAAGCAATCATAGATAACAATGAGGCATCAAAGGATCGCAAATTTGAAAAATAAAGATGAAAAAGATACTATTTAAATACCCCCAAAAGCCTTAACCTGATTTTGTAAGGAAGTAATCAAAATCTTGAAACATTGGAGAAAAAAAACAGAGACTTTTGGGGGTTTAGGAATTGAAACAGACAACACAAGTTCACAAAAATTGGGATTTCGAGGTTTTTAAAAACTTACGTTGAAGCAGATGGACCCAAGAGAGGGTTCTCTCTGAGTGGCTGAAACGAGAACCTGCCGAGAAACTTTGCCACGCAATCTTCGTTAGCTCCCCTGGTTGTCTTAGGGCAGTCGTTGATGAACATGACCACGATGAAGATGGCGACATTAGCCACGACAATTGTTGGAGTCAGCCACGACGTCCACTGGGTGTCCCCTCTGTGTTTCCTACCTCTCTCCATATCTCTACTCGACATTTTCTCTTCTCTCGTCGTATGAAGAACACAATTGATGTTTCTATAAATAGAAAACACAAAGTTTGAATCAACAGATGAAAGACGAAGAATAGATTAAGACAGGACACATGGAAACAGAGTATCTATTAATCAGATATTCAAGCAGAAGTTTTTAACCTTCAAATCTCTTCTCGTTGGTGGCAGCTCCTTCAAGATATTTTCCTTAAACTTTCTGATAAAAATCTCAGACCTGAGAGAGAATAAATCAGACGTGAAATCAAATATTAAATATATTGATTGACTCTGTTATTGCCTTATTGGAGTATTATTTTGTTATTAAGTTGATGTGAGAGAGAAAAGTCTACGGGGAATGTCAATAAGGCATATTAATAAACTTAGTATAATAGATTCCACATATAATGTGCCTGCACTATCCATTTTATTTACCTGACAAAAACAACGGATCAAGTCAAAAAACTGATTTTGATGTTTACAGGATCAACACAAACATCAACCAATCCAAATAATAAGTCCGGTCAACCATACGGGACAATTACGAATCACTACAAGGGTGAAATGCTCTCACCACAATGGTTTAGGTAGGATTTATTCAGTTTTTAGTTCTATAGCTTGTTAACTACACCTGATCATGAAACGTTCTTTCAAGAATTATTCACAATTTGAAACTAGAAAACTTGGTTGACCAACAAAGTTCCTATATATATCTGAATGTAGAAAGCATATAACTATTGTAACAATGAACCTTAACCATATCTAGTTTCATACGTAGCCTGCAGAATTTACCTGACTGGATTGGCTGCTTTAGCTGTTTCATGAACAAGGGCTAGCTTACGCAAAAGACTGCGTAGCTGGAGATACGATTCAATACCATTGCAGATTCGCATAGGACTAGGGAGCAATATCCCATCTCCTGCAGAAATTTTAGTACAAGACGAATGCAAGTCAGAATTTCATAAAAATGGTAATGGAGAGTTTAAGTCAGGTGGGGATCAAAATACTTTAGTGACCTCTCTAGTTTCAGATCCCCCAACAATTTTCCCTTCCAATACATTGATGATCATATTTTCTGATGTTAAGTGGATAAGGCTAGTTACATACCTGAAAGGAGGAAACTTTCGACAAGATTTATGATTGATGTGCCTCCATTCGTTAGAAAATCACACATTGTCCCTGTTTTCTTGGTTGAAAAACACTATATTTCCATTGTACACTCCTCAAAGCATGGTGTGCTCAAGATGTCATGCTGGTTCTAGCAACCAAAACAGAAAAAGGCAATAAATCAGAAAAGAGCCAAGTAAGACAACAATGTAAAATACATAGAAGATTTAAAAAATAACTATTACCAGGTGCACAAATTAAGCTATGACAGATCACAGTCACACATTGATCTCAAATGAGCTCGACATATCGTGACAAAAATTCAGATACTTGGTGACTTTAAAACAATAATATTCAACAAGTGATAACATGAAAAACCCAAAACATATCAATCAGACAATCAAATTACAAAATTTTCACAAAAAGTTCCTAAATTGAATCATATATCCTCGAATCAACTAAAGAGCAAAACTAATGGAGGTCGTCATCAACCATGGTTATCATTGATAATCGTGTTAATAGCAAGTTTAATCCATAACAAAATTACTTAATACATTGATAATCGAACAATGAAGCTCACCAATAATAGTCTCCCATATCAACCGCCGACGCAAAAGGTTGAAGAAGATGAAGACGACATTGCTTTGATGGGCCGTAAAAATACTTATTAAAAGAGACACATCATTAATCGTCAAGTTAATATAATCACCTCGTGGCCCATTTATTATATAGACCCCGCTTAATTTTGTCCGATTGTTGACTGTTGACTTTAAGGGGACCACATGAAACAATTCAAATATTCAATTTGAGAGATATTTTTCTGTTAATTTTCCTTAATCATCATCATCTTCAATCATCGTCATCTCTCTCTCTCTTCTCTTCGTTCCTCTTTCTTTACACGCTTGGAAACCCTAGCAATTCCAATTTCGTTTTCTCTGATTGAATCTTCTCCTTTTTATGGCGTAACGCTACACGAATTTCAACGATTTAGTTTCTTTTTTTGGTTGAAGAATCAAACGCAAGGAGAGAAACAATGTCAACGGAGACTACTACGGGGAATTCCTCATCGATTCCCGCATCATCGTCATCCTCCGACGCTATCGATCCAGCACCGTTGCTTTTAAACGGCGAGGATAATGAAGGAAGCAACGGAGGAGGAGGAGGAGGAGGTGGGGAACGGAGATCTGTTAGGAGACAAGGGTTGAGAGAAGCCGCGAGGTTTCTAAGTCGTGCTAGTAGCGGACGTGTGATGCGTGAGCCTTCTATGCTTGTGAGGGAAGCCGCGGCGGAGCAGCTTGAGGAGAGGCAGAGCGATTGGGCTTATTCGAAGCCTGTGGTGGTTCTTGATATTGTGTGGAATCTGGCTTTTGTTTCGGTTGCTACGGCTATTTTGGTGATGAGCAGGAATGAACATCCGATTATGCCGCTTAGAGTTTGGCTTTTGGGGTATGCTTTGCAATGCGTGTTGCATATGGTTTGTGTTTGTGTTGAGTATCGGAGGAGGAATAGGAGGAGAACCATTAGGACGACGACGACGACTCCACGGTCACGTTCTTCTTCTTCCTCTTCATCTTCTTCTTCCTTGGAGGAAGATGCTTTGGGTTCCAGGAGGAATTCAGATGAGCAGGACTTGTCCCTCGGCCACTTGGATACCGAAAGCAGCAGGTATGAAGTTTTGATGTGAATTTATGCCTCAAGCTTGCCTAGCTTTCGAATTACGGATACGTAGATAGTTGCATGACCTGTGAGCTTCAGCTGATGGAAGAAAATAATGGATGTGATAGTTATGACTTAAAAGAAAAGATGGAGTTTTGGTTTGGATGATCGAATTGCTTGCTTATTCTATTATCTTCTCCAACTTGTAGTGGTCAATACTTTGGTCTGCACCTTTTACACAAAGTGTATCTGTTCTGTTCCTTGATGTTTTGGTATGTGTTCTTATTTCGCTTACCGTTTCCAAAGCAGTGTTGCAAAGCATCTGGAATCTGCCAATACAATGTTTTCCTTTATATGGTGGATCATTGGATTCTACTGGGTATCTGCTGGTGGCCAAGAGTTGGCACAAGAATCCCCTCGGATTTACTGGTTTGTTATATTCCTCCATCTCTAATGTTCATAAGTGTTAACCTATTCCACTACTGAATGTCTTGCTTATTTCAGGCTGTCTATTGTCTTTCTTGGTTTCGATGTGTTTTTTGTTGTCTTCTGTGTTGCGTTGGCCTGTGTTATTGGAATTGCTGTTTGCTGTTGCCTGCCATGCATCATTGCAGTTTTGTACGCTGTTGCAGATCAGGTACTTCTCATAACCAATTCCATCTTGTATCATAAGTCGCTACATTGTGCTATTTGTTTTAACACAACGCAATAAAAATGCAGGAAGGGGCTTCAAAAGAAGACATTGAGCAGCTCACCAAATTCAAGTTTCGCAAAGTAGGTGATGCTAACAAACACACTGGTGATGAAGCCCAAGGAACTACCGAGGGAATAATGACTGAGTGTGGTACAGATTCACCCATTGAACATACTCTATTACAAGAGGATGCAGTAAGTATACACTATAACACACCAATCTCGACTAACATACCCTATATAGATAAATATGCTTCTTGATTCTTGTGATTCTGCATTACAGGAGTGTTGCATCTGTCTCTCTGCATATGAAGATGGAACAGAGCTAAGGGAACTACCTTGTGGACACCATTTCCACTGTTCATGCGTAGACAAATGGCTATACATCAACGCGACTTGCCCACTCTGCAAATACAACATCCTCAAGAGTAGCAACTTGGATCGAGAGGAAGTCTAGAAAAAAACAGCTTTACGTGTTCATGACCCACAACATTTGATCAGGAGACTTGGGGTTAAGGTAAAAAACAAGACTGGTTTGTTTTTTAGATATGATGCATTGTTTGTGATATGATAATGATATCTATACAAATTATTATACTTTTGTTTGTTTTTGTTTTTGTTTTTTTTGGTTTGGAAACTAATCAGGTCTGTACATCTATCTGTATCTATCTTCTTTCACTTGAAACCAATGTTTTGTAGTTTGTACTACCTCTTCTCAGTCGAGCTCGAATTGTTAGAGATTATCATCATCTTAGATCTTTAGTTATGCGCAATGACGATTTTGATTGTTAATTTAAAGTCTTTCCAGTTTGTTCTTTCGTCCTCTTGCTTAAGTATAGGCCTAATGATATCATTTCTAGCTCAAACAAACCATCACTAATGAAAATTAAAATTGGAAAAAAATATAATCGGAATTACTTATCAAACCGAATCAGATTAGAACTTTTGTTTTAGTGTGTTAGAAAAAATTTGAACAATACAAATCAAATTCGAGTCCAGAACCTGAAGAGAAGTTTGGAACAAAACAAATCAAAATTTGAGTACCTGAATTTTGTTGAAGAAAACCGAGAATGTACCGGTTTATCTGCAGACCCGGTTGTTTTGTCCGGTTTGGTCAAATTAGAGCAGAGCCTTTTATCCAGAAACTGGAGACTTGTGTAAAGACGCAAGTGACTTTCTCTTCGTATCGTTCATGGAGACTATTATCAGGTGACTTTCTTTTTTATATCTCCTCATCTATGGCTTTGATACGACCATTTAATTTCTCATTCTCCTATTGCTAAAGCTACAATCTTTCTCCGCCATTGGCCTCAGACACTATCTTATCTCTAGTGTTGATATATATATATGTTAGCCATTTAGAATGCATCCGAGTTTTTTGGTTTCTCTCCCTGATTTATTAGAATGCTTTTGGCCGGATTAGAATGGGTTTTTGTTGTGTAAACTGCCACCTGCTGCTAAATTCGCTTGTTAGGTGATGATGCTTTTCATGCCCGCCAGGTGTTCGACGAATTGCCTCATTTTTATTGGCTTGTTTCTTAATATTTTTTGGTGTTCTATAAAGCTGATTCCTTTTAGATATTATCTCATTTGATATCAGTATTACTAGATTTACGAAATTTTCAGTAGTTTGTCTACTAAATCAACAAAGCTGTTGTCATTTACTTCAACCTGTTCTGTGTATCTGCGTATAGTACGTCTTATTGCTTTCTAATGTGGATTCCATGTACTTTTCAGGCTGTTTTGAGAGCAAACACTGTGATAAATAGGCTTTCTTCCTTGTTAGCAAGCACACACGAGTGACATGGCGGCATCTGCTTCAACCCGATTCCTTGTTCTGCTCAAAGATTTTTCTGCCTTCAGAAAGATATCTTGGACTTCTGCTGGAACTAATTTCCACCGCCAATCTCGTTTTTTATGCCATGTTGCGAAAGAAGACGGGTCTCTTACTCTTGCAAGCCTTGATTTGGGGAACAAACCTCGTAAATTTGGGAAGAGTAAGGCGATGAAGCTTGAGGGAAGTTTTGTTACTGAAATGGGTCAAGGTAAGCTAAAAGCGGTAAAGAACGATAAAATGAAAGTAGTCAAGGAAAAGAAACCAGCTGAGATTGTGTCGCCTTTGTTTTCTGCAAAATCCTTCGAGGAGCTTGGCCTCCCAGATTCATTGTTAGACAGCTTGGAAAGAGAAGGTTTCTCTGTTCCAACAGATGTCCAATCTGCAGCTGTCCCGGCAATAATCAAAGGTCACGATGCAGTGATTCAGTCTTACACAGGATCTGGCAAAACCTTAGCTTATCTACTTCCTATATTATCCGAAATTGGTCCTCTAGCAGAAAAATCTAGAAGCTCGCACAGTGAAAATGATAAGAGGACAGATATTCAGGCAATGATCGTAGCTCCATCAAGAGAACTCGGTATGCAAATAGTAAGAGAGGTAGAGAAACTGCTCGGACCTGTTCACCGTAGAATGGTTCAGCAGTTGGTTGGAGGTGCGAACCGAATGAGGCAAGAAGAGGCCCTTAAGAAAAATAAACCTGCAATTGTTGTTGGCACTCCCGGGAGAATTGCAGAGATAAGCAAAAGTGGGAAATTGCACACTCATGGTTGTAGATTCTTGGTGCTAGATGAAGTCGATGAGCTTTTATCGTTTAATTTCCGAGAAGATATCCATCGAATACTTGAACATGTAGGAAAGAGATCTGGGGCTGGTCCTAAAGGGGAAGTGGATGAACGTGCTAACCGGCAGACAATTCTAGTCTCTGCAACTGTGCCATTCTCTGTTATCCGAGCAGCTAAGAGCTGGAGTCACGAGCCCGTTCTTGTCCAAGCCAACAAAGTCACCCCTCTTGATACCGTTCAACCATCTGCACCAGTAATAAGCTTAACTCCCACAACTTCTGAGGCTAATGGCCAGATTCAGACTACTATTCAGAGCTTACCTCCAGCTTTAAAACACTATTACTGCATCTCAAAACATCAACACAAAGTCGACACGTTAAGGAGATGCGTTCACGCCCTTGACGCCCAATCGGTTATAGCTTTCATGAATCACTCAAGGCAGCTCAAAGACGTGGTCTACAAACTCGAAGCTCGTGGTATGAATTCAGCGGAGATGCATGGAGATCTCGGGAAGCTAGGGAGATCAACAGTTCTAAAGAAGTTCAAGAACGGGGAAATCAAGGTCCTTGTGACTAACGAGCTCTCTGCTCGGGGTCTTGATGTTGCGGAATGTGATCTGGTGGTGAATCTTGAGCTTCCAACTGATGCGGTTCACTATGCTCATCGAGCTGGGAGAACAGGGAGGCTGGGAAGGAAAGGGACGGTGGTAACAGTGTGTGAGGAATCACAAGTGTTCATAGTGAAGAAGATGGAGAAGCAGCTTGGTTTGCCTTTCTTGTATTGTGAGTTTGTTGATGGAGAGCTTGTTGTCACTGAGGAAGATAAAGCTATTATAAGGTGAAGATCTAAAGATGTAATTTTCAGATACTATTATTACTAATTTAAATTCAGAGTTTTGTCCCTTTTTCATATATATGATAAACATATTTGTACTAGACGAAGAACAACTTAAAGCAGTGTTGAATTTGCTCCAGTTTTGACCGACTCTGACTAATACTCTTAACTCAAGCGTACGACGCGAAAAAACATAGTTTCTATGAAACAACAGGTCTCGGAAGCATTTCACCGAACAACTTGTGGGCTATATTAGTGAACCGGTTTGGACCGTATAACTCAGCTAAACCAATTCCGGTATAGCTTTGATTAATCGATAAGTTTTGGGTATTCTTTCTTTCTTTTGTCTTTCTTTTGTCTCTAAGCTAAAGCTCGTCACACAGAGAGATTGAAAAAGGCACGATTCAGGTTGAGATGATGATACGGAGATTGAGTCCCCAAGCTTTATCTCATTGCCCAAATGAGCTACTCTTTTGTTGCGAACGCGGCTTCTCTGGTTTCAGCGGTAGAAATCTGTCTTATAGAGAGAGATTGAGAAGTGGGATTGTTGATATTAAGAAAGATGATGCTATTGCTCTGTTCCAAGAAATGATCGGGTCTCGTCCTCTTCCTAGTCTTGTTGATTTCAGTAAATTGTTTAGTGCCGTTGCCAGAACGAAACAGTATGATATAGAGTTAGATCTCTGCAAGCAAATGGAATTGAAGGGAATTGCGCATAACAACTACACTTTGAGTATTATGATCAATTGCTTCTGTCGCTGTCGTAAACTTTGTTATGCTTTTTCTGCTTTGGGGAAGATCATGAAGCTTGGGTATGAGCCTGACACAATTACATTTTCAACTTTGATCAACGGATTCTGTCTCGAGGGTCGAGTTCCTGAAGCCGTGGAATTATTTGATCGAATGGTAGGAATGGGACATAAACCCACTCTCATAACGATTAGCACTCTGATCAATGGCCTTTGTCTCAAAGGTAAAGTCTCTGAAGCAGTGGTTTTCATTGATCGAATGGTGGAAAGTGGTTTTCAACCCAATGCAGTGGTTTTAAATGTAATGTGCAAGTCAGGTAAAACTGCCCTGGCCTTGGATTTGCTCAGAAAGATGGAAGAAAGAAATATCAAGCTCGATGCAGCCAAAAACAATATCCTCATTGATAGTCTTTGCAAAGATGGGAACCTCGACGAAGCACTCAACCTTTTCAATGAAATGGAAATGAAAGGGATCAAACCAGATGGTTTTACCTACACCAATCTCATAGGAGGCTTTTGTAATGCCGGTAGATGGAATGATGGTGCCAAGTTGCTGAGGGATATGATCACAAGGAGAATCACCCCTGACGTTGTCACATTCAGTGTTTTGATTGATAGTTTTGTGAAAGAGGGAAAACTTCTAGAGGCCGAAGAACTGCACAAGGAGATGATCACCAGAGGCATAGCTCCTGATACTATTACATATAATTCCTTGATAGATGGGTTTTGCAAGGAGAATCGCCTAGATGAGGCCAACCAGATGCTGAGTTTGATGGTTAGCAAAGGGTGTGATCCTGATATCGTGACTTATAGTATGGTTATTGTAAGGCTAAGCTGGTCGATGATGGTTTGGAACTCTTCCGCAAAATGTCTATAAGAGGAGTTGTTGCTAATACAATTACTTATAGCACACTTGTTCAAGGGTTTTTTCAATCATGTTCATGAATTTGGGCCTGTCAAAGATACGAAGAACCTAACTAGCTAGGCCTATATCTATCAATAAGTTTATTACTTTTAACTCTCGTATTAATTAAGGAATAATTGACATATAAGTTTCGATTACACATGTAATAACTTCGTTTCTTCTTTTATTGGATAGTTACCAATTTCTGGATATATACACCTACCTTTCTCTCTTCTTTATATTTCCTTTTCTCTCTGCTGTAAAAGCCTTGAGTTGCAAGCAAAAGCTCAAATCCCTAATATAAAAATGTATGCGTCATTGGTAGGCTTGTCAATAAGAAGAATACACAAGGCTCTCTGCCTAAAACCCTTGAAACGAAAATCGGTTTCCATAAGATCCGATCTCTCTCACGGCATTGGGGATCATGTCATCCACGGATCTGAAACCGGAGAATTCGGATCCCAAATCTGAAAATAACCAAGCCCCGTCAGAGGAACTGGGAGACTCGTCAAGTGATAATTGGAAATTTCGATTCCTAGATTTCATGGAAGGAGGTGCTTGCAAAGAATCATATTTAAATTTAATTTATTGCGTTGAAGACGAGGAGCCCAAGTATAAGGAAGCACTAGAGAAATGTATGAACGCTCACTCTGATTACTATGAGCCCATTATCTCACGGATAGAGACTTGTATAGAGACTAGTGAGGAGCAGCTGACAAAGGATATAGAAGCCATCTTCCTTCCGTCAACCATTTTGGATCAAACAAAAGAAGGAGACGCAGAGAGGGAAGAAATATTAGAAGAGAAGTTTCTAGCATTCATGAAAGGAGGTGGTTGCGAAGAACAATGTACGGCTTTGAGGGATTGCTTTTTGGAAGCTGAGAAAAACAAGGAAGATGTCGACATTAAGTGTGCGGGAGTCCAGGCGATGTGGTTCAATTGTATGGATGCTCATTCTGATTACTTTGAGCCAGTTCTCGCGCCCCTTAACACTGCTGGAGACGACTTTGAAAAGAAGCTCGAAGCCTTTTTCTCTCCGAAGCAAACTGACTAAGAGGATTTTAGGTATACGTACGGAAGCAAGCTGAGAGATGACTAAGAGGAATGTTAGGTTTTTTTTTATTAAGGTTTTCTTTGTTTGCAAGGAATATCAATATTAGATTTGGGGATCAATTGTTAGCGTTTCCATCTGATTGAATGAATACTCTTTACCTTATTTACTTTGTTGATGCCCACTTTAGAATCCAATTTGTGCTTATAATTCTTAAAATGTTCGAAGAGCTGTATAGCTTTTTATTCGTTAGGCGCATTATATAGCCATACTTTGGAATCTTGTAATTTAGGTACGGTTTATAAAAATTACGGTGGTGTGTAAAATGACAAATTAGGGAAATATAATATCACTAACAAGATTCTTTAGGTTTGTTAAAATGACACCAGTGCAATATATCAATGACAAGATTCGTGCTAGTATTAATTGTTGTTGTTACTTATATGATCATGATTCTTTTCTAGTATTGAGTTTTATATGATACCCTTTTAAAGTTATAAGTAGCTCGTTTAAAGTTTGACTGGTTGATGAAAGTCCTTGTCTTTCAAGTATTATAGTATTAAAAATAGCTCTAACCTTAATTAATGTCACCCTCTCGTATTAATTAATCCTATACTAATATTTGGGAAGTACATCCTAAGGATCATAACTTAAATTTTGTAAGAAATTACAATATATGCCATTATATAATTCTAATCATAAAATTTATTCCATGTCACTAATATATATTAACGGGTCAACGGGTCAACATGTTTAAAGATATTAAAAGATTTTGTTTATATAATACATAATTAATATAATTCGAGAATATTATATACCAATCAATATTCGAGATTATATAATATATAAAAATGTTATATAATACATAAAAGATTTTGTTTATATAATATATAAAAATGTTATATACTAATATACTAATATATTATTCGAAAATGTTATTGAAAATTAAAAATGTTATTCAATTTGTTATATAGTAATCCATTATTCGAACATCTTATAAAAAATGTCATTGAAAATGTTAATGAAAATGATATATCATTGAAAACATTTTATATCAGTCCAATTTATAAAAAATAAAAAATGCTATTTTGAATTATAATACCCATATAGTTCGAAAATGTTATATAAATTGAAAATGTTATATAATTCTTCATTTTTTAAAAATGTTACTAAGGAAAAATGGGTAGAAAAACCCTCACCTTTCCAAAAAACATGTAAAAAACCCTCAACTTTTTTTATGGGTTTTTAAACCCTCACCTTTTTATAAGTAGTAAAATAAACCCTAATATTAATAAATTCAACTTATTTTTTTTAAATCGTTATATTAAACAGTAATAAACAAAAACAATTTAATTTATGATTATTTTTTTCAAATTCGTGTTTGCGATTTTTTTCTTTCTAAAATTAAGGTTTTTGCGCTATAAAAATGCATTCACAATTTAGTTGAGATTAGGTAAATTATTTTTCTTACTATTAGAAATTATTAAATACAAAAATTTATAGGTAGCACATTTGATTTTCTTTTTTGTTCGAGTTTTCAAGTTTTAGATAAAAATATAGTTAAATAATGATTAATTAAATGTAATTTATATTATGTTTTTAATATATCGTACGTGATATATATATATATATATAGAAATATTAACTGTTAGTATATCTTATTTAGTTCGGCCAATGAAAATTCATGTACTTTTCGTAGTGTTATAAAATTTGGTTTGGTTTCACGTTAGTAAATTTGTGTGATCGAACCAAATAAACCTTTATTAATATAAACTCATATTCGGTTCGGTACAAGAATTTATATTTCATTCGTAACAAAATTTGTTTGGTTTCACGTTGATGAATATTCGTAATACAACCAAATGCAACTTCATTAATTAACTTTTTCACATCATGACTAAAAAATTTCAGTTTAGAAAAAAATTGTAAACAAGAGTTTTAGGAGAAAAATCTTAAATCAAATTTTTTATAGTTATTTATGTTTTATAACTATTTGTTTGAATTTAATTTGACTTTATTAATAATAGGGTTTATTTTACCATTTATAAAAAGGTGAGGGTTTAAAAACCCACAAAAAAAGTTGAGGGTTTTTTATATGTTTTTATGAAAGGTGAGGGTTTTTCTACCCATTTTTCCTGTTACTAAAATTGAAAATGTGTCTACGTTCTTATAACTAAACAAAATTTATTTTCAACTACAATTCGTAATCTTTGACAATATTTTCAGTTTCCTAAACATCTGTTATCATCAATTTCATTGTTTTTGATTAAGCTAAACAATACAATATTTTCAGTTTCCTAAATCTTTGTTTCTGACTTCAGTTGATTATATTGTCTAGGTAGTATATTCATTTTTTAATTACGCGGGTCATTGGGTCATCAGACGGGTTTAATTATACTATCTAAACAATATAATCACATAATTTTGTAATTAATTAATTAGGGAGATTTCGTAAATAATAAAATCAATTCAAACTAATAAGGCAAATCCTATACTATTATTTGGGAAGTGCATCCTATAAGTCGTAACGTAAATTTTGTAAGAAATTATAATATATGCCATTAGATATCTCTAATCATAATCATTTTAATTCCATGTCACTAACATTAACAAATTAATTAAAAAACGGGTCAAATAACGAAAAACGGGTTTAAAGATCTTAAAGATATTAGGTTGTTATATTTTGTTTAGATATAAATTCGTATTCAAGCAATTCGTAATCTTTGAGAATATATTCAGTTTTTCTAAAATCTTTGAGAATATATTCAGTTTCCTTAAAACCCTTTATAAAAAAATAAGTTATAATAGTTATTATATTCTAGATCGTTTTTTGTTTAGTTTTACGTTTTTTGTTTAGTTTAATCACGCATCAATATAATCAGCTATTCAGTTTCCTTAAAATCTTTTCTAAAGATTGTCAAATCTCTCTGTTATATAATTTTGATCCTATATTCCAAATAATCTAGAATATACCTTTCTAAAATATTATCTAACTATTTTATGTTAATTAATATATTTCTGAATCTCCTAATTATCACAAACAATCTACAACTATAAATATCCATTTAGGCTTGACGTACCTTTCTCACAGAAATCATCTCAGCACCATTCTCATATCCTACAATTAAAAATACAGCAGAAATGGCTATGGTTAGTCCCTACACTCCTATTAACAATTTGAAGCATGTCAAGACTTTTTGCTGTATTCAAGTTAGTATATTTCATTCGTGGATTCATTTTACAAAAGGTTCTGGCATATCTTTGGAAATGATTTTGAAAGATGAGCCTGTAAGTACCATTGAAATTTTATACAATTCTCTTTGTAATATATGTGCCGTAAGTTTTAAGTCATCTTATTTTAATCACAGGGTAACAAAATTCAAGCAGACATCAAATAGGAACAGATCAGCAAATTCCAAAGGTATGTTAAACCGTTTTTTTTCTTTTTTTTTAAACCATGAAACTAGGCCCCACAAACCCAATATAATCCATTAAAAAACTTAGACCCAATACAACTATTTTTTTGTTTGTTCACAATCACAAAATAAAATTATCAATTCCTAATTGAATCAAAGAAATTATTAATCTCATATAAAAAAATAAAAATCTAATGCTGCTAAATATATTAAATTCTAAAATACAATATTCTCTCCTTCTTTAGTCAAATAAAATATATAACATTATATCCAAATAGTAATAAATATAAAATATTATGATATATTCCCTTTTATATTATACTATTATACTAAATTATTCCTTATTTCTTCGAACAAAATATACAATTTAATTCATGAAAAATATTAAATCCCGTGCTGTATAGCACGGGTCATGATCTAGTTAAAGAATGATTGACAATCAAGTTTTCGACTACACATATAACTTGATGGATATCTTCTTCTTTTGTTTTTTTTTGGATATTTACCTTTTCTTTGCGCTTTTAGTGTATATTTAACCTCCTCTTCTCTATATTTCATTTTCTCTCTTTCGTAAAAGCCTTGCGTCGCAAGAAAAAGGTCAAAGCCCTTGAATATATAAATATGCCTCTTTAATTAGTTGGCTTGTCAATAAGAAGAATACACATAGCTTGTTGAGTAAAACCCTTAAAAGCGAATACGATTTACATAAGATTCGATCTCTCAGCACGGTGGCATAGGGACCATGTCATCCATGGATCTGAAACCCAAAAATTCCGATCCCAAATCTCAAAATTACCAAGACCCGTAAGAGGAACAGCTAGAACGATATCGCATGTTCATGATAGGAGGTGGTTGCAAAGATTCATTTACAGCTTATGAAGATTGCGAGAGGAACACAATTGAGTGTACTGAAAAATGGTTGAAGCTGAAAAAGTGTATGGAGGTTCACATTGATTACTATCAGCCGTATTATACGATGTGGAAAAAAGTTGACGAACTCGAGGAGAGGAACGGTGAGCCCGTCTACCCCTCTAAAGAACCAAAGGAAAGGGCTAAGCAGGCGTCTGAGTTCGTGAGAGGTCCTTGCAAAGAACCATTAAGGTCTTTTATACGTCGTGATGCAGAATATAGGAGGAACAATAACACTCTCACTTTCCATAGGCAACATGAAGCCTCTGACACCATGTACAAGTGTATGGAGGCTCACTCTGATTACTATGAGGCCTTTCTCGCGGATAGGAAAAAACGTGATGAATATTATTTTAAGGAGTTTGACGCCTTTTTGGCTGCGAGTAAACTATAGAGTAGGTATATTAGAAGATCCATAACATTAATACAAGTCTCTAAATATATGTTCACAATATATTTCTCACTTATAATGTAATGGATCGTCCTTCTCTATATAAGCTATGATTTAGGTAATAAATTTTTATGCTTCTTTATATTCATGTTATGGGGATATCAATATAGGTAAATGAATCTATCTCGGACTTTTGGTTGATTCAGATCCTGCAGGAAATACATTCTTGATGATCACAATTTTAAAGCACTTATCGTTTTCTAAATGAAAGAAAGAAAAACAATAATGCTTATAACTTACACACACATGGTATAAAAACTGAGAGAGACAGCATGATGTTACTAGCCTATTTACATTCAAGTCGTCATTGCTCGAATTCGCTACTAGCTAGTGGTATATTAGTTTATAATAAAGTCCCACCACAAACCAAAGCAAATTGAAAATTTTATATATTTCGAGAGGTATGTACAAAAAATAAATAATTACCAAATGTGAATTACATAGTGCATTGTTTTTTTTTTTCTCCATAACTAGCAGTTAGTTTCACGACAAAATATACTGTATATATATTTCGTGCTACCATCAAAATTTGTTTTTAGTTCGTTAAACGATTATGTTTGGACAACAATTGTGACAATATATAAGATATATAGGTCATTTTACTCATTGTCAATTGATTTTGAATTGGAAACTTATATTCTAATATGGTATAAAGAACATAAGTGTTACTCTCTTTTTTTTTCTAGATATTTTCAAGTAGATTAACGTGATACAGAGTCGTTTAAAATTGTCAATGTTTCCCTCAACGACTAAGTCTCTGATACAGAGATGTTGTTTCGTTGAGGCATTTCACCGAGCAACTTGTGGAGCTTGAGACTAAACAATCTTTTTTAAGAATGATTATTTGTTACAAAGTTAACAACTCAGATACATCAATGTCTCTACTTAATCATTTGATTTGGTAATAGAAGTATCAAATTAGTTGTTATGACAGAATTTTGGAGAGTAGATAAATCATTAAGTCAAGCTTGAGGAGCTCCAGAGATTAGTCTCCTTAGAGAAGTGGCAAGAAAGAAATTTATATAGTCCAAACGAGTAAATACCTAGCAATTCCGGTATTTGATTTATACCGTGTGAAATCGAACCGGTTATTGATAGATAAAGGATTATTGAACCGGGTTTTATTTTCTTCTCCCAGAAATTCGTCTCCATTGATGTTTACAGAGCAAAAACGAACAAAATCAGCTGAAGAAAGACGATGATAAGGAGGTCGATTGCTTTAAAGTTGAAAGCTTTGAGATGGGCTCAGCCTCATCTCTTGGAGACAGGTACTCTTAGAACTGAATTGCTCTGTACCATTTCTAGCTTCTTGTCTTGCTGCGAACGAGACTTTTCTGGTTTTAGCGATGGGAGAGTCTGTTTTAGAGAGAGATTGAGAAGTGGGATTGTTGATATTAAGAAAGATGATGCTATTGCTCTGTTTCAAGACATGATCGGGTCTCGTCCTCTTCCTAGTCTTGTTGATTTCAGTAAATTGCTTAGTGCCGTTGCCAGAACAAAGCAGTACAATCTTGTGTTAGATCTCTGCAAGCAAATGGAATTGAAGGGAATTGCGCATAACAACTACACTTTGAGTATTATGATCAATTGCTTATGTCGCTGTCGTAAACTTTGTTATGCTTTTTCTGCTTTGGGGAAGATCATGAAGCTTGGGTATGAGCCTGACACAGTCATCTTTAACACTCTACTCAATGGTTTATGTCTTGAGGGTAGAGTTTCTGAAGCCGTGGAATTATTTGATCGAATGGTAGGAATGGGACATAAACCCACTCTCATAACGATTAACACTCTGGTCAATGGTCTTTGTCTCAAAGGTAAAGGCTCTGAAGCAGTGGTTTTGATTGATCGAATGGTGGAAAGTGGTTGTCAACCCGATGCAGTTACCTATGGACCGGTTTTAAATGTAATGTGTAAGTCTGGTAAAACTGCTCTGGCCATGGAGTTGCTTAGATAGATGGAAGAAAGGAAGATCAAGCTAGATGCAGTCAAATACAGCATCATCATTGATGGTCTTTGCAAAGACGGGAAGCTCGACGATGCACTCAACCTTTTTAGTGAAATGGAAGTGAAAGGGATCAAAGCAAATAATATTATTTACACCACTCTCATAGGAGGCTTTTGTAGTGCTGGTAGATGGGATGATGGTGCCAAGTTGCTCAAGGATATGATCACAAGGAAAATCACCCCTTGCGTCATCACTTTCAGTGTTTTGATTGATTGTTTTGTGAAAGAGGGAAAGCTTCGAGAGGCTGAAGAACTGCACCAGGAGATGATTCAACGAGGTATATCTCCTGATACGATTACATATAGTTCTTTGATAGATGGGTTTTGCAAGGAGAACCGCCTGGATGAGGCCAACCAGATGCTGGATCTGATGGTTAGCAAAGGGTGTGATCCTGATATCGTGACATTTAATATCCTCATATATGGATATTGTAAGGCCAAACGAGTTGACGATGGTTTGGAACTCTTCCGCAAAATGTCTCTGAGAGGAGTGGTTGCAGATACAATTGCTTACAACACACTTGTCCAAGGGTTTTGTCAGTCGGGAAAACTTAATATTGCCAAAGAACTCTTCCAAGAGATGGTATCTCGAGGTGTTCCTCCTAATATTGTGACTTACAAAATTTTGCTGGATGGGTTGTGTGACAATGGAGAACTAGATAAAGCTTTGGAAATATTTGAAAAAATACAGAAGAGTAAGATGGAGCTTGATATTGGTATATATAACATCATCATTCATGGGATGTGCAATGCTAGTAAGGTGGATGATGCTTGGGAATTATTCTGTAGCATCCCTTTCAAAGGAGTGAAGCTTGATGTCAAAACATACACTATAATGATTGGGGGACTGTGTAAGAAAGGTTCACTGCCTGAAGCGGAACTGTTGTTTAGAAAAATGGAAGAAGATGGGCATGCGCCAGATGGTTGTACATACAACATACTCATCAAGGCACATCTTGGAGATGGTGATGCAACCAAATCAGCTAAACTGATCGAAGAAATGAAGAGGTGCAGGTTCTCTGCTGATGCTTCCACGATAAAGATGGTTATTGATATGTTATCGGATGGTAGATTGGAGAAAAGCTTTTTGGATATGCTTTCTTAGAATTTTTGATTTTATTAATGAGAGATAAAGCTAACCATTTCTCGTTTAGTGTTTGATGTATTTGGTCTTATTAATCGAATCTTTGTTCACATCTAACCAGATCCTGATGTATCCTTCTCTTATACATGGCTTTTTATTTTGCTTTTGTGTTATAAAGCAAAATAAAATCAACTTTCCATTTTATTCATCAAAGTAAGAGACCAGTTCGATACATGTGGAATATAAAGCACAACTATATCATCATATGTATAATTCTTTCTTTTAGATTTGAGTAATCAGAAATGGCAACTCCAAAAAAAGGGAAGTAAATTCAAAGCTTCTTCTGGTAACCCCATGGATTGTTGTTTGCCCAATTCCACTGATCTTTGCACATCTCATCCACTCCATATTTTGCCCTTTAAACCAAATCAAATTGTTTAATAACATTATTTATCTCCTAAACCAATCATGTTAATGGTGAAAGAGTTAACTTACTTCCAGCCAAGTTCTTTCTCAGCCTTCTCTGTTGAAGCATAAACTGCTGTTGCATCTCCTGACCTTCTCGGACAAAGCTTGATCGGGATTTTCTGCAAATGTTGTTTTTGTTTCACCATTTTAAAAAACCATTACAAACTATTTACCCTTCTGAATTCATTTTCTGTAATTACCTTGCCGGAAGCTTTTTCAAAAGCTGCAACCATTTCTAACACAGACGTTCCTTGACCAGTGCCTAGATTGTAAGCAGTACAACCTGATATTACAATAACTCAGGTCTGAGAAGAATCCATCAAATCAAACTAAACTCTTTTTAACAGTTTAAATGTCTGAGAGAATTACCAATCTTTGGATCAGCAAATAGCTTCCTGAGCGCAGCGATATGGCCATCCGCTAAATCCATCACATGGATGTAGTCTCTTACCGCACTACCATCCTTGGTGGGATAGTCATGTCCATAGACATTGAGTTCCGGTAAACGTCCAACGGCCACTTGTTGGATGTAAGGCATGAGATTATTGGGGATGCCTTTTGGATCCTCACCAATACTGCCACTCTCATGTGCTCCTACAGGATTGAAGTACCTCAGCAGAACAATTCTCCATTCCGGTTCTGCCCTTTGAATATCTCTAGCTATTTCTTCAAGAAAGAGCTGCACAAAGGAAAGGTTGGTAAACCCACCATGACTTTCAACAATTGAGCATTGTTATATTTGTTAGGCTTAAGAAAGGCTTCTTGGCTCAGGCAAGATTTGGAAAAAATTCAAGGTACCAGTCACAATAGAGCCAACTTTCACGATTATAATCTACAGCAAAGAGTTTTTAATATTTGAGGGACTTGGATGAAGGAAGAAAATCAAGAGAGACATTATCGGTCCAAAGGAACTCGAAATTCAGATGTGCCAAGAGTAAAGTTTACCTTAGTACGACCATAAGGATTCATAGCCTTTAATTCAAAGTCTTCCATGCATGGAATCGTTTCAGGTTGTCCATAAACAGTTGCAGATGATGAAAACACCATCTGTATATTCCAACAACACATCAATTTGTATCCTCACCAATGTAAAACCGAACAAGGAAATATAAGGAAAAAAAAGTAACATTTCTGAAGTTTAAGAATCATATCTAACCGTTTTGCAGTTGTACTTTGCCATGGTCTCATACAGATTGATTGTTCCAACCAAGTTATTGTCAAAGTAGCGGCGAGGGTTTCCAACACTCTCACCCACAGCTTTAAGACCCGCAAAATGAATCACAGCATCAAATCTGTTACCACACAAGAAAACGAAATCAAGCCAAGGGTCATAGATCCACAGAAGCTATGAACTCTACAATTCACCTGATATTATTTGCAAACTTAAAAGGTAAGAATCTATAACACACCTCTGCTTGGAGAAGAGTTTCTCAATGTCCCCTTTGTTTCTTAGATCACCCTGCAATCAATCAACATCAAATCTTACATATTATCTCCTTACAAATTCAATCCCAAATATAAGATTGTAAAAGAAAGTCTATATAGGTTATAGGCTAACGTTTTCAAGTTTTATTGTGATCCTTGTTTTTCATACGAATTTGGAAAAGAGAATAATATTTCTCTGTTTCAAAAGTTAGCTTATTAACCAAAGCCAACTTACACCGAACCTCATGAAATTAAACATGAAAGCAAAAGTAGAATTACAATTTCACTACACCAAATCAAAACTTTTCCAGAGATCAACCATTAAAACAATTCAAACCCAGTAAAATCTATGTTTGAAAGATGGTTTTAAAAAGAATTTAATCAAGAAACCAATTCTCATCTTCAAAGAGAGCCAAACATACAGAACAAACCAATTAAAACACGAATACAATCACAGAGCAATAATTTCACCTCACAAGCAAGACTAGACAAAAAAGAAGCAAGTACGTAATTACCAGATTGAAGTCGAGCTTCTTGGAGAGATCAGGACCAACAAGCTCCCTAACTCTATCGACAGCTTCGATAACAGAGTTATCAAGATTATCGATGATCGAAACCTTAAAACCATCTTTCAGAAGTTGAACAACAGTATGCGTGCCGATAAATCCAGCACCACCAGTAACAAGAATGTTCTGCTCCACAGAAGAACCCATTTCAAAGAAGAAGAAAGATTTATCAAGAGAACCCACTTCGCAAAATCGATTCTTTTAAACTAGATTGATCACCACCAACAGAGAAAGAAATGAAGAAGATTGATGGAAGGAAAAAGAGTTGGGTCCTTATTTATTGATAAATTTGTAGCTTTGTTTACAAGTTGATAAGAAGGCACGCAAAGCGAAAAATAGAAAAAAAAGAGTGGGCTCTATGATGTTTTTGTTGGTTTCTATAAAAACCGCAGTGATGATCATGACAACGATGATGATGATCCGTGTATAAGTGTATGATAGCTTTGATTCCTCGATTTTCAGTTACGCATTGATGGTGATCTTTTTTTAAAAAAGGAAATAATAAAAGATAAAGTCTTTTTTTTTTTTGCAATGACATTTTTAACCTATTTTTGTAAATCTGATTATGAAAACAGGGAGGTATATTAGTAATTTAGGATCATTTTCTATGGGTTTAGATAATCTTACTGTCCTTCTTCGTTAAGCCTAATGTCTAATTACTGATTGATTACACGCTAATAATTGGATTGTAACGTTGTCCAATCAGCATTTTTGTTGTTTTTTTTGGTTAAAGTTGTCCAATCAATATTTATGTTTATCTATACATAGGAGTGTGACAGAGACATCAGAGATCTACCGATAAGGTTATATGATCAAATTGATGACTGGTATCATTATATCTACAACTTTATTTAGGTATCCGATTTGGGTACAGTTTAAATGTTTTTGTGTTAGAGTTGGCAAAATAAAACGTTTTTTTTTCTTGAGAAGGAATATATTATTAGTATGGTTTCTTTTCTAACAAAATATATCTTTATATAGATCAATTTTGAAATAAATTTCATAACACGTATTTTGCATCAATTTTTGTACGTATAAATGGTAAATTCCTCGAATTTCAAAAAACCCCACCTAAGATTTCTAAATGCAAAGCCATTCCACATGGGTTTTGTTAGCTTGTCGTTTTTGCTTAAGATCAAAGAAACCCAAAATCCTAAACATCAACAAAAAGAAAACAAGTGCGGTCATTTATTGTGCTTTAACTATCAAACGTATCAATCAATCTACCAAACGTTTTCATGATTTTAGTTTGGTGTTACTTCGAGTAATTAATTACTGCAAACATAAAAAAAAATTGGTTTAGATCTTTATTGATTAAGTTCAAATACTAAACATCATCTAAAGTCTAACCACTTTAAGGAAGGAATGTAAGAAAAGTACTGATATTCAGACAGAGCTAGCAAAAAGGTAAAAAAAAATGAGTCATTTTACTTACCCGGTACTGGCTCCTATAGGTGTATGTATTGTAGCCATAGCAAAGGACTAGGAAAAGTCTTTGAGTGGTAGCTTTATAAACTGTTGCGGCCAAGAATAAGATGGATAAGTTTTAAGACGTTATGGAGTTTACATGCAGCCAAAGACTTGTGATCTTACAACTGTTTCTGGCCTGCAGTCATCAGTTGAATTTGGGACTGAGGTAGAACTCAGGATCTTGGAAAAACCTGGTGAGTGTCTCAGCCTTTTCAGAAGAGAGATCTGTGTTTGCTAAAATGTCTTCTTTGGATGCTTTAGCGATTGCTTCGATTGAACCAATAGCTTGGTATAACTGTAATCAATGAGAACATAAGTAAGCAAGCAGAATTCATGGTGTAGACTGCAGAGGCATGAATCACAATCAGGTTCAAGTTTGAAGTTGGAATTGTATTTCAATAGTATCAAAAGTGCAAGTTTACCATTTGACCAGCTCATAAGTAAAACATTACCGTGTTTGCATCATGTTTGTTAATGTTGGGTATTGATGTGACAAATCTGATAAAAATGTCTGTATCCTGCACAGTTCGCTTTCTCTTCACATGAAAGAAAAAGAAAGAAGCTTTAGAGATTGCCATAAAAAAACAAATATTGAAACATATCATTATAACAAATGATCTTTGAGAACCTACCTCAACCTTGAGCTTAGATGCCACCTTCTGTTGCTTGCATACTGCAGCTCAAGTTTCAATTGAATCAGTCACTAACTCAGAAAACCATAGAGTATCCTAACTAACACTAAACAAATGAATCTTTTACCTCCACGAGAGTGAGCAATCTTAACAATCTTCTCAAATCCCATCTCAGCATCAGTGACTTGTACAAACGCAGGTTTCCCAAACTCCATCTCATATCTATGAAAAGACTTATCAAGGTTCATTTTCGTCAAGAAAGATAAGCAAAATGTAAAGTGAAAAAAGATGTGTAGAAGACCACTCACTGGAAGTAAGATCGCATGAAAGAATCACTCTGCTCTTTAGTTGAAAGTGTGACAACAACATAAAGTTGCGCAAATTGCCCTCTCAGCCTCTTTACTCTACAAAGGTTAAGTCAAAGAAATCAGAAGACATATAGGAGACAATATAGTAGAGAGAGCTTGAAAGTATATTATATAGACCTGCTGAAGATGGAAGCAACAGTGGAACAATCCCATTTTGTAACAAAAACAAAAGCAATAGAAACACCTCCACAATTGAAGATCAGATCCTATCACAGCAAACAAGTGAATTCTTTAAGCTAATCTTAGATATCCAATTTCTCCAAAAGAATCAAAACAGAGAAAGAAGGCACATACAGGGGGTATTGAGACAAAGTTTAGCCGGAAAGAGTTTGCGCTAAGAAACGCAGAAATGAAACTGATAAGTGAAGGTTCTTGTTCATCTTTCCATGCATTGCTCATTATACAAACACCAGCACCATTTCCTGTCACTTAATTAATATCAGAACACCATATAACTTTCCAGAGATTATACATCAGAATTGGCAGCTATATCGTAAATCAATCCAAGTTTTATCCAAAATCACAATCCAAGTACATGAATTTACTAAGCATAAGACTCATCACCCAAATTTCGCAGTAATCAAAATCAAAACACACATTGCCTAATTCGAGCACTTATCGACATTTCTACATCAGAAATTGAGCAGATACAGAGTCTAATTCAAGTTTTAAAAAGAGTTTCTTAGATTTGATTCGAATCACAACTATAAAATCGACACCAAAATTTGCAAACCCTAGACTCTAACGATTCAGTAAATCGGAGATTTTAATAACGGAGAAGAGTAGTTACCTAGATTCACGAGAGATGACGGAACTTGATGATCTGTTGAGACACTGTAGCTTGATCCCGCCGTCGCCATCGACGAACCTCCGAGAGTTTTTGAAATTCGAAAATATTGGCGGATGGCCAAAAATTATCAAAATTTTGAATATCCCTAAATTAATTAATCAAGGAAATAATGTAATCCCGGTTTTTTTGTCCCACATCGCTCTGACTTTGGTTCTCATAAACCGGTTCATGAGTATATATAAACCGGTTCTGAATTCTATATAACGCGTGGTTTTGAAAATTGGAGATAAAAAGGATAGAACATTTTAGGATATAATGTCTCCGGCGATTACTTGTGTATCTGAGCACTCTGATTCCAAGGGTAAGAAGCTTGAGGTCGAAGAAAAAGAGGAAGAAGACACGTCCAGCGATTCTTCGTCCGACTACGATCTAGAGGAAATCCAAAACTTTAAGGAAGAACTCAAAAGAAACGGAGTATGTATATGATCCAAATTCTCTCTGTTTTCTTCTTTGCGGCTAGATTTTTTATTTCTCTTATATGTATTCTTTGTTACCAGTATTTCGACTTTGACTTCTCCATCTACTCACAATATGCTGACCTTAATTAGATTGGTTTGTGGCAAAACAGGGAACAAAACTTGAGGTAGTCAATGTTGTGAATGCCAATCATCATCCTGGAACGGGACACACGCTCTATATCACGTTTGAGGTCAAATATGCTACTCAGCTTCACTCAAAGGTCTTTCAAACTATAATATCTTACCTTCCTATGGATATCAGGATCATATGGTGCAAGCCTAAACCATGCACGGCATAACAAAATGTTATTCAATCATCTTAAACTTTGTTATTAATGATTGCTTGTTCTGTTGTGTATTGTCTTAGATTATAGAGGCATGTTATATTGTTATTACATAGAGGAACATGAAAATTTGGATCGTTTTGCTCTTCTTGACAACACCTTTTTAGTCTCAATTCCAATGGCTTCATTAATGTTACAGAGAAGTTATAATCCGTAGACATTGCAATTAAGTCCAAATCTTCATCTTAGAATGATTTATTTTTTCGTGGCCTGTTCTTATTTAGTAGTATGATTCTTTTTTCTTTTTTTTTAATCGCTGTGTTTTGGAATTGAGTTGGTGGTGGACAAAGGAAACGCCAAATTGTCTAATAACGTTGGAGCTTCATGTTCTGCATGTCAGTTGTGTGGATACAGAGCCAGTTGAGGCAGAACATGACTCAAGAGCCTATAATTATATTGACACATCAATGAGGTAAAAACAAGTGTCCGTTACAATGTTTTTGGTCAAACAGAGTTGAATCATTCTTGTCCTGATCCTGAACATTTGCTAATGCTGTTGTTTTTGTTTAGTTTTAACAGCTATGCGAGCTCCTTCCCAGCCCAATGGGAGAGTCTGCAGTGGACTGTGCACAAACTCTCAACAATGCCCGCTGTATTACTCACCATTGGAGGCAAAGTTTTGATCTTGCTCCAGAGGAGGCTGTTTGAGAACATGATTCACATTGCCTACTGATTACTCTAATATTATCTCCTTGTAATCTCTTGGTGGTGGTATGGTTGTGAAGGTTGGTGAAGGACCTGCGGCACAGTGAATCAGTGGCTTTTATTGCACTCAATGTATATACGGTTGGGGTTGGTTTTAGTATGAACAATCTGTGTCTCAACTCTCAAGTGTTGTTTTTATGTTTTCGGGAGTTAAAAGAAAGACTTTGTAGTTTTGAAGGCATTTTGCTAGGGTAGAAGAATTGATAATTTCTACCTTAGGTAAAGAAGCAAACCGGTCTTTGTTTTGTATTTTCTGATCTTTCCCCATCATCTTCCATGTTAACAAGATGCGATTTCAAACTCAAACAGAAAAAATCACAAAAAAGTTATAAATGTTGAACCCGACCGAAATCCCATGTCTAATAAAGACCGAACCGGAGAAAACCAGCATCAGGACAGTAGTTACAAAAAGTCAAAACCCTTGTCAAAACCCTTACAAGACCAAACCCACTTACACCAAAAAAAAAAGCCTTGTCCCTAAATCGGAAGCAAACCCTGTCGTTTCTACCACCCAAGAAGATAACGGCGGCGATGGCGGATATCTTACCACCGTTAACGACGAAAGAAGCCTTTGAGAAAGTTGATAACTCGAACCTCACTCGTCCTGTTGGATATGACTACGTCGATAACGAAGCTCACGGTTAAGTATATCATCATAAATCGATTTTTTTTCTTTCTTCTAAGATTCTCTTTCTTTAGTAATTCCACTGTACATAACTTATTGAATTCCCGGATATCTCCATCTATATATGGGTTTCTTGATCAGTGTGGAGATAGATGAGTCTAGCTTCAGTGCATTATATTAGAGACTTAGCTGTCTTATGTTTGTATTGGCCAATTAGTTCGAGCACTTTAGGGTACTCTGTTTTGTTTCTTCTAATTGTTTTCCATTAATCGTTTCATGGTGGTCTTACATACAGTAGAAACTATCTAGTATGATTTAAATTGATCTGGAGTTGATTCAAAGTCTGTCTGTCTGTCTTGGTAGTCAAAAGTCATTCGTCAACTTCTTGTAACCCAAATTTTTATTTCTGTGCAGACCTGTTAAAGCGTGGTTATTTCAGGGGTTTATATTTAGACTACTACCCTGCCTTTTTTGATGAAAAGCTTCTTATCAGGTGAGTTTACAGGACTACATTTGCAAACAATTTTTGTCCTTCTCTTTTGGTGTTTCTCGTTAAGCCCGTTTATTCTTGTGTCAAACAGTGCAAGGACGGAGCCAGAACATTATGAGCTTGGTGCCTCCTACTACTTTCACCCAAAGGTTTCATTTGAAAAATACAAAAAAAGGACCTTTTTGTTTCTTTGTGGAATTCAAAAGATAAATCTTTTGTCGCAGCTGCAATTTAGTGGATATGTTAATACTTATGGTGGACTAACTGCAGTAGTGTACGCCAGAACTGATAATTTGATTATTGTTGCAGGGACTGAGGTAAGTGTTTTTGCTACTAGAGATAATGTGATTATTCTATGGTGATATCTTTCTCTTGACAAAATGTGTTCTCTTACATTCTTTTCCAGCTGAGAAATGCACGTTTGTACATGGCAGGAGCGGGCTTTGAATACCTGGTGAGGAAATTATCTCTATTTGAAGATTTGCTATCTTTGTGATGACTGATGAACGTTTTGATGAATAGTTTTTTGAACCTTTTTTTTGGCTCACATTTCTGTAGGCTCTAAACTACAGAGCTCAACTTGAACTTTCGAGCGAGAGGGATATCGGCGTATTTAGAGCATCATATATCCACGTAAATTTGCTACTCACAGTTGTGTTCTAAGCTTGTCAATAACTATTAGCTCACAAATACAAAAGAAAAAGAATAAACTGTTTGCATCATATTTTACTGTAAAAGTTGTTTTTTTTTTTAATTGTTGATAGTAATTTCTGTACAGCGTGTGACACCTCGTCTATCTTTGGGTGGTGAGTTCTTCTGGTCCAGTGTGTATCAAAAGTTGGGTGTAGGTTATGCTGCAAGATACGAGACCGATAAGATGGTAATGCTTCTTCTCAGTCAGTTACTCAGTTTATTAGATAGCTCACATTCATAGAAAATTAGGATCGTATCTTATATTGGCGAATGCTTTTACTGTTTATTTATCATTCATATTGAGAACTTTTCTTTATTAACAGGTCGCCTCTGCGAAAGTTGGAAGCACTGGTGATGTACTTATGACTTATGTTCGTAAGATTTCAAAAAAGGTAATGCGCCTTTCTCGTTTAATTTTATCTTTAAACTCTGTAGAGATGAGATAATAATCATGACACATGTATTTTTTTGCTCATAATCAGGTTTCACTCGCCACTGATTTTGAGTACAACATCTTTTCAAGAGATGATGTTATAGCTAGTGTTGGATATGAATGCAAGATTTCTAAACAGGTAACATTGCTAGTTTTTAGATTTTAATGGATTTGAAAACAAAGTCTTTATATAAATTCGTTTTAATTCTAATAATATGAGCTTTTGTTTCAGTCTACTGTCCAGGGAAAGATTGATTCTAACGGTGTTGCATCTGCATTTCTTCGGAAAAAATTAACTATGGGTCTCGAGTGTCTTCTATCTGCAAGTTTGGGTCGTAAGAACAGGGATTGCAAGGTTGGTTTGAGGTTAATATGTGGTTAAGAACTGCATAAAAGATGAGCAAAGGACAAAGACTACATGATATGAATGTGTATATGAATGGAGAAAAGAATTAACTAGTACAGAGTAGAGACTCTTTTTTTGTTTAGGTTAGATTCAGATATTTAGTGGGTTAGACTGGTGCAACTGCATTGTCAAGTGAGTTAGCAATTTGTTAGCTTTCTTGTTTTCCACAAGAACTAATATAATATACTTCATTCCTCACCTATACATTTCCAGTTTCTTGCTTTTGTGGGGAAATTGTTTTGACATCATAAAAGCTCAGGAAGTATTACATTAGAAATCATATATTGTTGTTGTACTTGGTAAGTCTTTGAGTGATACCACTTTGAAGAATACAAAAAAATAGTGGAATCACTTATCCATTCTTCAAAATATTCTCATTCTACTCTGTTGGTGCAAGACATGATTGTAGATTTCATCTCTTCTTTGCTCAACGATGCTTCAACAATAAGCTGCAATAAACGAAACCGTCCCAACAAAAAAAAAAAACTGAATCATCATCCAAGATTCATAAACAGATGTTATAAGTTAGATCTTTCGCTTTCTTTCTTTTACCTCTTGTACTCTGTTTCCAGCTCGAGCAAGCAGTTTGTATTGGTTCTCAAACATTGGAGCCATGTAAACCTACAAAGAGAGAAAGGAAGTCACAACAGTCTTAAAATCTCAGCGATTTGGTCTGTCAGATGTTTTCGTGTTTAGTATATGCATTTAGGCGATTAAACTGTGTACCTGAAACGTTGGAGCAAGACCCGGGCTCAAGAAGAAACGACTTTTTGAAACAGATTGGATTCCTTCAACCATTTCCAGCTCTTTGATCAGAGATTCCACGTCAGGCCACTGCAGAAGAAAGTTTTCAGAAACCCGTATTAATGGTTTCATACATAAGTCACAGAAGGTCTTTATTACCTCAGCGTCGAGCTCTGCTGCTTGTAATCGTCCCCCCAACTGATCATTATCACCACCAACTACAGATTCTAAGGCTTCGGTTAGAGGATCAGGCTGCATAAAGACATCAAACGGGTTTAGATATGTATCAAATGAGTTACCAATTGCTACAAGATAAACTTTTGAGAGATCTTTCTCACCGTGATTTCTTTTAGCGACAAGAAGATACGTTCAAGAGCAAAATCTAGCTGGTGCACTTTCGCTTCCACAATCTGATAACACCAAAAAGAAACGTTTGTCAAACAGTTTTATTCCTTAGCAGCGTTTACGATAGTTCAAGATATTACCTGACCAATCTTGAAATATGAAGCAGGGTCTAAAGTTGCATCCCATGAAACTTCTGACTGGTGAACCAATGCAGGGACACCTTCTAGCTGTTTCAACCAAGACTTATTAGTTTTACACAACAAACTGGTTTCTGTTCTTGTGGGTCTATTAGCAAGAAGTTACTACAAAGATATGATAAATTCCGGCGTAGTACCTCACAGAAAATACCAAAATAGGTAATTTTCTTGATGCAGCATTTCACAACATCCCCAACACGAAGCTTAGCCATAAGATTTCGTTTTTTCTCAACTTCCTCTTCATTTTCTCTCGGCCTCATCGAAAATATAAGCTTCCTTGAGTTTCGATTAGCCATAACAACATTCACTTTGATTTTCTGCATTGAGTTGAAATGTTTAGGGAGGAAAAACAAGCATTTCCATGTATGATAATAAAAGTTACAGATTTTTTTGACAAACCTGGCCAACAAAAGATGACAGGAACTTCTGCTTTTCTCTGTCATATACCATAAGAAGATCTTCCAGCTTCATATCAGAAGAAACCTCTCCGTTGATCGATGTAGCGACTTCAGAATCTAAGCTTGAATCTGGAGATGGAGCTTTACTTGTGACATCTTGACCTCCGATTACCCCAAGGTTTTGTCGATACAGTGATGGATCTACACCATTTCTTCTTAACCATGATTCAAATGCGAGAAATTTCCATTTTGCTGCTAGGTTCCGGTAGGGTAAAAATCCGATCAAAGATCCATAGGAAACCTGTAAAAAGGGTTTAATTAGAAAAGAATACAAATTAGTAAACAAAAAAGAGATGAAACTAGAAAATGAGTACAGATCTTACTTACAGCAAATCCTCTAGTGCTTGAACTTATTAGCTCAACATCTGCTCGTAATTCTGTTTTAACTAGAGACTCTGCCTTATTCCAATCATTTTCCTATAAAAATTACACAAAACGAGTTTATCATATGCCACTTATCTTATGAACGAATAAATAGTAAAAAGAGTGTTAGTTCTGAACCTCCAAGGACGATCTGGTAGGAGGACCCTTGAGCTCAACAGAGACCTGACGACCTTCATGGTTCACGATTAACGGTTGTCCTTTGTCTGAAACTGATGGCTCCACAGAAGACGGGTCTAATCTATAACAAAAAATAACCAGTCAGTCAAAACTGGAAAAAAGGAGAAAGAAAGCACAATTCCTCAAAATCAAGATACTAAACCAGAGTTTAACCTTTGTGGTTTCCCTTGTAAAGAAGCTTCTATGATGGTTTGAGAAATTGGTTTCGAAAGAATTCTCTGGATTGGATCACTGTTAGCGGTTTTCTCCTCCGAGGATCCCAAGGACCTCTCGTTGTTAAGCTGCATTTCTTGATAAAACAACAAACATATGAATCAGCTCCAAGTTAGACTATTTGAAAATGGTCTTAGTTTGTCTCTATACCAGTTGGAATTGAGTTGTTTTCTATCTCCGATGATTCCACAGCTCCGCTATCTCCAACATTATTTTCTACGTTCTCAGGCTCTGGCCTTGCTTCTGGCTTCTGAATCGAGTTGTTTTCTATCTCTGATGATTCCACTGCTCTGCTATCTCCAACTTCCTCTTTTATGTTCTCACGCTTAGGCCTTGCTTCTGGCTTCTCCAAAAGAGTATACTCTGAATATGTTACATCTTCTTGTCCTCCTTCCTCCATAGTTAACCCATCAGGGATAACCTTATCTTCAGAACTTTCCTCTGCTGCATCTACGCTCACTGGTTCCGGTTTTCTCAACAATGTCATATCACTAAACCTCTCATTTTCCCTCTCATTCCTCATTTTCAGTGTCAGATTCGGTTTCAACCGCAACTTAGACTCCTCATCATCATCATTACTAGTATAAAACGAACTCGGCTTTCTCAATATAACATTAGGCAATCTCTGCACCTTTGGAGCAGCAGCCTCCACCAATGGCTTCTTCAAAACAGGGCTTGGCTTTTCGAACTTGACTCCGTCTTTAAGAACAGGCTTTACCAATTTCAATCCATCCAGTGAACTAGTAGATGTCTTCTTCTTATCCTTTGACCAATCCAATGGAATCTCTTCAACTTCAGGCATTTTACCTTTGTTCTTGTAGAAAGATTTCTCAATTTCAATGAAAGAAGCTTCTGGATCCACTTTTCTAGCAACTATCTGTATAAATTTCACCATTAGCATCATCAGCACAATAGAGAGGTGGTCTAAAGAGAAATCCAAAGACATAAAATTCAAATTTCATTTCAAAAATTCAAAGAACCATTTTTTAAAAAAATCTCACCTTAGCCAAAGTCAATTTCGGATCTTCTCCGAGTAAACGGCCAAAGTTGAGCTCCATTTGATCCCATTCATTGAGCTTAGGCTCTTCTCTTTTCGAAGCTGAAACTAAAAACTTCTTCTGTTTAACGAATAAATTCTCCCGGTTTCTTCTCACTCTGACCCTAGAAGTAAACAACGGTAAGTTTCCGGCGAAAGAAGCGGCGGACGCGGAAGAGGATAAGGCGAGAACGTCCATTTTCCGATTAAGCCCAAAGATAACAATTTCTCCGAATGAAAATCATGGGTCCAATCAAAATCTCGACTTTAGTTTATCTAGAGTGAGACTGTGGCTTGAGCTCTGTCTCTTACTCTCTATGTGGACTACTACAGAGAAGAAGAAATGGCTATGGCGGTGGGTGGAAGGAGCTTTATCAGTTTAGCTTTGCAATATTTCGTTTCCTGGTTAAACCAATAAAGTAATGACACGTGGTTGATGAAGGAGCAACTACAAAACAAAACAAAAAATTGCATTCGTTCTTTTGTTTTAGAGATGAACTACACGTCGTTTTTGAACTTTACTTGAACGTCAAATCTTTTCATACACGCGTAAGATTGGGGTAGCATGGGCCTAAAATTGGCCCAATAGAGGGATGGGAAATAAACTCAAAGAAGAAAACTCTACAAAATAATCCATGTTTTTTTTTTTTATATATCCACAAGTTTAATATATCTGTATATATACATAAACTCACATACTGTATGTTAATATATATTTAAACTAGATCATGATCCGTGCTATACAGCACGGGATTTAATATTTTTCATGAATTAAATTGTATATTTTGTTCGAAGAAATAAGAAATAATATAGTATAATAGTATAATATAAAAAGGAATATATCATAATATTTTATATTTATTACTATTTGGATATAATTTTATATATTTTATTTGACTAAAGAATGAGAGAATATTGTATTTTAGAATTTAATATATTTAGCAGCATTAGATTTGTATTTTTTTATATGAGATTAACCATTTCTTTGGTTCAATTAGGTATTGATAATTTTATTGTGTGATTGTGAACAAACAAAAAAATAGTTGTATTGGGTCTAAGTTTTTTAATGGATTATATTGGGTTTGTGGGGCCCAGTTTCATGGTTTAAAAAAAAAAAAAAAAAAACGGTTTAACATACCTTTGGAATTTGCTGATGTGTTTCTTTTTGATGTCTGCTTGAATTTTGTTACCCTGTAATTAAAATCAGATGACTTAAAACTTACGGCACATATATTACAAAGAGAATTGTATAAAATTTCAATGGTACTTACAGTCTCATCTGTCAAAATCATTTCCAAAGACATGCTTTTGTATACTAACTTGAATACACCAAAAATTCTTGACAGGCTTCAAGTTGTTAATAGGAGTGTAGCGACTAACCATAGCCATTTCTGCTGTATTTTTAATTGTAGGATATGAGAATGGTGCTGAGATGATTTCTGTGAGAAATGTACGTCAAACCTAAATGGATATTTATAGTTGTAGATTATTTGTGATAATTAGGAGATTCAGAAATATATTAATTAGCATTAAATAGTTTGATAATATTTTAGAAAGGTATATTCTAGATTATTTGGAATATAGGATCAAAATTATATAACAGAGAGATTTGACAATCTTTAGAAAAGATTTTAAGGAAACTGAATAGCTGATTATATTGATGCGTGATTAAGCTAAACAAAAAACGTAAAACTAAACAAAAAAACAATCTAGAATATAACAACTATTATAACTTATTTTTTTTTTATAAAGGGTTTTAAGGAAACTGAATATATTCTCAAAGATTTTAGGGAAACTGAATATATTCTCAAAGATTACGAATTGCTTGAATACGAATTTATATCTAAACAAAATATAACAACCTAATATCTTTAAGATCTTTAAACCCGTTTTTCGTTATTTGACCAGTTTTTTAATTAATTTGTTAATGTTAGTGACATGGAATTAAAATGATTATGATTAGAGATCTCTAATGGCATATATTATTATTTCTTACAAAATTAACGTTACGACTTATAGGATGTACTTCCCAAATAATAGTATAGGATATAACATTTTGGATAACATTTTCAATAACATTTTCGAACTATATGAGTATTATAATTCAAAATAGCATTTTTTATAAATTGGATTGATATAAAATGTTTTCAATGATATATCATTTTCATTAACATTTTCAGTAACATTTTTTAATAACATGTTCGAATAATGGATTACTATATAACATTTTGAATAACATTTTCAATAACATTTCCGAATAATATATTAGTATATTAGTATAGGATTTTTGCTAATTGTGTTACATTTTCGAATTGATTAGTATATAACATTCTCGAATTATATTAATTATGTATTATATAAACAAAATCTTTTAATATCTTTAAACCCATTTGACCCGTTGACCCGTTAATATATATTAGTGAAATGGAATAAAATGATTATAATTAGATATCTCTAATGGCATATATTGTAATTTCTTACAAAATCTAAGTTATGACTCTTAGGATGTACTTCCCAAATATTAGTATAGGATATCTAATGCCATCAGGCTCTTTCATTGTTTCATTTTACTTAACATTGCTATTTTTATATAAATTAGGGTTTGGATTTTGTGGATTCGCCATAAAAGGGACTAGAGTTATAGTTTTAAAGTCTTGCATATCGGCTCTCCTTAAAGTTTTAAATAAGTTGAATTCATGCATCAAATCAACTTGTGGACTTTTAACGAACATTGGTTAATCCACTGATTGTCAAATATCGACCATGAATTAGTCCATTTTATACTTCCCGTTCGATACAATAAACCAATGTTAGAACAGGGCAAAAGTGTAGTTTACCAAAGACAAGCACATGTGACACGTTAAAAAAAAGGGACAAAGAGCTCAAAGTAAATAGGCGTTACGTTCTATAGCGGTTTTCATTCTGAAAACTTCATACACTTGTCGTTCGATTCGATATAATCTGTGGCCTGCATGGTGGTTTACGGCTCCTTGGACAGTTTTTTGGATTTTTGAGTAATATTTAATTCTAATGATATTTGTGTTATCACATGCTTTAGTAGATTCTCGAGATTACCAATCATGTCAAATGGTGTATTTGTGTTTTCTAACAATGTTTGAAAAAGACACTTGTTTTTAGTATTGTTTTGCTTTAACCATTATTAAATTATAAAGCGACGAATTGTGATATTTATTTCTCTTGCTGTCAATTATAACGTACTATCTCATTCTTTGTATTTGTTTATCATATGATACATACACATGATGTAATAAAAGTTATTTTAATATGTATTCAGCCAAAAATTGCAACAAAAAAAAAGATTATCTTTTAATCAGAAGAAATAGTGGGTCTATCATGTCACGTACCTTTGAAAAAAGAATCCATCAAATCCATGAAAACTAGGTTCTTGTAATTAGTTATTTATTAAATTATTTCACAAAACTATTAACCATGTAGCATTCAACACTAGTACACATATACAACGGGCAAAAAACATCTTTTATGGAAAACATTCATAATAAATATGTCTAAGTTAGTTAATATATGTGCCAAACAAAACATGGAACCTAACGCCCACAGTTTTTCCCCATCTATAAATTATATACTTTCATTTTGATTCCCTCAACAAACTACAAACTCTGAATCAAAACATTTATTTCCCTAAAACACCCCCAAAGTTTTTCCACTCCTTGAATCCCTTTCTACAAAGTATTTCCAATGGATGTCTTTATATCGGAAGAGTATGTCAACCGCCGGAGAATGGAGAAAAAAGCTGCCGCCGTTGACGGAAATAGCATGAGGTTAGGCTCTGCTTCAAGCAAGAGACCAGAGAAGAGAAATAGTTATCCTTGTATGTCGGAATCTCCGCCGGATAATGAGTTCCGGGTCACCGGCGGGGGTGTTTATGAGAGTTTTGTGTTCCACTACTTCTCGCCGTAAAAAACAAAGCGTTTGTGTTTAGCGATCAAAATGCATGCGCAATTGTATATGCATGGGCTTTTTTATATTAGTTGTGGCTAAAGGGTTTTCAACATTTACTTAAAAAATAATTTTTCTTAATATTGTGTTTTTTTTTTTTTTTTTTTTTTTTTTTTCTTAATATTGTGTTCTTATTCACACATGACAACTCTTTGGTAAACATGAAATCTGAATGATGGATCACAACTATATAATAGCTGAATTATATATAGAGTTTTTAAAAAGGTATGTCAAATTAAATTATTAAACGACATGGTTCTTTTCCCCTAAATTTTTAAAGTTTATCATCTAGAACCATAAAATTCTACAAATGATTGTATGGATTTGCAATGAAAAGTTCAAATCCGATAATTTATGGAATTAAGGAGTTCAACTTATCATTCCACCAAAATGGAGTAGATTTTCGAGGCCAATAGTAGAGCTGACGATCAGAAGCTACGAAGAAGGCTATTATGCTAAGAAGAAACAATTTTTTTTTTTTTTATTAGACTTTGGCTTGGTTTAGAAAGTACTTTTACAAATTCAATTTCCAGATGGTTCTGTCTCGAAATTTTGTTAGGTTAAAAAGAATATCTCACAATTCGAACAAGAATTGGATAATAATTGGTTATTTCAAACAAAAATTTCGTTTATCTTTGTTTATTGCTGACCGGTTCACATTGGTTAAGAAGATTAACCAGTTGGTGAGGTGTGCAAGACCTCGCAGTTGTGCAATATGAAGGTGACACGTGGGATGTATGATTCAGAAGAACGCTAGGGAATATTTTATATATATGCATTATGTGAGGGCGAGCGAATCCAGAATTATCGATGTGGGACTTTGGAAAACAACTCTAATGAGCCAATCGAGTATTTATTATAACTTCGGCCCAATATCAGTATTGAGAGTTAGCCCATTATTGGTTTTGACGGTCCCAAATGCATCAATGATGGCGTTTACTAAACGTGTAATTTTAGTTATATCCATGTAGAAACTTTTTAGTATAATTAACTTATAGTTTGAATAGAAGTATTTTTGGTTAAAAATCATCCATTCTCTAAGTTTTCGATTTTGAAGACTATCCTTTAATTTGATTATATTTACTATTGTTAAAGAATAACTAAATAGTAAAATATAATAGTAAAACTAAATGCCATTTATCCATTATAATGATTATGAAATAAATAAATAATAGTAATAATAAAATATAATAGTAATACTAAATGCCAACACAACTAAGGAAGAACACACCAATTTGTCCAATAAACTTATAAATTATTTCGAACCAAGATTATAGCTTTAGACAACAAAATTATAGTTTCATAAACAAGAGAACAAACCTCTCTCACTCCAACACCGGAGAACGACGTGGTTTATTGAGGTAGTATCTGACCATCTTCACAGCACCAACACCAAACTGCTTCATCTTCATCAGTAAAAATTTGTACGAAATACGTTTTAGAACACTCGTGAGCTGAATATGACATATGTGCGTCAACGAATGTATTAATTCGTCAAACGAATGAATGTCATTCAACTAACTTTTTCAAACTCATTTTAAATTATTCATCTTCACACAATCATTTGTAAACTACAAAAATAATATGTTTTGTGTCACTTATTTTTAATATTTGAATTGGTTATAATTGATGCAAATTAGTTTTACATCACTTATATAAGTAGCTTTATAAATGGTGATGCAAATATTTTGCATAAGTTAGAAAAATATTTGCATCAATTGTTGTAACTAATGTTAATATCGTCCGTTGCAAAAAAAAATGATGTAAATTTTGCATTAATTAATATAAGTGATGTTAATACACACAGAGAGAGAGAAAGAAGATAGTGGAGAAAAAAAGAGAGGAAGAATTTACCTTTTTCGAACTCTCTCGGAGACGAAGATGGCAGTGAAAGCCGAGACTGTTCGAGCGAGAGAGCGCGTGGATTGGCACCACGTGTCTCTGCTATTACCAAACGGCTGTGATTTTTTGTTCTTTTTTTTTTTTGGATTGGGGTCTTTTTGTACATAAAATATTTTAGTACTATGTTAATGTTATTTTTTCCAAACTTTGTAATTCGTCCTTCTTGTCTATTTTATTTTTCATTCTGAGAACTTCATACACTTGTCGTTCGATAAAATCTCTGTGGCCTGCATGGTTTACGGCTCCTCGGACAGTTTTTGGATTTTAGAGGAATATTCAATTGTAATGACATTTGTGTTATCACATGCTTTAGTGGATTCTCGAGATTACCAACCATGTCAAATGGTGTATTTGTGTTTTCTAACAATGTTTGAAAAAGACATTTGTTTTTTATTGTTTTGCTTTAACCATTATTATTAATTATAAAGCGACGAGAAGCAGTGGAACACAAAGCTCTCATACATGTCAAATGGTGTATTTGTGTTTTCTAACACCCATATATAGTTGCTATATACATTCTGTTAAGATATATATATATATATATATATATACATATATATATCTATGCGAGAGTATTGTCGTGGTCTAGTGGTAACACGTGAAGCTTTGTTTCGCTTAGAACCTAAGTACGAATCCCTTAGGTTGTGCGTTCTTTTTTTACCCTTTCTCCTTCCAAAATCAAGAGGAGAGGTCAGTTCGCGAGTTTTTTCCGCACCCAAATAAGTAAGTGGCTATAGGCCCAATAGCAAAACTTAAAACAAGGTACAAACAATACATAAATTATTCTCGGCCCAAGTCCAATAAAAACGTGAGCAACATGATTTTAGTGACACGTGACTTTACTTAAATGGAAAGGAAAAGCCTGGCACTTCAATAAATAGTCCCTCAAAGTGAAAATTATTGATTTTGACAAAAACAAAAAGACATGAGCTACGATAAAGTCCCACCGGAATCGTATCCTCCTCCAGGTTCGTTCTTAATCACTTCTTCTTCTTATGATTCTCTTCGATTCGATTCTATTCGATTCCTTAAATTCTGATTCTCTGATTCTGATCGATTGCAAAAAAGTACTAAATTCTGTTTTTGATCGGACGATTTAGGATACCAATCTCACTATCCACCTCCGGGTTATCCATCAGCACCGCCGCCGCCGGGATATCCTTCTCCACCGTCGCATCACGAAGGATATCCTCCACCTCAGCCTCACGGAGGATATCAACCGTATCCACCACCGTCTTCACGTCCTTACGAAGGCGGTTACCAAGGTTACTTCGCCGGAGGAGGTTATCCTCATCATCATCACGGACCACCGCCTCCTCCTCCGCCGCAAAATTACAATCACTGTCATCACGATCATCACCATTACCAAGATTCTGACTCTGGTTGCTTCTCTTTCGTCCGTGGCTGGTTTGTCTTCTCTACCACTTCCCGCCTTTTAATTTCCGTTTACTTGTGATTCGATTCTTTGTGCTTTTTTGGTCAATATTGTTTTAACTCATTGTGTCGGTTTAAAGCTATGATTGAGCTTTATGTTGGATCACTCACTGATTAATGTTGAGGGTTCATTGAACAAGTGTTTTGGTTTATGGAATTTGGGAATAGTATGATCCTGATCAGAACCAGATTCCTTTGAGTTGATTTATGGATAAGTCATAATGTTAGTTGAATTTGGACAACTACTGTGAAACTCAGAGTTTCGTTGGGAACTCAGACTTGACTTCTTTTTCACTTTGTTTGGTGGCCATTGATCGGAATTTTAGAACAAGAGATTCGGATTAATCCTTAGATTTAGTTCTCTGAGTGCTTTGCTGAACTTCTAGGGAAGTTTCTTGTCTATTTGTCATCTATTCATGTATAGACAGTTTTTATGGACATGATCGTTTACTTTTCATTGCATCTAGTGGCTCTCTTAAGAACTACCTAATGGTTTTTCTTTTATATTCTTGACCCCAAAATATATGCATAAAATCTCTAGTTAAAATATAGGATTTTGAAATTCTAGTGTCTATATCATCTGCGGCTTTTCTTATGCTCACTCTAATGATTAATGAAACTCTTTTATATTTTACTATAAGACTTGTGATTGACCATAAGTAGCCTAAATCTTGTTGTTACGACTTGTGATTAACGTAATCCTTTTTTTTGCGGGTTGCGAATGGCAGTCTCGCTGCTCTTTGCTGTTGCTGTTTGTTGGAGGAATGCTGCTTCTGAGAATGTCCGTCTCTGCGGATCTTGTCATTTACTGTCAGCATTATGTGTCTAATCGAAGACATATGCCATAACTCTCTATGTCTTATGTACTATCTATCGTGTTTCAATGTCTGTTGATGTTCACCTCTTTGTTTGAGAGTGCACTCATCCAGAGCATGGATTTGACAAGTAGGTTTCTTGTGGATGTTCTCTGTAATTTTTATGTATTATTTGGAAAACATGTTTGTTATTTTACCCAAATTTTAGTTCTTTCAAAGGCTGAATTATGGTATAATAAAATGCAACATTTGTATTTGTTCATCTTTTGTTTTTTAAATTCACAAAACATAAGCACAAAGAAATGATTAAAAACACATGAAGCTGCATAGAAAGAAATCAGTTCTTGTCTGAAGCAAAGTACACCTAAAATTGGAGAAAGAGCTAAAGAACAACATCAAGGGCCTAAAACAAAAAACCAACATGAACCATAAGAGAGATCCAAGATGGTCCGGTAGTATGGAGTGGGAAATGGGAGAGACTAAAGAATCCTAACATATGGTGGTGCATCTTTTCTAGTCCCAACCACTGTTCGGTAGAGGTAAAGTTTATCAACCTTCTCTCTTTCGTCTTCTTCATTCTGTTCCATCCGATTATTCTCATTCTCGTTGATGATCTCTACGTTCAGCCGTGGCGAATTCTGCGCGAGCCTCTTGCAGCCACCGAGGGTTACTTCACAAGACGACATCCAAAGGGATCGCATTGTTTCGTACCTACCCACGTCAGCAAGAAGCGCAGCGTTCCCAAAAGGACTGTCCCTTATCTCCAGCTTCCTCATTTTTTTGCATCCATTCAACACATAGAGCATTCCTTTGTCAGTGTCCCCCGCAAAAGCTATTGAAAGCATCTCCAGCTGCTCCGCGTACATACCGATGTAAAGAAAGACTTGGTCAGTTAAGAGACCGGAGACAGAGAGTCGTCTTAGACCCTTGCAAGCTTGTACGATCGCACCAAAGCCTTCGTCTAGTGATTGAGATGTGATATGGTCAGGTTTGTGTGGCTCGAGAATGCATAGCCGGAACCGGATGAAGTTTGGGCAGTTTTTGGCCACAGCTATGAGCGCTGCATTTGTCATTTGTTTGCAGAAGTATAGAATCGAATGAAGTTTAGGGCAACCTGCAGAGATCGCAACTAGTCCGACCTCGGTCACAGCTGCATTGTTATCTTCTTCACCATGTACATCAGAGGGAAAAACTCTCAGCTCTTGCAACTCTTTACATGTGGCAGCGACAACCGCAAGTCCTTTGTCACCAATACTATCCAATATCTGTAGGAACCATAAAAAACTGTTAAATCTTAAACCCATTTGTTGTCAGGTTAGCAAGTTAGTTTCTTTTCTTCAGGACATAAACAGAGACAGTGAGATAAAACTTACCCATAACCGTTGAAGTCTCTTGCAAAGCTGAATAAGCTTGATGAGGTGGTTGCCTTGGATCTCGGCTGCATAGCTGAGGTTCAACGAGATAAGGTTTTGACAAATCGGGTAGAACGCTGGGAGGCAGAGTGGAGCAACCTCTAAAAAGCCTGACAAGCTCCTTAACGACATGCATTTTTCAATGGCAGTCATGAGTTTTGCAAAAGATTCAGGATCTGGCTCATTCTCATAAGACCCTACTCCTAAGTCCACTAACTGCGGCGCACAACTCATTAACCTAGCGAGTGCGTCAAGGGGTACTGCACGGTTTAACTTCAAGCTCTTCAGGTTCGGGGACCTTGCAACAAGCCTCTCTAAAGCAGCAACATTGGTCTCTCCTTTAAGACAGGCAAAATTCAACGAAATAAGAGTAGTGCAGCTATCTGGAAAACAGTTCAGCCATTGACCTCTATGATCATCAATTTCATTCTCTTGCAGATCCAGCTCACGAAGATACCTAATAAGAAAGACAACACATTTTAAAAACAACTTAAAACCTCGAGAAACGCCAGTAAAAGGAAGGCCTTTTACCTGCAATTAGCAGCAATGGAAGCTAAGCCGTCAGTGGTAAACCCTTCACAGCTGACAAGAACCAAAGACTTGAAATTTGCAAAAGAACGCGAAAGAAGCTCCAAGCTTTCATCTGTTACCACCATTCGCTTCAATCTCAGCTCCTCAAGTCCCACACGGCTTCTAGCCAAAGCTTCAATCCAAGGAAGCACGAAACCTCCCCATTCATGAGGAACCAAGTTGAAATCAGCGAAATGAGGCTTCCCTTTTAAAGTTAAGGATTTGAGACATGGAAACCTCCCGATTAATCTCTCCGGATTGATGGCGTAGCAGTTTCCGATGAACACTTCCTTCCTACTAAACCTCTCGATCTTGTGCCATGATTTGCAGACAAGAGATATAGAGTTCCTGTCTTTGTGAGAAACTACGAAGTCAAACACGTGCTCTATAACCTCGTCTGGGAAATAATTCATCTTCCTCTATCGATTGCTAAACAGAGGAATTGACTTAAAGCTCAGCTCAGTGAAGCTTCGTGTTACAGCGAGATCCAAGACCTGAAGAATCTGCAAGAAACAGATTCAAATTATACAAACAAATTTTGAAAATCTCGAGCTCGATGAACAAAGAAATGAATCCAACAGATCCTGAAACTCAATAAACTAAACACAGAGATTAAGATTCAGATCTACATGAAACTAAATGAGCTAGATCTACGAAGAATGAGATTCAAGACCTCGAAGCTTATGAAGCTACTAAAGATCGTCGTCGGAACCAAACTCGCAGATGATTCGATTGAAGAAGAAGAACTGGAAAAACTCAACGAGTAAAACGTTGGAAATAATGAATCTGGAGTTAGCTTCAAGTCCAATGATGATGAGATGATCAAAGATTTGGATGTGAGAGAGAGAGAGAGAGAAAGAGATCACGCAAGCAAAAAACCAGAAACTCTCTAACAATTTAACCAGAGGGAGAAGCTGCTTAACCTAGCTGACCAAAAACTAACCATGGTTAAGTTTAATCTTGGTCATGTCGGATGATCCAACGGTGGAGATTGGTTCAATGGATAACCAAAAAAGGAATCTTGACCGTTGAAGAGTGGTATGGTTATGGCATGTGTTGCTCACCACTGGTTTTCGAGACCTTTCGCCAAAGAGAAAGGGTGAAGTGATGCATTAGTGTCAGAGTAAGGGACATATAAATTGCCCTTGTCTTTTTATGTTATTACCAAATTGCCACGTAAAAAGCTTCATGGCCAATAGGAAAATAATATGTTCCATACTGTTGATTTAATCGTTTTTGATTATGTATTAATCTTTCACGGTTGTTAGAAAGTGCAACAATTTTAAAAGTATTCGTGAAAATGATTTTTGATGTGGATTAATTAATACTTTATTATTGCTTAATTAAATAAAATACAGTATTTTTGATTCGTTAGAAAGTGCAACAATAGGCAAATAAATAAAATCTAACGTACTTTCGTATCGTACTGCAACAAATACATTGTTGTTATTTCCCTTTAGACACTTATCTCGGTAATTTTAGTTAATTTTGGAATAAACAAAAAGAAGAGAAGCAAGGCTGGCTGAATTTGTCGTGGGACGATGACACCTTTTATGGAATTAGAAGTTCATGAGATTTTTTTTTTTGGTTCTCCCATTTAATTTTTATTTATTTATACAGTTTTTTCATAACCAAACAAATCCAAAAGCTAATCAAACTCCCATCTTTTTCAAAAGAAGGTGGTTATGGGTAGGGTTCCATCTCGATTAATTCTTATCTCTATTGGAAAAACAATTTTCATAGTTTAATATTCAAAAAATAAATAGTACATTTTGTTTCGATTTGTCATATACTGGATACATTTAAGAAAAATTATAACAATCATAGGTTAATTGTGTGTTTTTTTACTGCCTGAATTCAGAATTTATACTATTTGTATTAGTTCTTTATACGTATATCTACTAGATAAATTGACAAAAAAAATTAAGACATAAATCATTAAGAAAAGAAAAAATAATATAAAAAGAGCAAAAAGGTGGCATAATCAAACTCAATAATAGACCCACTTGCAGATTATTACATGGAGGAGAAGGGAAGAAGAGTACACAAACAAAATCATTGTTACTCGTTGAGACTTGAAAGATTTAGAGTCATTTCTCTTGCACAACACTTTTTTTTTTTTTCGTCTGAATGATTCATATATAAATCTCAAAGAGTTTGTCACAAAAACAAGCCAAAAAGCACAAAAGGAACGAAAACAATCATGAAACAGAGAACACCTTACATCAAAGCAATGCATATTTCAGATTCAAAGACACTCTATAACCAAAAAGGGTAGCCTTGCGCTACATATGATTGAGATCGTTCCTCCGTTGTGACACTTTTTGCAATCAGATGGGCACCAGAATTAGCCTTCCTATCCTCAAGCACAACCCTCCACGCCGGAATAAGAGTTAAGGCAGAAAGAAGCCTTACCGACTGATATTTGAAACTAGGCCAAGCAGCTGGTCGATTAACAGCACCAACAAGATCCTTTGGCTCCAGCGCAAAAATAACATTAGGCACATGAAGACTATGCAAACTTTCCATTGCCCATAAAGCACTAGTTAGCTCAGCCTCACTCTTTGAAGAGATAAACCCAAAGGATCTTCTACTATGGAGAAGAACAATACCTTCTGAGTTTCTCAAAACCCAAGCCGCACCACTAGTAGACTTATCACGATCCCAAGCAGAAGCCACATTACATTTGAGCCACGGCTTTGCTGGTGGGCGCCATCTCTTGGTCTGAGCAGATACAACCTTTTGAATACTTTCTTCCTCCACAGCATCTACAACCTGAGCCTGGAACCATTCAGCCGCAGCCTCACTAATCTTGACCATCAAATCAGAGATACTAAAAGCAAGACCTTCAATAACAAGATTGTTGCGGTTCTTCCAAAGATACCACATAATCCAAGGCATTGACCTTCGAGAAGGAAGAGGCAGCTTCACATTTTTACACATATTCAGAACAAGATGAAAGTTCTGAAAGATAGATCTTTGGTCAAAACCGTCTTCTGGAAGAGGAAGACCAGATAATGCCCACACCTGCCTGGCAATAGGACACACAAAAAGCAAATGGTTTATAGATTCCCCTTCAAAACCACAAAACTGACATCTTGCATCCACTTTCATCCCTCTAGAATTCAGCCTCTCTGCAACAGGAATAGCCCCGTTCACTAACTTCCACAAGAACACTTTAATCTTAGAAGGAGCAAGAATCTTCCAAACCTCTCCTTTAAGCCCATTAAGTGAAGGAAGAAGATTAGCATAGCCAACCTCCTCTTTGTTGAAAACTTGACAGGCTAACCAATATCCGGACTTAACACTGTAATCTCCACTTTTATTGTGACTCCAGCACATAAAATCCTTGGAAGAGATAACAGGCTTTGATTTGAGAATGATGTCAACATCTCTAGGGAAAAAATTTTCTTCTAGAGACAAAACATCCCATGAACCAACATTCTGGTCAATAAGATCAGAGACTGTTAAATCAATATCCACCAGAATATTCTTCATAAAAGGTGCTCTCATGCCTCCATCCTCGAGCCACAAAGAAGTCCAAACCTTCAGAGATTCACCATTACCAACACGTTGCTTCAGACCTTTAACCAAAAGGATTCTACCATGCAAGATACTTCTCCAAGCAAAGGATGGCCTACTCCCACACTCAGCTTCCAGAAACTGAGACTCATTGAAATATCTGCTTTTAAAAAACCGAGAGAATAAGCAATCAGGTACCTGCAGCAGTCTCCACGCTTGTTTTGCCAATAGAGCTTGATTAAACAATTCAATGTCTTTAAAACCCAAGCCTCCTTGATCCTTTGTAAGGCACAAACGATCCCATGCAACCCAATGAATCTTTCTATGATTCTCAACAGAACTCCACCAAAAGGAAGACATAGCACTTGAAAGAGATTCACAAGTAGCTTTGGGAAGTTTGAAACAAGACATGGCATAGACTGGCATTGCCGTAGCCACAGTCTTAAGGAGAATCTCTTTGCCCCCTTGAGACAAGGTCTTAGCAAACCAACCAGAAAGTCTGTTCTTGAGCTTTGAATGAAGGTAATCCAACAACTCCTTTTTTGACCCACTGAAACATTCAGGCAGCCCCAAATAAGTACCTGCACCACCCTCATTTTCAATGCCCAGCTTATTCTTGATACCTAACTTCAGATTTTCCTCCACCTTAGCACCAAAAGTAATTGAAGACTTTGCTAAATTTATTGTCTGACCCGTGGCTGCTTCATATACACTCAAAATATTCTGAATCACTTGGCACTGATCAGCATCAGCTTTGCAAATAAACAGCGTATCATCGGCAAAGAGCAAGTGATGAATAGAGGGACCATCGATAGAAAACTGCATCCCATTAATAAGCCCATCCTGTTCAGCTCTATTAAGGAGATGTGTTAGCCCTTCAGCACACAACACAAACAGAAATGGAGATAAGGGATCTCCCTGTCTGAGCCCTCTCTGCGGAGTCACTAAACCATGAGGCTGGCCATTTATCAGAACAGTATATGTAACTGTAGTAACACAAGCCATCACCAGCTCAACCCACCTGGAATTGAAACCCAAAGCAAGCAAAAGATTCTGGAGATAGCTCCACTCCACCCTGTCAAAAGCTTTAGACATATCCGATTTGATGGCCATAAACTCCTTAGCCACAGCATTATGAGTTCTCAGACTATGCACCAACACTAGTTTAGTCATTTTAAAAATAATGGTACTAATTATTCGTAAAGTACTTAGAAGCAAAGACAATCACATACTATCAACAAATATCTTTCATAAATCCTCTGAGAATTACCCCAATGGCTATGTAGAAACAAGTTGTATCATTCAAATATCGTATCGTAGTAGTGTCATGTAATCAATAGTTATCTTGGTAAAAATGTTTTTATTTTTTTAATCCAAAAAGGTTATATAGTGATGATTTCACCTCACTCTTGACCCATCATATGCTACAATGGCTGCCATGTGAAGGGCACCTTTTAGTAATCATCTCCATTTTCACCATCGATCGGCCCAAAAATTTCACCATTATCTTGGTTTTAGTTGACTCGGATAATGCCTGAATAATTGGATTTTACTGTGCAACCAACCCCCATCTCTCACCTAAAAGTCACCTTAGTTAAGTTATCTGGTCAATTATTTAGAAGTCCAAGATCAGATTATTTTACTTAATTTTTACATATTTAAGTATTTCTCTCCTTTTCAAAATAAAAATTTTGGTTTTATCTTTAAGACAAAGTGAGAAACCTAACAGTAAGAAAAGGAAAATATTCAGGGGTATCAAAGCTTAGACTATCCAAAAATAATAATCATCTGGTCTCTATCATCGGTAAAAGTTTTTGCAATTTTCTTCTAGAACTCTTATCTTCTTTTATTTTTTTCCCCAGCTTTTTGTTGGTTCATGAGATTCTTTTTCCTTTTATCCTATGAATCCAAAGGCCAAATTCAAAGGCCCAAAAAGCAGAGAGAGAGACTCATAATGACGCATGTCTCTCTTATTCAATAATCTCCACATACAAACACCATTAAACATGTCATCACACAATACCAACCACACACATCCATATCATATCATAATATCATATACACACATCAATCGATCGATATACATACACTTTTTTTAAGTATGTATGTATTTGTATCTCCCAATACGAGATTCGGAAAGGAACCCTTTTTCAGTTCTCATTGTCACTCCCTGTGGTCCAGTTGTTTTTGAATTAAGAACATAAGAGTTATGATGATATTCTCCTGACAAAAATCTGTAACTCCTATAATTGAACTATACGAATCTATGTGTAGAATATATATGGGTAAAATACTACTACCGGTTAAACGATAAAAACCATGTGGGGAGATTCACTTCAACACACACTGCTGAGTCAAGAAGACTTAGCAAAAATGTTTTCAAAATACACCTCAGAGAAAGGGGCACAAAAAAAGAATTCACAACTCATAATATTCTCTCACAAGCCGCATGGAATCACATCAAAGAACAACCTCATGGAACATAACATTCAAACGACTATGTTACCGGCATTCATCCTATTAGTAGTATCACTCTCCTGACTACCAGCTGAAGACAGAACAATGAGGATGAAAACTAAAGGTTTGACCTTTACTCATCCGCAACATGAAGAGCATAGCCAGTTGTGATCTTGATTCTAGTACTCTCACAATCTCTTTAACTAGTTTAGCTTAACCCAATCCCATCTCATTACGTTCTAGGACTTGGGTTGCATTGGCAAAGGAACACAAAAACATGAACTAGTTTTTCCAAAGACTTACTATAAGCTGCATCATTATATATATTAAGACTTACTATAAGCTGCATCATCTGTAGGTAGATCCTAGAGTCTATCTAGGAAGCTTAAACAAGACTTTAAAGGATCATCCATCAGAGTAAACGGTTTACTGTCTCAAACACCTCAAAACCATTACATGATAATGACCCATTCACTACCATTCACAAGCAACAATCTTTAAAGCTCACAATCAAAGTCACGCATCAAACGACTAAAGATCGGAAATCATAAGATAAGAGGCACATTGGATTGAATTGCAAGAACATCATAGATATATATAATAACCCACTTTGGTCCAAGCGTTTGAAACATCATTAGATATAACGAATAATCACTGAACAGAGACAAACTCTCTTTAGAATCAAAGGAACTAATTTCTTGATTTTTCTTAATCACTAACCTCTCTTATAGCTAAGGTTTTAAGCATCACTATCATCACTGCTATCATCATCCTCTTCGTTGTTGACACCACGGTTACTGTTTTCATTGGAGATGAAAACTCCAGGCTGGCTTGATCGTCTCCTAGTCCTCGACGGAAGGATATTATCCAAATCAACCTCAGCCAAAGGATCATCGGAGAAATCGCTTTCGTCGTCTTCATCAAAACCTTCGTCATCTTCATCATCACTGTCGTCTTCGTCATCACTTTCCTCCACTTCGATCATTTTTCCCTTTCCCTTGTCCTCTCGAGAAATCCCTTTACCTTTCCTATCAACCTCTTCTACTTCTTCTTCCTCTTCCTCGTCGTCTTCCTCTTCATCATCTTCATCTCCATCTTCTTGCTCCTCCTCTTCAGCTCCAAGATCGCCAATTACGCCATTCTCAACCTTTTCAGCTGATTTCTCCGATAAAACCGATGATTCTGCCCCAATCTTTTCCTCGGTGGAAGATTTCATATTCTCGATTTTGCCAGTTCCATTAATTTCTCCGTCTTTGGACTCTGAATCAGCAGAATTCGATGAAGGATTAAGCTTTTGAGCCTTGTTTGCCACATTATCCTGCTCTTGGCAAAACAGATCAGATTTCCGCTTCACCGGAAACGAAGAATCCTGTTGATTCTCAACATCCGCCATAGATGAATCAATCTTCTTACTTCGGAAACTCGCGATTGGTTGTAGGACGACGAACGATTCAGAGTTAGGGCTTTGAGCTGAAGCAAACACTAGAGTGAATTTTGGTAGTAACCCTAGAAGTTTTTGTAGGGTTTCTCAATTATTTTTACCGTCTCTGTTTCTCTCTACTTCATTATTTGGACCTCAACACATTGGCCCATTATTAAGCCCATTTGCTTATCTTCTCAAAATACACCGGTGATTAAACAAATTCACATTATGCTAAAATAACCGCTTAAACAAACAATTAATCGCTATCAAATGGTAAATCAAATGATTTGTAAATTTTATAAACCGGACTCGAACCAAGATCAAATTCAACTATTGTGGTAATTTAATGGTCGAGTCTCGAGTTGTGTGTGTGTGGCAGCAGGAGAACGTGCCGGGGGATACTAAACCGGCCCAATGCTACAGTCGTACCGGTTTGGTTTCCTACTCGGTAGTATATAATTGAAACCGGTTATCCAATTTGACAGGCAGAGAAGAAGATTTGATTGAAGCACAGATCCATCGGAGAAGAAGAAGACAGAGGAAGAGAGAGATTGAAGATCAATGACTTCGAGGTACTGGGTTGTGTCTCTTCCAGTGAAAGACTCTGCTTCTACGTTATGGAATCGATTACAAGAGCAGATCTCCAAGCATTCCTTTGATACTCCAGTTTATCGGGTACTCTGATTTTTGCTCGATTTCGTCTTTATTCGATTGCGAAATTTAGCAGAGATCTTGTACTATCTCGTCGAACTTGAGTTTCTACGATCTAATTTCGTGAGTTTTGATTTCAATTTCGCAGTTTAACATTCCTAATCTTCGTGTTGGAACCTTAGATTCTCTACTCGCTCTCGGCGATGATCTGCTTAAGGTAAATTCATCTGATCATTGAGTGAATTTGCGTTTTTGATTCTACCGATTGAGAAATTTTGTGGTTAATGAATGATGTTATGATCTCTTTGAGATATGTAGTCGAACAGCTTTGTGGAAGGAGTTTCGCAAAAGATCAGGAGACAGATCGAAGAATTGGAGAGGATTTCTGGTGTGGAGAGCAACGCTCTAACAGTTGATGGAGTTCCTGTTGATTCTTATCTCACCAGGTATATGTGATTTTCATCTTCACATGTAGTTAATTGCGATTTTGATGGTGATCGAGTTTGTTAAAGCACAAAACTTTTGTTGATTGGACTCAAGGTTTGTGTGGGATGAAGCTAAGTACCCAACAATGTCACCTCTGAAGGAGGTTGTTGGCAATATTCAGTCTCAGGTTGCAAAGATTGAGGATGATCTCAAGGTATTGAAGCTTAAACCTTTAGTTTTGTTGAACATAGGAAGCTTAACCTTTTAAAAGAAAGATTAGTCGAATTGGTATGTTGGTATAAAGTTCTGCGCAGTGTGGGTTTCTGTACCGTAATCAAATGAATTGATTTGGTTCAACTGGTGGCGTTAACGACTCTGATTGCACATATTGTTCAGGTTCGTGTTGCTGAATATAACAATATCCGTGGTCAACTCAATGCCATTAACCGAAAGCAAAGTGGAAGGTAAATTTTTCCTTCTCAAATTCATACTATAAGAGCAAACTAGAAACTGTGAGCGGTTTTGCAATAACAAAAATTGAACTTTGTTTTCTCATCTATCTAAATTTTGCTTGAACAATGATTTACCTCGTGAATGTGTTAGAATAATAGATAGTCATTTTCCAGAATATTGCTTTTGGTCTTTATCTATTTCTCAACTTTTTAGTATCTTTATGGCATTGTGGCTGATCTTCCCCCTTTTTGTTTCAGCTTAGCTGTTCGTGACCTCTCAAACTTGGTTAAGCCAGAAGATATTGTCGCGTCAGAACATCTCGTAACTCTCCTTGCAGTTGTTCCAAAGTATTCCCAAAAAGACTGGCTGGCATGTTATGAGACATTGACCGAATATGTGGTAAATTGTTGACTTGTTAGGTTTATTGAATGGACCAGTGGTAACACTATTGGTTTGGCATACTGTGATTTTAATCAATTGATCCTAACTTGTTTCAGGTTCCTAGGTCCTCGAAGAAGTTGTTTGAGGATAATGAGTATGCTCTTTACACCGTCACTCTCTTTACTCGTGTCGCAGATAATTTCAGGATTAGTGCTCGTGAGAAAGGGTTCCAAGTGAGTATTCTGTTCTAGTTCCTGCTATTACCTCCAGATTTTTTGTAGAAGTTAGAAATGATTATTTGCTACTAGTACTGATTTTATTCATTGAAAAAGTTAAGACATTTGGTTGATTCTCAAATCTCTGTTCATCATATATTGTACACCATCCTCTTTTAGGTCCGTGATTTTGAACATAGTGTTGAAGCACAAGAGACTCGTAAACAAGAGCTAGAAAAGTTGGTTCAGGATCAGGAAAGTATGAGAAGCTCTCTTTTGCAGTGGTGCTACACCAGTTATGGAGAGGTATCTACACATTGCTCTGTATAGATATACTCTTGTAATAACAATTCCTGAATCTGTTTTGATCATTGGTCTATATCTGTAGGTTTTCAGCTCCTGGATGCATTTCTGTGCTGTGCGTATATTCGCTGAGAGCATTATGAGATATGGTTTACCTCCAGCGTTCTTGGTAAATTAGGACTCCAAGCTATGCTATTCTAGAGAATCCCTCAACCCTGTTAACTCCCTTACCAAATTACTTTCTCTTGTCTGTCCAGGCATGTGTCTTATCTCCGGCTGTGAAAAGTGAAAAGAAAGTACGCTCCATTCTTGAACGCATGTGTGATTCTACCAACAGGTATGTTAAAACTCTCTGCCTATTTATCGCTCTAGGCATAGGATACGTAGAAGCTGTGTAACATACAACTTCAGACTGATTCTGCGTTGCTTAGTATGCGTTCTTGAGGCCAAATAATCAAATCTAAGTCGCTTTAGTTGAATAACCATTTACCGCACAAAATCTAAGGGAGGATTCATCTATATAAGTAGTGTAGTTCGATGAGATTTCAAATTGAGCATTTTGGGTCTCATTGTATGAAAACAATGCAGTTTATACTGGAAAAGCGAGGAGGATGCAGGAGCTGGAGGAGCCATGGCTGGTTTAGCCGGTGACTCAGAGACACATCCTTATGTCTCCTTCACTATCAACCTTGCTTAAAAAATTGATGAGAGATGCTTTTGATGCTACTTCTCCTCGTCTCTGTCTTCTCATCTGTTATATTTGTTTGTGTTCTATAGATTTCACATTTATTTTTCGTAATATATTTTGATTTTCAAAATAAGGTGGCACTCAATAGAGATGTTGCTGTAATTTAAATTTGGCCGGAGTCTTTTAGATTCCGGTGAGTTTCAGACACTTGTGGAAGACAGAAGGTTATACAGTTGTTAAAGCCTTTTTGTCATTTTGTGACCTGGTTGATTTATTTATATCATCATCACTCTGTTTCGTTTTTGTCTCTTTGTTTTGGTCTGAAAGGTGTTACTTATTATTGGCGTTTATTGGTATTTTTCAAAACGCTGTCAGAATGTTCTGGAGGTTAGCATTTAGCAATCATACAAAACTGGTAACATTTGTGGCTGAGTGAAGAAGTTAAATCGGGTAAGCTGGCACCAAACTGATGTTTCTTTTAACAAATACTTTACAACGTATTTACAGTATTTTAGTCTCACTTTACTCTTCGACAATATTTAAGGCACTTTTCTACCAATCAGTTATATTATTCAACCATTTGCTTATACAAACTGCTTTTTTCTAATTTTAGTTCCTTAAAACGTATTTCTTTTGTTGTTTTAACCAGTCTAAATGAGTACAATCGTTTTCTTTTCAAAATTAGTCATCAGAGTCTACATTTTATACTTTGTTGCATTTTATACACTGTAAATAAAAATATGCATACACATAAGTATAACAGTAACAACGTAGTATTATATGTTGAAGTTCGTGTGATTAAGAACAAAACAGACTCGAAGGATGATGCTCTAAAAGCGAACCACAAAATATAAATATTACAGCATCAATAGTGTAGAAACCTAACCAGCATTGATTCATTAACACATAGAAAGCTACAGATCCCAACAATGGCTAAAACCAAAGAAAGATCAGGATGGAGCCGCATTGATCTGCCTGAAATCTTCCCATTAAGCTGGCCTGAGCTTGGACCAGGCGCTTCTGGTTCTGGAACAGGAGAGGTCGCTGTCTCTACTGGCCAGTCGTTGGTCGGAGAAGGGAAAAATGAAGACATATCTGGTGCATTGATATACGGTAAAACAGCAGGAGAAGCTAAGATTGTGGATTCACTGCAAACCAGAGTCCATTGAACCGATACAACGATCAAGAGAAACGCGGAAACAGAGAAGCTAGAAAACAGAGCCATGGGTGTTTCTTTTTCTTCTGTTCTGCACAAGAAAGATATTATACCAAGTATAAATAATAGAACAGAGAAGAAGACAGCCTCTTTTGTTCCCATGTGTTTGTGTGTGTGTCTTACTAAGAAACAAAGAATTGCAATGAATATGTTCACGGACCAAAGAATGGGTCCTTAATTGTTTCACATGCCTATTTTTGGTTTCTTCCTCTTAAGTCATGTGATTTCATTTACCTCTTTTTCACTTCCACCACCTAAGGGGGTAATAAGTAGAAAGCTTAATGGGTTTGAAGATTTGTCTGAGAAGCACAATTTTGAAGTAAATGAGAAGCGGTGGAGACTTCGGCAACTTGCAAGACTGACGATAAGGCAATGAGCTTTGCGTAGATCTAGTAACGATCCAGATTATAAGATTTTTTTGTGTAATTATAAGCATAAGAATTACATAAGATTCTTTTAGGAAGCTTGCAAATAGAAAGAATCAAACAGAACAAGGTAACGAAACATCAAAATTAACGAATCTATAGCTTTTCTTCCTCAAAACAAACATACAAGAGGCTCGTGGCGGTAGCATGTAATCTGCAAGCTTGTTGATCTTCTTTTGCAGACTCGGATGACTTGTGAAGGTCTTGGAATAATTTACCAGCTCGTTGTTTGTTCGAGCTTTTAGAGAGTAAAAGAATTTGATGAAGATGATGATGCTACAACAGTCTAAGATGAGCGGTGTCATTTAACCGCTTTACCTGCCAACCGGTTTTCCACGAATGCTGTAACACGGTCACAGATGAATCCTCCACACAGATCTTATGTGTCATTACCGGGCTGCATCCAAGGATACCGGTAAGAAGGCATTTTATAGGTAAAGAGTGAGTGAAAACTCCAATGCAGGTTGAGAGTTGAGAAGAGGAACTCTTGATGTTTATATCACCTAGGTGTTGTTCATCATTGTGATTACTAAATATCTCTTCACTACCCTCGTGATCACCGGTTGCATTCATCACCTGAAACCGGCTCTTCCCAGATTTCTTCCTTGTAAGAATTGGACGATGAACAGAATTCGCTAACGAGAACCCTCGGGAATTTGTGTGATGTGTAGATGGAAGAAGTTCTGATCTGAGCTTCTCCGAAAGTCCTGAGACTGTCCCATTCAGAAACTGAACCATCCGAAACTCTACTTGTCTAAGTGATTCGCCGGATGGAGCTGAGAAATCAGGTTGGCATCTTTCTATTAAGCTTAAAGTTTCCGGTGTGTAGATCTCTGACCGATGACAGCTTTCCCAGTCCCCTAAACTCATCTCAACGACAGCATCCGAGACTTGCAAATGCTCTTCCGGATAATTCATTTCCTGCATCAAGTATCAAGGCAACGTTCAATCGAGAAATCACTTACAGATTTCATCTTACAAGCATCCTAACTAGTTCCATCGCAGTCTTAAGAGATTCTTACTATATTTGTTCTTATTAGTCATCCATCACGCTACCTTTTTGAACCATGAACAACACTATAGAGTCTCAAAGTTCTTAAGTGTTTGCGTCTGCAGTGACTCCATTGAAGGAGCGATTGGTTTTTCTAGGAATCATCCTAACTAGTTCCATCGCAGTCTTAAGCTGATTCTGGCTGGTTTCGTTTCATGAGCATCCTACTTTTGCAAAATTGAATTCCAATTTCAAAGCCTTAGATCTAGAATTGAGAAATACTGTACCTGGCAAACGGAAACAGCCATGGATCTAGCTCGATCCAGAGGCGAAGAGAAGACGGAAGTGAATCGAACACCTTCGGAGTTTAAAAAGACGGCGAGAGCTCTCGCCTGACGTTTTCCATTGGGTGTGAGAGTAGCCACGTGGCACCTACCTCCAATCAGATCAGGCCTGAGATTGAGATCACACTCGCCATGGCTGATGAAATAGACTTCCGTCACGGCGGAGCGATCGTGTTCCGCGGCGGCGGAGATACGAGAGAAGAGAGGCGGAGAAGAAGGAGGAGGCGCGAGGACGTTGTAAGGATCCCAGACTTTGATGGAAGGTCCGATTCGAGGAGTTCCAAGAGAAGAGAGCTGAGGAGAGAGTGGAGAAGCAGAGGCGTGACAAGGAAGCATCTCAGGCTCTTGCTCAAGAACCTTCTTGACCAAGAGATTATCCAGCTCGATTCTTCTGTTGTTCAATCCGCCATTAACACCTTCCTCTTCTTCTTCTTCTTCTACTTCTTCACCTTCGCTCTCTGCTTCTTCATCTTCTTCATCATCAAGTATTTGCGAAGACTGTGACGACCCCATCGTCTTTCTCTGAGTGCTCGGAAGATGCAGTGTCGGAGCTTAACACGAGAGACTTTACAATGGCTTCCAGCGAAAACCATTTTCCAGATCTGATGTGAAAACCTCCAAATCAGTTAGAGGGTTTAAAATCTTACTGACCCGGCCCAAACTCTTTTTTGGACCTGGCCCAAACTCTAAAGTGAGGTAGCCAGCCTTAAACTTTTTCCCTTTTCCTAGGTGTATTGAATAAAGGATTTAGAGTAATTTTTATTAAAATGATAAATCTTATGTTACTTAAATATAAATTTTAATTTTTTAAAAAAAATTAAGTGTTATTGGATTTGTGATCTTAAAATGAATAATCAATCCACTTTTATTGAAAACATTTTAAGTAGTGGATTTGAAGTCATTTGAGTAATATGTGACATTTCACAGAATTTATTAGTTAAAAATACAAAGATATAAATCTCATGGTTTTAGGTGAGATTTGAGAGAATTTTAATAACAAAATTTCTAATTCACCAAAATTCACCAAAATCATCTTAAAACTCATTAAAACTCAAATCACTCTAAATTCATCATTCAATACAACCCCCTTAAATAGACTAGAATTTGCGGGTTATAAAGTGTATAAAAAAGAAATGAAGAGTAGAGGATTCATTCATATCAAAAGAAGAAGGAATCAACAATGAGAAAAGCAAAACAATTGATTGCATCATTATCATCACAAAGAAAGAGAAGAATAATAATAAGGAAGAGAAGAAGAAGCAACGAGAAGCTAGTGATGGCTCCATCATCACTACCAAACGATGTTGTAGAGGAAATCTTCTTACGACTTCCAGTGAAAGCAATAATCCGACTAAAGTCTCTCTCAAAACAATGGAGATCGACGATCGAGTCTCGCAGTTTTAAAGAGAGACACTTGAAGATCGCCAAGCGATCACGCGTGGATTTTCCAAAGGTCATGGTTATCTCTGAAGAATATCCCTTAAAAGGGAGTAAAGATAATCTGCCTCGTCCAGACACAGACATCGGTTTTAGTACAATCTGTTTGGAATCGGATTCTGTTCTTTCCTCCACTCTTATCACTTTCCCTCAAGGATTTCATCACTGGATCTATGCTTCTGAAAGTTGTGACGGACTTTTCTGCATCCATTCCCTAAAAACAGAAGCCATATATGTAGTTAACCCGGCCACACGATGGTTTAGACAACTTCCTCCGGCTAGGATTCAGATCTTAATGCACAAGTTTGACCCCGATATAGAAGGTTGGGATATATACATGAAATCAGTCTGTTATATAGCATTCGTGAAGGCCAATGATTACAAATTAGTGTGGTTGTATAATTCTTACAAGTGTAATTCTGATGCCTCGAATCCAAACGAGGGAGTTACCAAGTGCGAGGTTTTTGATATTAGGGCAAACGCTTGGAGGTACCTGACTTGCACTCCAAGCTATCGGATATATAATGACCAAGCACCAGCATCTGCAAACGGGTCTATTTACTGGTTCACGGAACCATATAAAGGCGAAATCAAAGTAGTAGCTCTCGATATTCACACTGAAATGTTTCGTGTGCTACCTAAGATTAACCCGACCATTGCTAGTTCAGATCCTGACCATATCGACATGTGCACTTTCGATAATGGTTTGTGCATGTCGAAAAGAGAAGGAGATATGATGATCCAAAATATTTGGAGGTTAAAATCATCAGAAGACTCATGGGAGAAGATTTATACCATAGATTTGCTTTCTTGTTCTTCTTCTATATCTGAGTTTGGCGATGGATTTAATTGGACCGAAAAGGATTTGGTTGAGCCATCCACACCAGTGGCGATATGCAAGAACAAGAAGATGCTGCTCTCACATCGCTATGCCCGAAATATGATCAAATACGATCCCCAAACAAAATCTCTCAGTTTAGTTTTCCAACGTCCTCTGTGTAGAAGATATGTTTCATATTTTCAGAGTTTGATCTCTCATATATAAAATGCTTTGATGTATTTGGAAGCATGTAAGAAACAAAGCATTGTTGGGATTTTTATTTTATCCGATAGCATGCTGTTATTCACAATAAACCATACCTATTTCGCCAAGTGACACTTTTTTACAATAAATCATACTAATTTATGAAACGATACAGATTTTTCAAAAAAATGCGGACAAGTATTTTCGTTAATCCACTCAAAAATCACTTTCCCTGTGTGTGTGGATGTAAAAGGAAGATGAAATATAGATTTTATCTTAAAGGGACCATTGCCTCGTTGTTATAAAGAAAAAAAGGGACCATTGCATCCGACATCTTTTATCCGTATTAATCTTCATTCAATATATTTTGTTGCACCAAAAAAAAAAAATTATTCAATTTACGGCATTGTTAAAAAGTTTAAATCTAATTATAGAAAGTTTTGAGAGATTAACTTCTATAGTCCGAAATTCTTAATTATAGAAAAAAATTTTAAAAAAAATCTTTTAAAAATTGTCTATTCACTGGGACCATTTCATAGCTAGCAACCAAATTACACATTCTTTTGTTTGTCAACCAACTGAATTATAAACTAACGGTCGGATTTAGCCTTTGCTAATCATCTTCCTAATGCTTTGATTGATACTCTCTCACTGAAATAATAATTCTGCAGACCCAAAAAAAAAAGACAGAGAGGTGGCAAAGATGAAGTGGAGGTGAGAGACGGAAAGCAAAAAATAGTCACGAGAATCAACACCAACTCTTAAACAAGAAGTAAGAGTAAATAATGGTGGCTTTGACAAAATTGAAACCCCCAAAAATCTCAACTTTTTAGGGTTTTTGAGCTCTGAAAATCTCTCTTTTGCTTCAACTCTCTTCTTCAGATTTCTCACTTTTTCTTTTTCATAAGATCCTCGTGATTCCACTTTATAACGCCTCCTTTTGGATAATCTCTATATCTACGTTTCTCTCGCCTTGTCTCCTTTTGAGGTTTCATTTCAACTTCTCTAAAGTTCGAAATTTTTTCACAGTCTCTCTCTACTACTAGTTTGACATGAACGGCGACGGTGTTTGGCTTGACGGCGCCGGTGAATCTCCGGAGGTTAATAACAATGAAGCTGCGTCGTGGGTCAGAAACCCAGATGAAGATTGGTTCAATCACCCACCACCACCACCACAAATCCTCCATAACAATAACCAAAGTGACTTCAGATTCAATGGTGGGTTTCCATTAAACCCCTCAGAGAATCTGCTTCTTCTTCTTCAGCAATCGATTGATTCGTCTTGTTCTGCTCCGTTACATCCTTTCACACTCGACGCTGCTTCACAGCAACAACAACAAGAACAGTCTTTCTTAGCTACAAAAGCTTGCATAGCTTCTCTTCTCAACGTCCCAACCACCAATAACAACACTTTCGATGAATTCGGCTTTGATTCTGGTTTCTTGGGTCAACAATTCCATGGAAATCAATCTCCAAACTCGATGAGTTTCGCTGGATTGAACCACTCGGTACCGGATTTTCTCACTTCCCGGTCAATTCCAGCGCCGGAAAACAGCTCCGGATCATGTGGATTGAGTCCTCTGTTCAAGAACAGAGCAAAGGTTCTCAAGCCGTTAGAGGTGTTGGCTTCATCTGGCTCGCAGCCAACGTTGTTTCAGAAACGAGCTGCAATGCGTCAGAGTTCGAGTAGCAAAATGTGCAATTCAGAGAGTTCTTCTGAAATGAGGAAATCGAGCTACGAGAGAGAGATTGACGATACGAGTACCGGAATCATCGATATCTCTGGATTGAACTACGAATCTGATGAGCATAATAATAATAAAGGTAAGAAGAAAGGAATGCCTGCAAAGAATCTTATGGCTGAGAGAAGAAGAAGGAAGAAGCTTAATGATAGGCTTTACATGCTTAGATCAGTTGTTCCCAAGATCAGCAAAGTAAACAAAAAGATTCTTCCTTTTTTTCTTTGTTTCTCCGTAATAACTTCTTGTGTCCTTAATTTTGGGTTCTTGTGGCTTTAAAATGTAGATGGATAGAGCAGCAATACTTGGAGATGCTATTGATTACCTCAAAGAGCTTTTACAAAGAATCAACGATCTTCATACCGAACTAGAATCTACTCAACCGAGTTCTTCAACCTTGCACCCGTTAACACCGACTCCACAAACGCTATCTTACCGTGTTAAGGAAGAGTTGTGTCCCTCTTCCTCTTTGCCAAGTCCTAAAGGCCAGCAACCAAGAGTAAGAATAAGCTCAATTTCTTGTCAGTGGACAAAACCAAATTCTGTAATTTACTTATTAAGGCTTCTTTGTTTTGATATAGGTTGAGGTTAGATTAAGGGAAGGAAAGGCAGTGAACATTCACATGTTCTGTGGACGTAGACCAGGTCTTTTACTTTCCACCATGAGAGCTTTGGATAACTTAGGATTGGATGTTCAACAAGCTGTGATTAGCTGTTTCAACGGTTTTGCTTTGGATGTTTTCCGCGCTGAGGTAATATTAGTAGTTAGATGCTTTGCTGATCTCTGATTAGTAAAACTAGCAGGCAAAAGAATAGTTATTTTGAGACATGTTTTGTTTTATATAACATGTTTTGTTTCTCTAATCAGCAATGCCAAGAAGACCATGACGTGTTGCCTGAACAAATCAAAGCAGTGCTTTTAGACACAGCAGGTTACGCTGGTTTGGTTTGATTGCGAAACAAAAGGAAGAATCTGTGTGGAACAGAGCTAGATCTAAGCCTCTTTTTCATTTTTAGTCAGCAATTTTCTTACTTAGTTTCATCAATTTTAATCATGTATTGAAGATGATAACTGTTTTATTTTACCTTTGAAAACATGGGGTACACAAATTCAACCTTTTAGCAAATGCCATTGTTACTTTGCTTTTCATTTTTATGAGTTGTTTGCAAGAAGAGATCAATGTTGATTTTCACTGATAAAACACACATGAGAAACGGCTAGACAAAGATTAAGAACTGCACAATTCATAGGCAAAAGCTCTGTTTTTTTTTCCGCAACACTAACAGAGATTCATCTCTGTAAAAATCATGTTCTCTAAATAAATGTTATTTTTATCTAATATTTTTGTTCTCATGTCCTCATTCTAGTTAAACACAAACATAATGGAATCATGATAAATATACTATTTTTCATCGATAAAACATATACAAGAAATGCTCTGTTTCTTACATGCTTCCAAGTACATCAAAAGAATTGAATAGGTATTTCATATATCAGAGATCAAACTTTGAATATAAGGAACATGGCTTAAAATTTTACATTGAACATGATGTGTGAAAAATGAACAGACGGATTTTGTTTGGGGATCGTACTCTACCAGATGTTTTGTATAAGGACATGATAACAATATCTTCTTGTTATTGCAAATCGCCAACGGTTTCCAGTCCAAGAAGTTTTGTAACAGTGACACGGAAGAAGAACAAGAAAACAAATCTATGGTATAAATCTTCTCCCACACGTCTTGTGATGATTTTAATCTCCAAATCTCTTTGAACGTCTTTATATTGGGCACCAGTTTCATGATGCACAAACTATTATCGAGAGTGCACATGTAAATTACCATAGGACTTGAAGTGGCAAGGATCGGATGAAACTTAGGCAACAACCGAAATGTTTCAGTATAAATATCAAGAGCTATTACTTTGATTTCGCCATTATATAGTTCCGTTAACCAAAAAATCGATCCGTCTACATATTCTGGACTTTGTAGACCCCATATCCGATAACTTGGAGTACAAGTCAAGTACCTCTAAGCGTTTGCCCTAAAATCAAAAACCTCGCACTTGGTAAGTCCCTCGTTTGGACTCAGGGCATCCGCATTGTACTTAAGAGAATTATACAACCACACTAATTTGTAATCAGTAGCCTTCACGATTGCTAGGGAAGTGACTGGTGTCGTGAAATAGCATAGATCGGGATCCCAATTATCGTCTAGATTCTGTACCATTCTGTGATTCAAAATCTGAAACCTAGCCGGAGGAAGTTGTCTAAACCACCGTGTGGCCGGATTAACTACCCATATAAACTCTGATTTTGTGGAATAGATGCAGAAAAGACCGTCGCAACTTTTAGAAACGTAGAAACTGGAGAATTTCGGATGGGATTTGGGAAGAGGAAACGATAGAAGTGGAGTGGGCTCTAAGGAGAGTGTATGAAAACAAATCGAACGATGTTCATTTTCGAAGTTTTCTCTGGAATTGATGGCGATGACTTTTGAGTGTTCCATGTGGGATCTTTGGGCAAACTTCAAGTGTCTCTCTGCAAAACTACGAGACTGGATCGTTGATCTCCATTGTTTTGAGAGAGACTTGAGTCGGATTAGTGATTTCACTGGAAGTCTCAAGAAGATTTCCTCTACAACGTCGTTTACGAGTGATGGTGATGATGATGCAGTTGCTTCCATCCTTGCCTTCTTATTTCTTTCTTTTGATATGAACGAATGTCTGTGTTATATAGTTAACAAGGAAATTAAAGCCATTAAATTTGTGTTTATGAAATATAAATTAGGTTTTAAATTTGGTTAATTTAAAGGGTTTTAGTAATGTCATTTCAAGGAAATTTGATCCATAAGAAAATGATTTTAAGTTTTAAAAAGACAAAAAGTTATATAAATTGTGAAATATAAGATTAGACCAGATTTTCTCATATTAATTATTATTTTTGGCAGAAAACCTTACCTACTTACTTAAAGAAAAGTTAGAAAAGATAATTTGATAAGCTATAAAATAATAAAATCACTATATGTCACCTATATTACTTATTATTATCTTCTTCATTTTATTTTAATGTATCATTAATATTACTAACAAAATATTAAGGTATTAAATGTTACAATTTATATGTATTTTTAATTATGTTTTTCATGATTGAATTAATTTTTTTTTTTTTTTCTAAAAACTACTTGGAATTTTTTTCAATGTAAAAACAAAACATACATGTCTATTGTCTACATACTTTTTAAAATTAATTACACAGTAGTGTATTTGGGTTAAGTAATCTCTGTCCAGCTTAGGTGGAGTAAACGAAAATATATAGTAGTGATGAGAAATTATAATTCATGAGCAAAGCTCTTCTTTTGATGCATTTGCAACATCTACGAAAGATCTGATGGTTAATGATTTATTCATGTTCATTGTTGGAGAATCAACATGTCTAAACATGAGGTGATGATCCAACAAAAGAGAGATCTCAAATGTGTAACCAACTTATAATGTCATTGACTTTCTCAATGAGCTCAAGAAGAGCAATTGCTAGGCAAAAGTTGAATCTTTGCCAAACTCATATTCTTCGGATATGAGTAGGCTTTGACCTTTGTGATTTTGATGTCTAAAAGATATATATATATATATATAAGTGTAGCCTCATTCATTCTAATTAAATACAAACGTAATGGAAGCAAAAATAAAACACACTGAAAACGCATCAAAAGAAGTAGTTGTATTTCGAGGAAAAAAAAAGAAGTAGTTGTATTTTATTTAAATATGAGAAATCAAACTTGGAAAATAAAATACAAGTTTAAGGAGTAGAATCGGCTAATCAAGGAAAATCAAGAACATGTTACATAAGTTTGTCTTTAATTCTTTATACACACTTAGCTCCAAATTCTACTCTATAAAGGATTAGCCAATTATGAGAAAAAGGAAATTTATCATCCCAAAAATTTATTTTAAAATTAAAATAATATAAAAGGAAAGAAGAAAACGTAGGAGTAATTCAATTTCGACTAGTAAATGGAAATACCAACCAAATATAAAGACAGTAGAAACGAATTGAAACTATACCAATTCGGTTTCAACTGTCTTCTTTAAAACACGTCTCCAGATAAGTTTTATAGAATCAATTATTTTCGAATAGTTCTCTATAGTGGAGAATACTCGTAAGATAAAACAGTAATAAGTCAAATACAGAATCAGATCCTTTAGTGACTTGCTTCGAAATTGTGTGTGTTTATTTATGTTCTTCTTCATGTTCTGTTTTTTGAGCTCAAGAAAGAATTTACCAAAATATTTTTATTTCATTTATAAATATTAAAACTGATTAAATAGAGAGACAGACAGGTGATAGTTAGCAATGAATGCTCTCGTTGGTACAACTCCTCATTCGTCTCCGCAAAAATAGCAAGTTATTAAACAAACAAAAAAACTCATATTAACGATTAAATTTCTCGTGAGTTTGAGATTCTCTCTCTCTCTCGTGGATTCGTTAATTCTGGAAAATTTGTTTATTTTCAAAAGAAGAAGATGGATTCGTCATGAAAGCTATGATAATCATCATGTTTCTTACTAACCTCAATATACAAGAACAGGGCTTTTCAAGAACGTAGCATTCTCTGTTTCTGTCTCAATCGCTTTTGATTTTTTGTGTTCGCAGATTCATCAAATGTCGGTTCTTTCTTCTCGGACAGGACGAGATCGTCAACGTTACGACAACAACTTCCGTCTCGTTTCTGGGTACCAACCAAATCATTTTTTTTTGTTTCTTGATGATTTTCCAATTTGCAAATCTTGAAAATTTCAAGAAACTCCAAAATCAGAAAACAAAATTATTGATGTTTCTTGTTGTTTGTTTCTCTACACATTATGAACAGATGCATTCCTTATAGGCTGATTAAAGCTGACGATATTGAAGAAGACTCAAGTGTTGACTTTGTTAACAAACTTGAAGTTCTTATGGTTTCATCTCCTAATCGTCATGATCTTGTCTTCCCAAAGGTTTCTTTTTTTTATTGAAAAATCTCTGCTTTACTCTCATTTGTAATTGCTCAGTTTTTAGAACTCATTTATTATCAGGGAGGGTGGGAAGATGATGAGACTGTTCTTGAAGCTGCTTCTCGTGAAGCCATTGAAGAAGCAGGTGTTAAAGGAATACTTAGAGTAAGTTTTAAACAAAACATTGAGAAAGTTATGTTAAAGTTGTTTGAATTACATGTGTTTTTGTTTTCAGGAAGTTCCTTTAGGAGTTTGGGAATTTAGAAGCAAAAGTAGCACAGTGGAGGATGAATGTTTAGGTGGATGCAAAGGATATATGTTTGCATTAGAGGTTACCGAAGAACTCGAGGATTGGCCAGAGCGAAAGAATCGTGAGCGGAGATGGGTAAAGGTCAAAACTCAAATGTGTAGTTATTCATATAAGGAAGTACAATGTTTTAACTTTTGAGATAACTCGAAAATGTGTAGTTGAATGTTAAAGAAGCGTTGGAGCTTTGTCGGTATGAGTGGATGCAGAGAGCACTTGAAGAGTTTTTGAGAGTAATGGAAGATGATGGAAGATTGAGAACAGAGGAAGAGACAGTGCAGGATTCTTCAAAGCTAGAGGAGGAGTGTCAAATAGATCCTTGGTACTGTTTTGTAGTTAATTAGTTTTTCATATTCTTTAGCTAATGTAAACAAATTGAAAACATGTGAAGTAAAGTGACTTCAAACACATGTGATATGATATAATCTCAAATCATCCGTCTTCAATCTTCATATCTTTGTCTGTTTGAACTTTGAAAAGACAAAGATAGGGTTGTCTTTACTTGGAATTGGGACACCAAATGCAAAAAGACAAAAGACACAGAAGAAATTAACTAATCACACACAGATCAATGCTTAAGGATTGAATTCAAAATTAACTGAATCACACTTAAAATCCAAATCCCTAAGCTTATGTCACATGTTTAGTTAGGTTTCTTGACATTTGTATAGTTTTTGTCTGAGTCTATAATGATAATGTCCTTGTCACCACCACTTGGCTTGGCTCCATACATTTTTCAAGATGAATGACCTCAGAGACTTATGTAGCTAAAGTGTGGAATATATTAAGCAAAAGGACAAAAATGGAGAAAATATGAAACACTTTCTTGTTTCTGCTGACACAGTTTACGAAGGAGAAATAAGACTTTGGTGTTAAATTTTTTAACGCCCAACTAATTCCTTTAATTTAATGCCAAATCCAAAAAGGCATCAATCAAGTTCACACACTCTTTTGCTCTTCATATATAGCAGCTTAAGGAACCTCAAAGCTCAAGAGACTTAAAGACAGAGAAGCATTGATCTCTGAATATTGTGAACATGTTGAAATCAAGAAACAAGAGCAAAAACAAACAAGAGAAGAAGTCACAAGAAGGGAAGTACCTTGGAGTAAGGAGGCGTCCATGGGGAAGATATGCAGCTGAAATCAGAAACCCTTTTACTAAAGAAAGACATTGGCTTGGAACGTTTGATACAGCCGAAGAAGCTGCTTTTGCCTACGATGTTGCTGCTCGATCCATCAGCGGCTCTCTAGCTACAACAAACTTCTTCTACACTGAAAACACCTCTTTAAAAAGGCAACCACAACAGTTGTTACAGTCTTTAGGCCCTGATATGACTTGGGGATTATCTTCTAGTGTCTGTCTTCTTCAAGATCAGCCTTTTGAAAACAACCATTTTGCTGCTGATCCTATCTCTTCTTCTTTTGCGCAAGAACAAGAGTCTTCTGCCAATCTCACTAACACTTTCTCACATTGTTATGATGATGGCGATCATGTTGGTCAAAGCAAAGAGATTTCTTTACCTTCTTTGCCTAATGATATGTCAAACAGTTTATTCGGTATTCAGGACAAAGCCGGTGAACACGACAATGCAGACCATATGAAGATTGGCTCAGTTCTCAGCGATGAACCTCACTGCTTCGAGTGTGACTACATTGGGAATTATCTTCAGAGTTTTCTCAAAGATGTAAACGGTGATGCTCCTCAGTTTCTTATGTGATCTTTTATAAGCACTTTCATACCAATCCTTCACTTTATTTAATATGAAAAGTATTGTGTCTTTTTTTAGCGTCAAATGCAGAGTTGTGTATTAAGCAGGGGATGTAATAACATGTTTGAATCAAGTTTATTACTATAAATTATAGAGCACAGATACATAATAAACTCAGGAACTACAATTATACATTCCGAATCATAGAACAGTAAAAAAAATAATGGAGCAGACATCAAAAGTTGAGTCTTCACTTCCAGTTATTGGCAACAATGTCAGCCAAATCAACGACTCTCTGAGAGTAACCCCATTCATTGTCATACCAAGCAATCACTTTAACCATATCATCTCCCATAACCATTGTGAGAGAAGAATCAATAGTTGAGGATACATCAGAGCACCTGAAGTCAACAGAGACAAGAGGCTCATCACAAACGTCGAGGATACCTTTAAGTTCTTTCTCAGCTGCATCTCTAAAAGCAGCATTGACTTCTTCAGCAAAAGTCTTCTTGGAGACTTGCACGACTAAGTCAACCACTGAGACGTTTGGAGTTGGCACACGCAATGCGATTCCGTTGAGTTTTCCTTTGAGGTTAGGAAGCACAAGAGCCACAGCTTTGGCTGCTCCTGTAGATGTTGGAACAATGTTCAAAGCTGCTGCTCTTGCTCTCCTTAGATCACGGTGGCTCGCATCTAACAACCTTTGGTCACCAGTGTATGAGTGAGTAGTTGTCATTGTACCCTTTATGATCCCTACCAAGTTTAACACAACACAACATTTGCTCAGCTTTTTATAAGATTGCAACATAGAAACATTTCGACTTTCTTATGAGACGCTTACCAAATTTCTGGTCAAGAACCTTGACGAATGGAGCGAGACAGTTAGTAGTACAAGATGCGTTGCTGATGATTGTATCTTCATGGCTGTAAAGTTCAGCATTGACACCAACGACATAAGTTGGGATGTCACCTTTTCCAGGTGCAGTGATTAGGACCTTCTTGGCTCCAGCCTGAAGATGCTTTCCAGCACCATCTCTGTCAACAAACACTCCGGTTCCTTCGATAACCAAGTCAATGCCTAGCTCCCTAAACATCATCACCAACATTTTGAAAACGTTTGATTTAGATCTAACCGAGTTGATTCAATTTAAATGATATGGAAGTGTTGTTTTTAACTTACCCCCAGGGGAGATTAGATGGGTTACGATCAGATACAATCTGGATGATCTTTCCATCAACAGAGAGAGCTGCATCTCCAGAAGGTTTGACATCAGCGTCAAAGATTCCAAGAGTTGAGTCGTATTTGAGGAGATGTGATGCTTGTTTAACACCACCAGTGTCGTTAATGACAACGACATCAAGAGGAGAGTCCTTACGACCATGCCAACACCTCAAGAAGTTCCTACCAATCCTACCAAACCCATTGATGGCTACCTTTATCTTGGCCTCGGTCACCCCTTTCCTGTATCCACCATTGCTTCCCATCTACAACTCAGAGACAAAAAAACAACAACGTATATGGTTAATCATTGCTGATCATGGCATGCAGGTTTGTTCATCATAGATAGATCTACAATGGTGGCGGCATTAAACACAAGAAACAGCTCTTGAGTTTACAAGATTGCACAATAAGATATATAACACAGAAGCAATAGAGAGGAGTGGAGAAAAAAAGGAACTCACTGCTGAAGTTTGGAAACTGACGAAGGAAACAAACTCATCGGAAGAAGATTTCTTGGCAAAGGGAAGAGCAGAGGAATTTCGAAGTCCTGAGAACTCTGAGAAACCCTGAAAAGTAAAACATGAGTGTTAATGAGATGATGATAAAACTTGTGTGAAGGGCAATCAGATAAATGTGGTTAGGAAGATGAAACAAAACCTGAAGAGATGGTTTGGCCACAGAGAAAGTAGCCGAAGCCATGGCTACCAGAGAGAGAAGCTTGTTGTATAATGTAGCAGAAGAGGCAGAAAGCAATGTTGAAGCAGAGAGTGGTAATATAGGAAAACTAGAATTGCTGTGTTGGAGGCAAAGAAGATGAGATTCTGGATAGCTTTGTCATACATTTGTATGGTTGTGGTTTTATCACTCTCTTCCCTCTTCACGTTTTCTATGATTCACAAATCTTTTTGTTTTTCTCACTTGGGCTTCACAAGTGGATGGGCTTCTCCATCATGTGGTCACATTTGCACAGTATATGATCTAGTGACTCGACATACCTTCTTTGGACCATTGAGAAGCCAACAAGATTTTCTCTGACATCTCTTTGCTGCAGATGAAAATCACTGACACATTGTGACCCTTCTTGTGACTTATCAGCCAGTTAAAAGATTATACATTTTTTCTTTGTAATCTCAAAGAAATATGTGTGACCATTTATATGTTACTATCAAAAAAGAAAAAGACAACTCTACTAAGCCTCCAAAACTCAGTTCAAGTCACTGCTAATGAAAACTCAGAAATATCAGGAGAAAGAATCTAGCCTCAAATTTCTCCATCAATCTCTTTTAGATTTTTCAGTGTCCCAAATTTAAGCACTGAATCGATTGATCACCACCAGTATGGATCTTTAGTACAACGATCAAATAGTTGAAATGTATAGACTTGATGATTACAAGACTGGAGCTGATACTTCTACGCTAAGTTAATGTTTTATGCTACCAATCTATAGAAGAACAAACCTTAGTTGAACTAAAGTACTGATGTTTTGAGAGCTAAGACCATCTTTGCACGGCTGAGCCATAACAACCAAATAACCAATACTCTGTTGAGGAGTATCTTGATAAATTTGCCTGAAATAAGAGCCTAATTGCAGTACTTTTTTGCGCATTGACTTTATAGAAACCTATTCAAAGACATGCAATAGGAATTGAGATGTGTAATTAACTCTAGCTGTCCATTGCTCTAGTCATACACAAAACTACACCTACAATAATGAGGTAAACACTTCCCATGGATCATACTGCAAAGATGGTGCTAAGTGAGAAAAAGCAATGAAGCAAAATTCTAGATCAAAGGATTATCCTTTCTTATCAATCATATATCAATAAGAGTCAGTGCAAGCTTTGCATATTGAGGATAGCAACAAGATCAATCAGATTCATTAATTCGATTGAGAACAGTCTTTACATCTTGAGGATAGTAAGAAGGGTAACAAGACCCCTAATACGATAGAAAATGGGTAAAATCTAATCTGACAAGAGATGAGAAATTCTTTTAAAAAGATCAAACCCTGAGAATTTGCAGCTTGGTGGAGAAAGCAATGGCGACCCAATCAGGCTGAGAAGAGGACCATTGAAGCTGCTCAATCTCAGCACCAGCAGTGTAAGCGAGAATAGGGTCAAGACCACCTTCAACATGCTGCCCCATGGATGAAATATCCCAAATCAAAGCTTGAGAATCATCTCCTGCAGTACAAATGTGACAAGAGCTATGAGGAGCCCAAGCAATAGCATTGACACTAGCTTGATGTCGTTGAAGCTCCACCACAGGAAGAGCCGGAAAACGAATGTCGAGCACCACAACTTTAGCACTGTCCATGATAATAGTAGCCATGTACCTAGGATCCTGCTTGTTCCAACCAAGACGCACCAAAGGAGTATCAGGCTCAGAACTCTCATAGATAATCGTCGAATGTTCCTTATCACGAAGATCAAACACCCTAACGGAACCATCAGCTGAAACAGAGGCAAAAACACCAACACCACCCCAAGCAATATCAAAAACTTCCTTATCATGTGCAATAAGCTGAGTATCAACAGCTTCACGCTCAATGTCCCAGATAGTACAAGTTGTATCAGTACTAGATGTCCCAATTCGACGTGGCTCAGCTTCGTTCCAATCAAAAGAAGTAAGAGGACCACAAAACTCACTGTTCTTGTTGCTATTGAGACAAGATTTGAGCTCAACACGGGAATGATCATCAGCGATTCGCCATAAACGAAGGAAATCACTTGAAGTAGCGAGAAGGTCAGGTCTTTGGCATTCCTTGTCAGGGATGAAAATGGTCTTCGTTGGTGGGTATGGATGCTCAAAGGAGAGATTAGGATCGGAACGGATCTCGCCATTGGATTCATCGAGCTGCACAATCTCGACACGGTTCGGGTATTGCTCGAGGAGGCTAGTGATGGCGAGACGGTACTTCTTATCGCGACGAACGCTCCAATTCATTGCGTAGATGTGCCATGGAGCTTCGTATGTGTAGATCTCTGAACGTTTCTGCTGCTCATCGGAACCATCTTGAATAGGATCGCTGCTCGTTCCCATCGGGAAATCGATTCCGAGCAAAAACCCTAGAAAATCGCCTCCGCTAGTTCCGCTTCTATCACTCACTCAAAGAAAATGGATATTCCAATTTATTTTATAAATGATGAAAACGACACCGTTTATGGAAACAGAGTAAATATCGTTATCTCCGTCTTCACCAATGATTTTCTCTGGAAAAAATAAAACCAGAAGAAGCTAATAACAAAAAGAAGTTTAAAATCCTCAAAAATTACAACACAAATTGTCTAACAAAACACAGGAAAAAAAAACCTTAAGACAGAGACAAGCTTTTCTTTAATGTTCTGTAGAAAACAAGAAACTTAAATTTCTCTTCTGTTTTAACTTCAAATCTTTGTTGATAAAAGACCATCTTTATGCCACATTTTCCCTCACTGTATCGATCTGAAACCATCACCAAAAGTTTACCCACTTTAATCAGAATCTTCATAAACTTCAGTATCTGATAACTCATCAAATGTCCTCATGTCAAGCTGGTAACGTAACATACCACCAATCCCACCAAAACCTCTGCAAAACTGTGACCCTTCTTGGGATTTGTTAGTCACAAACTCAAGTGTGCAGCCGAAACGTTTGTACTCATTTGCAAACCATTCGAGCAGAGGCATCTTCTCCTGGACTTCTAGCTCCGCGTTAGTCTCTGAATCATGGAAGTTGCTTGTATCTGACTCTTGATCTTTCCCAAAATGTTTCACCACGATTTCTCCTGTCGTGCTGTTCTTTAGCTCATACCTGTTTATGTCCAGATTCTCCCATACGATAAGGGTTTCGATAGCACCCATCTCTAGAGCCTTTAGCGTATCCTCCACACCGAAAACGTATTTCCCGGTGTCTTGACTTATCTCCTCAAAGTACTTCCCAATCAGTTTCTTCTCCTGTATGAACTTCACATTTGATAGAATCTCAGCAGACAGCTCAATCGCTTGGTTGAAACCGTTTTCACCTCCGTAAGAAACATCGACAACATTCAATATCTTAGCTTGAAGACGAGGATCAAACAACTCTGACTGACTAAGCTCAGTTTTGAAATCAGCTGAACCAGCAAGGATCAGACCAGAGACATTAGGCTGACTCGTAGCTGGATTGATGTAAAACTGTGTAGCAAGCTCAGCGGTTTTCCTAACATAATTGTGTCTCTTCTCCATCCTAAGACGAGCAAAACGAAGTGCAGACTGTCCTCCTCTTCCGTGCTTCTTCGGGAGATCAACAGTAAACTTATGAAGAACCTCTCTAGTATTCCCACTCAAAGTTCCAAACAGTGTCCCATTACCATCCATAACAATGAAGCCAAACTTGTCATCAGACTCAAGAAGCTCGTTCAACGCCTCGGTATGGAACTTATTGTCACAAAGGTACAAGGAAGCGTTAATCGGCCTAAAGGGCTCGAAATCAAACGTGACTTTCTTCTCTTTACCATCATCATTAACAATGGTGCCGGTATAGAGAACAAGACCATTAGTAGGAACCTTGTTGTAAAGCTTCAACCTTTGTTGAGCAGAAGTAATGGCAGACAAAACAGATTGACGATTGACTCGACTCTTAATGTTTGAAGCAGTTCCATATTCATCACCAAGCATCTTTGTGACACGAGATACTTGATCACGAGGAGGCATAATAAGAGAGATCATACTCGTTCCATTACCTCTAGCTGATTCAAGTCCCTTGATTAGTTTCTTAATCTTCCAGATCTCGATGTTCGTATCTGATTCTTCTGCCATTTTTTGCTACTCTCGAGGTCGAAGATGGAGAAGGAGAAATCAAAAGCGAACCCAACTACACAAAAAGAACAAATTCAAAGCAAGTTTGGAAAAAATGAGTACTTTGGCAGCGTGAATTTCGGATACAACACCCATAAGAATCGAATTTGGGTATCAAGTGAAGTAAAGATCGAAACTATTGGATGAACTTTGATCAAAGAAGATTGAAATCGCGGAAGCAAAACGCAAGCACGTACCTTTTTTCTCTCTCCTCCGGCGGCCTCTCTTCTCCTCCCAGAATTGATTCGAATTCGATTAGGGTTTTCCCAAATTCTAACTCCGCCAACCCAATCACGTGAAACTCACGTGGTGAACCACAGGATAACTGATAAGAGCTAATGGGCTTTATCTTAACTCAAAAGGCCTAATTAAGGTGGACCAAGACCTTTGCCTTGACACTGCGTGCCGTTTTTTGGTTTGCATCATAAATTCAAAACAAATAAATGAGAGTGAAATGTTACCAATGGGATGTATATTATTTATTCTTCTCATCAGATGAATCTAAAAGAAATGGCTTAAGATTCTTCATGAGGTTTCTTTTCCTCCTACTGGCTACTGTACATTAGAAACAGAGAAGTGACAGAAATGAAGAAGATGATGGGATCATTGCCCTCATTATTAAGGCAACAAAATAAAATGAACATGAAAAAAAAGTTGATCGATTGGTTGATTCATATGATGTTTGGATTTGGATCGTTTCGATGAGAATCCGCAAAATCTCTCACTAATCGCTTCAATATTCGACCGTGTTTCCCTTGCATATGTCCTCCTCCTGAACTGTTGTTATTGTTTCCAAAATTGCAGCTTTTGTTCTCAAGGTAATCGATCCCTGCACCTCCTAGAGCTTCTGACCATTCCCTCACTATGCTTTCTGCTTCTCCTTGCTTTAGATACTCGCTCGGAAGTGCCCAAACCTGAATACAAACAGAAAAAAAAAAAGCCATTAGAATTAACACTCAGACGCGGAGTTTGGTCTTGATGAGATCACAAGAGAAAGAGAGAAACCGCTGAGTTTAGCCATCCTTGGAGAGATTTCCAACACAACATTCCTTTCCAAGAAGTCCTCTCACATAAACTGCAGATTGCAGCTAATTGTTGCAGTATCGTTGAACACTTGTGGACCTAAAACAACAACAGAACCAAAAACAAAGAGAATCAAAGATCCCAATCCATCACTATATTTTGAGAGATTTTACTCAAATTATTTACCCTTGACATAGCTGCAACTCCAAGTAGAGCATAGACCAGATTAGACAAAAGTCCCTCTCCACAGTGAGATACGACCTGGACAGAGACCACGCTGAATGATCCCTCTGATATGCTATTCACGGTTTCGATCATGGATGAAAGTGAAACCTCCAAGAAACCTATAAAGCTCGAAAACATTGTATTAAGTATGCTTATGACCAAAGGTTAATGCTATTTTCATTAGTAAACCACTGCAAACTTACCTGACAAGTATGACATTGCAGCTAAAGCTGCACCTCGGTGCATAGCTGTACAACAGATAGCTGCTTTGTGGAAAGAAATTTCCAGAAGTGTTCCAGAAGTACCCAACAACTCCTGTTTGATCAATAGAAATTGAACCAAATTCACCCTTAAGACTCTTTAAATTTATGAATTGAAAGTTATACTGTAACAAGCAAAGAGTGGTTGCAAACCTTATGACAACCACGTATAAGTGCTGATGCAAAATTCACATATGCTTCCACTAAATCGGGTTCTTGGTCGCATATATATGACGAATTTATGCCCATCAGTGATGATGCTTGAGTAAATCTCTCAAACGTAGTGATAAACAAGGACCCGTATTCCTCCTTATGACAAAATTCTTCGGCGATTACACAGGCTGTGATAACAAGTTCGTGAAAGGCAAATTTCAGACAATTAGCTGGTCAACTAACTAAGCTTGGGAATAATTTATCTAAGCTAGCCAATAAAAACTGTGGCTAGTGAATCAACGCTAGCATCTCAAGAGATTTTTCTCCAAAATTGGAGCCTGTACCTGAATTAAGAAACCCTCACCTGTTCTTATGTAACATTCTTGGCTTTGGAATGACAGAAAGTTTCTCGATAGACAATCCAGTACACTAGGTAGTAGTAGCATAAAGTGCTCACCTGTGAATAATGCAAATTTTAAGATGTCAAAATGTCAGCGAAACCTGCCTAGGGTACGAAACAAGAAATAATTGGTAGATATACTAAAAAGTTATCCATTTGTGTAAAGGACGCTTTGGAATAGAGAAGTGTTCCAGGCTAATAAAGGCACAACGAGACGAATGTAGCGGAATAGAATAGGGAGATGAGAAGTTTGAAACCTGACGACTGAACTGCCACTGAAAGGGCACGGCATGCTGCTGCAGCTAAACTACCACTCTCCATGTGTTCAGACCTAAATAGCTTCTCCAAAATGGGCCAGAAAACAGTCAACAAAGAAAGGATTGGACCATCAGCCACAGGGACAGATGACAGAGACGTTGCAAGGTGACTGAATACAGTTCCTATCCTGATTCATGAAACGAGTGAGAGCAAAGTCATCAATATGATATTCTTCCCAAACTTTTGTACACCTCATAAGAAAACTACCAGAGAGTGCAAACTACTAAAGATCATGGATTGTTCAGAGTTATCAATTCTATTTAGCGCAGGTTACCAGAAAATATATATAACACAAAATTATGACAATGTTATTCATAGATGACTTGAAGTCCGGACGTAGCAAACAGTTCACCAAAAGTTCCTAGATTACATCGCAATTAAGCAGGATAGAAAATAGATCAGTCACAGAAGCAGACCTGTAAAGACCTCTTGTAACAGAGCTCAGCATTCGTGTATACGTGGCTGGACTTTGTCTACCAGAAGACTCAGCGTCTTCATCTACCTAAAACCACAAAGGTATTAGTCTGAATTCTATCTCAGAAGTGCATCATCTGTCGTATCATCGCAGAAAGACATTTAAATAGAAAGGCACACAAACATTAGAAAAATATCCCAGAAAGAAAAAGAAAAGATCATCGATATATTTTTTTAGTTCTAGTTGAGAGATTGATGAATACTGGCCTCAGAGAAGTATGTGGACAATTAGCTGATTCTTTTTTCATTAATGCAGGGCAAAAGCAAAGAGCTACTTGTACATGAAAAAAAATGACGGAGAACCTTGAAGAATAACTCTTTCTAACTGAACAATATGAACACTTACAAGTTTCGAAAGAACTCCATAACTTGACGAAAGCAATTGAGTTAATAATTTATTTTGTAGCTCTTTGTTAGCAACAGAGCCAAGGATCACAGTGATAGCGGTAATGACTTCTTCCTCATCTTCCAAGGCCAAATTCCACTGCTCCAAACACTAAGAAAAGAAAAAAAAAATATAATGATTCAGGAGACAATATAATAATATGAAGTTTGTTTTAACAGTTAACAAAAAGGTCAGATGAAGCTGATACCTCTCCTATCCACATTAAGATATCTAAATTTGATGTTTCCTGGATTACAGCAGGAGCATCTTCACAAATTTTACGCAGAGCAGAAGCACAAGCATGCGAACAAATAGGTTCAGAAATCCCTCCTGCGAGAAATAATCTGAAAGCAGAAAGACAATGCAGCACTTATATTATCAGAGAAATTGATGTTATAGGATATAAACATAAAAATCTCTTTATACGAGACAGAAAAATACCAATCAGAAAAAAATATATATATATATGAACAGTTTCAAGCTAATATGCTAAAACCATTATTGCATAATTGTGATCAGTCATTGAATAAAATAGACTTACAGCAAGGGTCTGGCGTTACTTGGAAAAACAGAGATCCATCTTGAATAGGAGCCAACAACATCTGCCAGTGATCTGTATACCTAAAAGTTGATAATTGTCAAATGTTGATTGCATTTACAGTACAAGAAAATTGTTGGTAAGGCAAGGGTATGAACTGACATACAACACATATAAACCCCTTGAGCTCGCTGGATGGTCTAACGGAAAATGCAGAAACCAATTGCATGATCAATGAAAAATCAAAGGCCTCTCCCTCTTGCAAAATAATTTCAGAAACCTGAAATGGTAGAATCCATTAGTAAAGACAGGGATGAACAATAGAAACGACAACTCCTGAAAACTGTCAAACTTAAGCTATAATTACCAAATCTCAAAAAAAAAAGTGATAATGGACGGAATACTAATAGAGACAAAATAATCAACAGTAGAGAACCCATACAATGTGATCCTACCCCTGTCTGGGTTGTTCTGAAACCAGAAACCAGAAACTTAAAATGAAGTAACTTGATTGGAAGAAAAGAGATCAAGTGTGCTCACCGCAGTAAGAGCAAACAACTTCGCCTCAATCTCCCTCAAGGGCATCGAAACATTTGAAGAAGGCACACCACCAAAAAATAACTACAGGATGTCGGCAAGAAAAGGTTAAAATAACACAAGAAGGAAAAATGAATACTTTATCACAGAACAAGAAAGAGCAAAATCTACTTATCAAGCAATCATCTAACAAAAGTACTCCAAGACACCAGATGAATGTTGTTCTGTTCAAGACAACTAACGTAATAGAAAGTTATAGAGTGAAATCAGCTCATGAGAACTGATAAGATATAGAAGAAAGGAGTTGTTTTCAACGTGACATAGTCCAATATGTTAAATGTTAGGGTAAATCCTGCCTATGAAGTGAGAGCACACCTTACTCACAAATGTTGTAGGATGGAGTAGCTGACAAATATCTACCAAGAGCTCAAGAAGATTATTTCTAAAATGCAACAGGCCATCAGGAAGGTCAAGCCCTGGACTCTCATCACTGGAGGTAAACTCATCAACCTGAAGATAAATTGCTAAGGAATTTTAGAAGCACAAAAAAACACCATTAGTACAATAAACAAAGCACTTGTTCATCAATTCGTGGGCTTATGAATATTCAGGAAATGGCAAGCTAGAAATCCAATATTATGTTGATACAGTGAGTGGAATGCGGAAAAAAGAAGAAAGTTAAGACTAAGATGCATGAAACTGTGAATGACAAGCCTAAGAGTTTCAAGAATGTGACACCGAACAATATTTAAAAAA